CCCCTTCTACTATTTAATCCCACTGATCAACCAAATAATCAACCTGTTGTATTAAATCATCTTCTGGAAACCGGAAGGAAAGGATCCAAAAAACAAACGGAAACGTTCTCTAGAAATAAAAAAATCATATAAAAAACCGCATAAAGAACTACAAACATTTATTATTTTATATTTTCGCTGAGCAGGACCGTACGAGAGCAATTGTTTAGGAGGGGGGGGGGGCACTTTTAGCTTGCAAAAAAAATTTGCCCCCCCTCCCGGAAACATTATTAAAAACCCCCTTTTTGAAAAATATTGATACTTTTTTTTAACTATGTACACTATTCGATCATTTACACACTTCCATATAAGAAGTGTTAATAAATTAGTTATGTAATTTTCTTAAGTGGACACCTCAGACACTTCCTCTTAATACTGTGGTGTAAGCAAAGAGAATAGAATATATAATAGAGGGGAATTTAGGCAATCTCTCGGTATGAATTTTTTCAGTCCCTTTCAGCCTGAAAGGGAGTTCAAAGTGTACAAATCGTGTAAATGTTCACAAAGTAGAGTACATTAATACAGTATGTTCCCTAGACTATCCATTTCAATTTCGAATTTTTGAAAGCTGTTAAATAAACTTTATAAAATGGATTAGGTGATTAAAAAACATCATTTTATTTATAGTTATAACGGAAAATCATCGTTTGTAAAGTAAAAGGCAGTCTATGTGAAATGATCATTGGTCATTAATGAAACCAGCCTATTTCATAATTTGATTTTCTATTAATATTAATTTCAGATTTTCTATAAAATGATGTTCCAGGGCCCGAGAGGTTATATAGCACAAATATGTTAAGTACACCTGCAGTAAGGAAACAGTACAACAAAATGGCCGTTTTACACTTTTTTCGAGTAAATTCCACTCTAATATATATTCTATTCTCTATGGGTGTAAGCTTCAATGGGTCAAAATAGGGATGGAAACGTTTTGTAAAAATATCTATGCTTTCATAAAACGATAAATATTATGTAATTATAAATGATGATATCAAAGATATATTTACACTGAAGGCAGTATTGATTAAAGCTTTTTTAATGAAACTTTTAAGCTAAAAAGTGAGATTTTAAATATTTTTTATATGGGTGCCCCCCCCCTCAGGGGGGGGGCGGGGGGCCCGACCCCCTATTGTAAGCCCCTGACGCTGAGCCTTTAGTTTTAAAGGATGTTAACAAATATTTACGTACCTTTGTACTTTTCCTGTACGCTGGATCATATGCTCCGTACGCAATACATGCCAGTACAGAGAGGACAATACTATATCCTAAACCCTAAAATAATTAAATATATATTAAATTAGCTGAAGTGCCCGGCGTTGCTCGTAGAACAAAAACAAATTCAGCCAATTAGGTCCAGCCGTTTGGCCAGCTAAAGGTAACATATAAATATATATACAAATATAAAATATATATATATGATAAAAAATTATTTTGATTGTATCTCTTTGTAAATTTGGATACTCAGTTTTATGTTTGTATCCGATAAACATTAATATTATTTATATTTATTGAAAATTTATATTATCCATTTTACATGTAATGTTTATGGCCAAATATATAATTTGATTTAATTTGATTAAAACGGCTGAACCGATTGGGCCCATGCAACTAATATGACTTGAGTATAAGGTTTATGGAAGGTTAAAATTAAAAAATTTTGCCTAAAAAAGTTGGCTTTTATAATGATAGAAAATCCCTTAACTTAAGCAGACAAATCAAAAATTAGCGACTTGAAAAGCAACATTTAAAGCCTAAAACTGTTACTAGAAAAAGTAGAGCAAAGCGCCTTGCTAGCCTTTTAACTTAATATTTTCGAGAGGTTAATTAGAGATTTTTAAAAATTACCTTGAGTCCATCATTTAGGATTTTAAATGGATCTTTTTCTACTGATTTATCCTGTCAAAGAAATACAGTCTACAATATCTGATTATAATTGTGAACTAGAACTTCTAATCAATCATTGAACAAATAAATGGGACTCGACAAACAGGTATTATTATGTACATACATTGACTTTCAAAAGATATAAAAGAAAATATCAAAAATGTCAAATACAAATATAAAAAATTAAAGTTCAACAAGTTTAAGTATATTTTTGGTCTTCATTAACTGTATATTTTCCTTTTTTATAGATTCTTGTGATTTCTGTAAGAATTTTGACATAAAAACTTCTTTTTCTCTTCTCGGTATTACTGGAGCAGGTTTAATTGGAGCTGAGGAGAAGTTAAATCTCCAGTAGTTACCAGCATTCGGAGTTCTTAGGAGATATAAACCCAATCGAAATCCAGGTCTGGACAAAGGGATTAGCATTCTTTCTGAAAATGTTTTTATTTTAAATTTCAGTTCATTAATATCTTAATAAGTAAACTTTGTTAATTTAAAAATAACTATAAATATCCAGGTACTTTATGGCGTACTTTTTCTTACCCCCTCACTTGCTCATGTCTATTGTCTTGTTAATCAAATTTCACGTAGAGAGGTTGCGTGATGTTTTGTATTCCAAGATGAACTATTCTAGTCTGCTGCAGGGAGAGGGGAACAGAGGAACCTTCTCTGCCGGGCATTAAAATCTCCTAGAACATGGGTTCATAGAGTTCCCACAGTAAATATTCCAGGAGTTAATAGAGTAGGCATAGTACAGACTACAGGGGTTCATGGAGTACGCACAGTACATGTTAAATGAGTTCATAGAGTACACATAATACAGGGGTTCATGGAGTACACACAGTACACCTTACAGGACATAAAAGAGAACACATTATACAGGGGTTCATGGAACACACAGTAAATGTTACCAGAGTTCATAGAGTACACATAGTCAGGAATTCATGGAGTATACACAGAACATATTACAGGGATTATGGAGTACACTAAGTATATGTGTTCATGGATCGAGTACACATAGTACAGGAGTTAATAGAGACTAAAAGTACAGGGGTTCATGGAGTAAACAAGAGCCCCCGTCAAAAATAACAATGTAGTTTCATTAGCAGTGGCAATTATTTTTAAAAAGATTGGCATTTCTTTCGGTATTAAGGATAATATACCAATTTTAAGAAACTTCTGTCAAAACAAATGCTGGATAGAAAAATTGTATTTTAACCTGTTGAATACTCGTATCCTGACTTGTCTGTGCATTAAAATTCTCCAAGTGTTTATGTGCATCTGCATCTTCTTGTGTAGGAAACGATTTCTCACACACTGCACAAGGATAAACCTAGAAATAAATTTACATTCTAAGCTTTTCAATGCAGGCTTCCTTTGTGGTAAATATTTAACTTTTTAATTTTTCTTTTATGCGTAAATATTTATTTGCCGTACAAAACTAAACAATAATAATAAATATCGCCGACTTTTCTAATTTATTGACGAACTTTCACACAAAATAAAAAACGATTTTTTTAGTGTACTTTTTAAATTCTTATTCCACACCTCCCATAGGCATATTAGTTTTAAATAGAGATAATAACTATAAAAAGAAATATTCTGAAGCAAAATGGTTTGACAAAAAAAGGTAGATGGGATGTTAGTTTTCAAATTTTATGTTTAGAATCAACAGAAGAATAAAAAACAAGAAGCCAGGGATTGTTCAACAATTATATAATTAAACATATATCCTACCACTGTTTCCTTATGACTGTGGATGAGTCTCCTATGCTTAGAAAGACTGGATGAAAGGGAGAAAGGTTTACAGCAATCAGGACAAGAGTAGGGTTTAGCTCCAGTATGTATTCTCATGTGAACCTAGAAATATTTTCTCATAAAAGAATCTCTAATTCTCTAAACTCAAGATATCTTTGCCTCGACGGTTTAAACACTTGATATTTCAATCTATGACTATTTGATCAGACAGAATTAATATTTGAAATATGAGAGATATATGATATTATGGCATCAGCTCAGGTTGCAAAGAAATAAGAATTAGAAAATTTAAGTATGAAAAGAGTAATGGGTGGGGTGCTGGTAAAAGCTTGCTTCAGAAACAATTGAGAAATTATCAGAAAACCTGTTAAAGCTTAAAAAGTTGCCTTTGTGAATCGGACATGGACCTCTTAAAATGAAGTGTACCTTGAAATTACAACAAAAGCCCACTTGCCTCAGAGTATATAGAGTTAAAAACAACATTGGAAACATATCTAACCTTTAGATCATAATTTCTCTTAAAGGACCGATTGCACTGCTTACAGAAGTGTCCTTTCTGTATACGGTGGGACTTCATGTGGGCGTGGTAGCTTGCTCTACTCCTAGTAATGTATTATATATACGGTGTAACTTCGTGGGCGTGGTAGCTTGCGCTACTGCTAGTAATCTATACATGCATGGCTTATCTGGGTGTCAGTTTGTTTGTTTGTCTGTCTGTTTGTTTATATCCAATAAACGTCAAAACGGCTGAACCGATCTGGCCCAAATTTTGTGTGGGACCTCACGTGGCGGATCAGACTTTAAATATGTAATCTTAAAATATCTTTATGAAATCCGCAAACTTAAAATTTTATTATACTGTACACAGAAAAGATGCTCAGAGACAAAGCCAAAATTAAAAGTTGAAAGAGAAGATGGGGGCGAAGCGCCCTAAAAGCCTAGTATATTAAATATACGGTGGTACTTCATGTGGGCGTGGTAGCTATGTACAATCATAGCAAAACTAAGACTGATTTCCCCGTCCCTACTATTTCCTTCCATCATTAGATTCCCTTAAAAAATCCCTACTTGAGAGTAACACCACAGATAGAACAGGGCTCATCATTTCTCTTATGTTTCTCCTAAAACAGAAGTAATTTACAAAACAAATTTATTACACAGTTAGAAAAAAATCCTTTAGTCGACCGAGTGAAAATGACCAAAGAAAGTCCGATTTTCTACGTTGACAGGATTAAAAAACAATATACACTTGGTAGGATCTCATAAAACTACAAAAGAATCTAAGAAAACTGTCATAAAATCTCTAGAACCTAAAATTTTGATCTTAATAATAAAAAAAAATTTGATATGGTATGAAATGGACATGAGCTGTGTTTTATGTTCAAATGACTATTCAAAATGATAATTTTGAGTCTAACAGTTGTCTTCATATTCCAAAGTATAATGGATTTCATTGTACCTTGTGATTTAACATGCGTTTTCTACTGGGAAATGTTTCTCCACAGACTGCACACAAGAATTCTTTACCTCCTAAACAATTAGACTGCACTCTTATATTTTGTTAATCTGCAGATTAGACTAGGCAAGGAATGACAAAAAAAGAAGATTAGGAAAGATAAGTTTTTATAGATCCACAAATTAAAAGAGCCCACAGTGGATATCGAGATCAAACATCAGGATAATTAGTTTCCAACACAATAGTTAACAGCAAAGTACTCTTAATCTTACGTTTTCTGTGTATTGCAGTGAATATAGTGTATTTTGTACTTTAAATGTACATTACTTTGTGCTGCATATTCTTTACTATGTACTGTACCCATGTACTGTGGTGTACTGTACCTGTGTGAATATTCTCATGATCTAGAAGATCTCGTTCGTTAACAAATCTTTTCCCACATCCTTCGCTCAAACATTCATGGTAGTCACCAGTATGACTCTTCATGTGATTCATTAAACTCTCCTTTCTTGAAAACACTTTGCTGCACACATCACACTGGTGCTTACTGTTGCCAAAATGATGAATTTGATTGTGATTGTTTAAACCTTTGGAATTTCGAAACACTTTATCACATTGTTCACATAGAAATGATTTACGAGTAGATTGTGAGTTAAGTTCCCAAAGAACCACCTAAAAAAATATTTAAAAAAATAAAAACCAGAGAATGAAACTTTTGGGCTATATCTAAACACAAAAGTTGGGGCCACTCAGGCACATTTTTCTTTAAATAATTTGATTTAAGATTTAAATTTATTTTTAAAAATACAGGGTTACCCACAAAGGACGAGACTGAAAAGACGACCTGAAAATATGACAATTACATGGTTAGATTAAGTCTTCTGCCTTGAATATTGTCTTTTGATGGCCTATATATTGTCATGGCAACGAAAGAACCAGTTTACAGTTGCAGAGAATCCTAAACAATAGGAAATACAGTATAAATTCTGTACTATCGTCTCTGAAGTCTTTTCCTTTGTGGGTAACCCTGCAAAACAAAAACTAGCCTCTGAGGTTGTCACTGTCTCCAGATCCTCAAGGTCTGTTGAACCCTCCGCCTTCTCTGCGGATACAGTATTATCCGCCGTCTCCGCCTTGTGTTCAGTGTACACCTCAAGCACTAGACTTATTCTAGTTCAAAACTTCAGTTGTTATAAATATTTCTTCGGATAACCTTTATTCTGAACTCTGAAGTTTTTAAAATAAAAAATCCAGCAAAAAAAAAATAAAACAACAATAATAACAAACTTATTGATTTTTATTTACATACAATGAGACCTTACAACTATAGAACATGAGGCCAACATTTAAGAATTCTTGTGTGATCTGATGTTGGTTTAAAGCAAATAGTTTTACCAGAGGCCGAATTTAAATGGTTGGTTTCACTTAAAATTGTATTCAATTTTTCAAGATTTAAGCCGGCGCTAAATTGAAACCGGTTTTTGGGGGACTTGAGACGCGGCTTAAAATCATTAAATTCGAACTCAGTACATTGAAAATGAGGTATTTTAATTAATCGAATCAAATACATTTTTATTTATAGGAAAATCTTGCAATTGATTTGAAAACTTGTTTGCAAATAAAAAAACTTACAAGACTAACAATTATAATTGTTAACTTTAATCTAAAAGCAATTAGCCTAAATCTGAAGTTTCCTGAAAAGTTTCAATAATGCCTTCATCCTGCCCAGCTGTCTTTGCTTTAATCTAAAATAAATATAATAAGTAAAAAAAACCCAGAAAAAATTCAACTCTTGAATTAAATCTACAGAAACCTTCACCCCAAAACAGAAATACAAGGAATTTTTCCAAACTAAAAATCGACAGAATCCCCCAATTATATATCTACAAAAACCTTCCCCTAAAAAAAATCTACAGACTTACCCCCCTCCCTGTACCTGAGTTCTCCTGAGTACAAGAACTGTGAAAAGAGTAATGTTTCTTGGTGAGTAAACTCAGGGAGTAAAATATCTACATATGGTTTAGCTAGGTACGGATCTGTCAGAGTAACCAGGCTCCTATAATAATAAGTTAATAATGATAATAATAATAAAAATTAATAGACCCGACATGGGATCCCCAGACCGCTTTCAGGGCGCAGTGCATTCCCATGCAGTATATGGGTTTTACTTTTAGATAGGAAGGTTTAGCAAGAAGGGATATGTTTGATTGTTTGAGTAACTAGGTTTTATGCGTAATATCTAGCAATAGAAAATTATTCGGAGTATATTGCTGCTATTCAGAGTACGAATTTTATGAATTTGGGTGGCTCAAACTCAAATCAAATCCGCCAAAACCAGACAATTGAGAGCCGGCTTAAATTTTGAAACATTGAATGCAATTTCAAGTGGAACCAACCATATTTAAGCCGCGGCTCAAATTCTTTAAATTCGGCCTTAGGTCTCAAGATTGGATCTAATATTCTAAAAAAATCTAGTTGACCTGAATAAAGGTGACCACAATGAGAAAATCCAACTGTGCAATTTGGTAATTTTTCCCCCAGCATGTAATCTGACATCTTTATTACTAAAATAATAAAAAAACACTAAGTTAAAAGTCACCAGGATGAGTTTGCTGAAAATGGACCAATTCAAATCATTTAATGTAATTATATGTAAATTTAAAACAGGTTGAAAGTTCAATTTCTCGTGTACTCTGGGTGTTCATTTTTTCTGCATTTATATTCACGTTTTTCCCCTCACTTTTCCATTGGAACATAAATTTGAGTTAATGAAATCTAGTATCTTAGTTGAACTTTAACTGCTTTCAAAGCTACGATTATATATATATATATTGAATAAGAATTCGATATTAAGCACCACCAATCCCTATTTTCTTTAACGTTTCTGTAGTGAGAAGGTTAGAAGCTGCTTTTGAAATATAGATATATATAAAGAAATAAATGAGAAACTAATTCTTAGAAGACATGTTTTTTAGACCAGCGACTTGCAGTTAATAAATTGAAAAAAAAGTACAAAAAATTAGAATAGCAATATTTCATTTTCTATTAAATTTCATCCCACTAGACAAGTCAATTTTACATTTTTTATGAAATTTCAGAGTGTTCAGTATTGTACTTGCACCTTACCTATGGTTTTCTATTTGTTGTTTAAAGATTGTTTGCAGTACGGATAGAAGTTGACTGTTGTCGGATACAAAATTTATTTCCTGCAAACAATCGTTGGAACTTAACTCATTTTGGAAAAATCGCTTATAATAACAACGATAAAAATATTGTTTAATTTATTGCGATTATTATAATAACAATAACGATAAAATCTCTTAAAAATATTGATTAATTTATTGCGATTATCTGGTACGTTAGCGTCCTTTCTAAATATTGTTTGTAACTTCGAGCTCATTCCTAATTTAAGTGAGAAAAGTTTAATTATAATATCAACCCCCTCGGGCCCCCACTATAGTTGTCAAAATGCACAACAACTTTTTCAACTTTAAAAATTCAAAAGCATTTTAAAAACAAAACTCAATCGTATTTTCGTCGCTATAACAAATGCAATATTCAATTTTAAACACTATGTTATGCAACACACATCAAATTCTTTTATGAGATTTTTGAAAACAAATCACATTTAAATTATCTAGTTTGTCTGTGGGCGCATATAAAAATTAAATCTTAATTATAAAATTTCATTCATGAAATAGGTTTAAGAGTCTTTGACCATATTCTAAATGTACCGGCCCATTATGCAATATAGTGTACAAACATATTTATAAATAAAGTTTAGCGTGTTAACAAATGAATTTGCAAAACTAGACCCTTTGTCTGTTGGCATAGTTTTCAGTTACGTGTCCGATTACAATGGTACCCTTTAACCTTTCTCTACGCAAAAATAATCCGTTTTTTATCGGAAATAATTTCAGTTTTTATAAGTAAACAAGAACAGAATTACGAGAAATTACATCTATTTGGAAATATTCAAAGAAAAAATATTTTCCCTAGTTTTAATCCGAAAAAAGGATACAGCAATGAGTCGATCGTTTAACATTTAAAATCTAAGATGCAAAATTTCGACAATCCGATAAATGAATTAAGTTTTAGTCTCCCTGTAGTTCTGTATCAGGATAGAAGGTTGAATCCATTTTATTCTGAAATAAAAACCTAAACTTTTTTTATAATATTTATTTCTCGACTATTTATAACTACAAGGATGCAAATTGAACATGAATATACTTGAGAGTCTAACCAACAGAAAAGACGACATTGAAATTAGTGGTTTACTGAATAGGAGGAATATGAAGCTCTTCGTCGGTCATTTTGGTAACATCAGGGAAGGGTTCGTGTCCGAACAGATGCTCTGGCTCGGTAAATACTCCTAAAAAAATAATAATTAACCATTAAATTAAATATTAAGACTTTGCCCCCCCCCCATCAACCATTTTGTCAAGTTATGGCTTTAAGGGTATCAAAAGATTTGTCTTATTCAAAAACGTTGTAATTGTACAAATCTCTTAATAAATAAAAAGGCAAAGAGGTAACGGTTTTAAGATCTGGAAATTGGATAAGAGCCCAAAAAAAAAACAATTTTCGGACCTGAACCCAAAATAACGAGGAACCACCGTCTCCCCCCCCCGTATTCCTTCCCTCAAACTAGTGTTTACCTACCGTGGAACCCCACCCCCTTTATTTAGTATTCCTGCTCGACACTAGGGTTAACCTACCGTGGAATATCCACCACCAAACAAAGGTAGAGACTATAAGAGCATAGGTGTGTCTCTCTGGTGGAGCAGGATCCCAGTTTCTGTAACTCCAACCCTGACCATGGTGGTGATGTTCCTCCTTACTATGTCCTCCAGATACAACTAAATCATAAACGTCAAAACTCAAAGGCGAGTTAATCGATTGAAGCAACAATTATTATGGAACCTAAAAGAATCAGAGGAAAGGTTTGTAAATAATAATAATAATCGCGGTCCATCCTCAATCCTTAAGACCAGGTTTGAGCTCTTTTCCATTTTAAAGAAAAGGTTTTTTTTACGATAAACAATATTATAGGAAGGGAAATTGTTTACAGGTAAAATAAAAAACTTGAACCTAAAAAAAACATTTAAAAAAAAATTGATTTTCCAATCTGAATGAAAATTATGAATACAAAAAAGATATTGCGGATACTTAAATTTCTTAAATCGTAATATCTAAAGCTCTACCTGAGGTAGCCGAGAAGTTTTTAAGCTGACCCTTGCTGAGCATTAGACCCTGCCTAGCTGCAGCGCAGCGAACCAGCAGAGCTGATCGGAGCATTGTCTCTGAAACCAGGTACAAAAATTAGATGAATAATTAATTAAAAAAAGAAAACGTCGATTGACGTTTAACTGAGAAAATGCGGGAATATTGCAGGTACAGTGTACAGAACTACATGGTGTGTTGCTTCACTAGGATAGAGTACTCGTACTCCATGGTGAGAAGTGCCTGCTCGATCTCGTAGTTCTTACTGTAAAAGCAATTCCTTAATATTAAAATTAGAAAAAAAGAATAAAACAAAAGAAAATGAAGCTAAATTATTTTTATAATTTGATAAATAAAGTGAGAATAAATAAAAGGAGAATCTAAATGAATCAACGAATAAAAAAATATAAGGAAAATCACATCTAAAAATTTCGAGCTACAATAAAGTAAATACTAAATAAGTAAAATTTTGCTAATGGTATAATTGTTTTTGGTATTGTTTATTAGAAAAAAAAAAATTAAAAAGATTAAATAATAAAAATATTTAATCCTTATCTGACAAATGAAAATAAAGGATTTGTTTTCCTGACAAGACCAACCCAGTCAGATTCAAGCTGCTTCAGCTTATCTCCAACCTAGGAATATTATATTATATGTTATGCAATCAAAATCTGAGTCAAATCGGTCAAGGGGTTCGAGAGTCAGGAGCGGATACAGGATTTAAGTGGGGGAGTGATAGATTTCCAAAGAATTTTTTTTTAAAGATAGATATTTTTCCTGTTTTGCACTAGGTTTTCTTTCCCTTAATTGCTATTGAGAAGCTATTCTGATATCTCAAGGGGGGGGCCTAGGCTCTAGCCCCCCTAAAATCTGTCGGGGGGGTGCGAAGGTCCTACCGCCCCCCCTGTATCCACCACTGTCGAGAGTTATTATCGTACAGAGAATACTTCAAGAAACAAAAAAAAATGTTAACAAATATATCAAAATCAAAAGATCCCGGATTTATCAACTTACAACCATTTTAACTTAAAACTGGTTGTTATCGTTCAGTTGATTAAACCATAAAATCGGAACAAACGGACATGCAAGGTTTTTTTCTCTTCGAAAATCATATTTTTGGGGAAAAAATGATTAAAAGAGAAGATTTTACTGAAAAGATCTAAAATATGTTGTGAAGACTTTTGACCCGTGAATAAAATACTTTTTTTATTACTTGTGTCTGTTGATTCTTCCTTGACCAGTTTACTTCCTGTATTTCCTTTTTAACTTCCCCAAGTTGTGTCTAATAACAAAAATAACATTATTTTATTGAAGAAATAATTTAGAAATATTAAATCAAAACATTAGTCCGAAACCAAAAAAAAAAAATACTTCTATTTACTGCATTCAAGAAACATAAATAAAAACTTAAAGGGATTTTAGTTGTAATTTCACGTGACCCTCACAACGGTGCCCTTAAAAGCTTTGTCTGATCAAGCGCCCCCCCACTCATAAAACCATTATCTAGGTTCTATTCATGGCAGCTGTCTTATTTCTTCTAACCATTCAGGACGGCACCACTATATGTCTACACTGTGATCTTTATAATGTCCAGATCTCTTGTCCTTTCTTATGTCTTATCTATATATCTATCGTGGTGTCCTATTCCAGATAAATGCCAAGAAGATCCTAAGTCCTTCCTGTCCTGTTATTGTATTCTGTATTCCTGGATTCCTCTTAACGTGGATCCGTCTCTCTCCTTGATACCGGTCCAGAGCGTTACTCGTGCTCCCGCAGCCCGAGACAGACCAGGCGGTTCATCTACTCCTATCCTCATACTCTGTTCTGTTCCTAGACGTAGTCAGGCGACACTCGCCTGGACACAACTAGTAGGACTACTTCGACCGGAGCAGATACACAGGTTTGTTACTTGCCAAGTATAATAAAGATAAAAATATCCAGGTTTTTCTATTTGAAAACTAATTATTTAAAGAGTACTTTTCTACACAAGTAATTTCTACGCATTTCGGCTACATTAGAAATTATTAAAATAAAACAGGTTTTTAACAAGAAAAAACGAATATATCTTCCATATTATTGATCAGATGAAAGTTTCCAAGGGTATGGGCATACCCCTTTTAGAATAAATGGTCACTTAAAATTACAACTCCAGTCCTTTAATTAATAAGTTCATGAATTTGGTTTAAACTGTTAGATATAATATTTTCAACAATAACCGACAGTATTTCAAAATATTTTTATAAATGTCTGATTCAGGATTACCTGAACTTTATTTAATAGATCTTGTAAAACATCATTGTAAATCTTCCAGCTCTCACCTCCATATTCTTACAACAAGAAATTGTTAAAAAATGGAACTGCATTAAGCAAAACAGCATCACTACTTAAGCAAAACATTCAAGTGAGATGGGGGAGGCATTTTTAAGTGGTTAACATCAACTAGATTAAAGTTCCCTTCTACCCCAAAGTTAAAACTAATTTCAAAATCAATCAAAAATTATCATACAGGAATGACCAAAAAGGAAGATACTGTAATGACGACCAAAAATTTATTTTAGATTAAATCTTTTACTATTAATATATCCTTTACATAAGTACAAGTCAAAGGGAAAAAACAAGCTACCAGTTCCAAGAAACCATTAATCTAAGATAAAGGTCTTAATAAATTCTGTACAATCGTCTCTGAAGTCTCATTCGTTGTGGGTAACCCTGTAAAAAGAACATAAAACAAAATATTTTTCTCTCCTAGCTTTCTCTTACCGAGCATAAGATCCAGATTTAGAATTCTTGTTCTCTGATGTTCCAACTGCGCCATGGAGTTATCCACACATTCAGTCCAAGCCTAAACAAATTAATTTAAATTTGTTTTTAATCTTAGTGACAGAAACAATCTCAAGAACTGACGAGGGTCAACCCAAACCGAAATATATTTTCAATAAATGTGGAACTAACATCTACTTTTTTTTACTCTACAGAGCTAGGTTTGGTCCATCACCATCACCGAATTTCAAAATAAATTGTTAAAACCAAACTACGTATTTTTTTAGTTCTCAGCAATGTACAATATGTACTGAATCAGATCTGTGAGAACTTCGGCCATTACGGTCTAGGTTGATTGGTCGCATTATCTATTCTGAGGTGCTGCGGTCTACAAGATAGGGCCGAGCAATGTGACTAAGACAGGCGAACGCAATGGCCAACAAAAAAGTATACTATTGCTATGTATTTAGCTTGTCAAAACGGCTGAAGCAGTCAGGTCCAATTTTTGTGTGGAAACTAACATGATAAAGCCAGGAAAGGTTTAAGGGTAGTTTTTGTTTGAAATTTTATTATTAAAAAAAAGGCGACAATTTAAACAGAAAAATCTGCGATTTGATAACGGTTAAAAGTTGCGAATTGTAGAGAACAATTAAAAAGTAAAGTGAACAGGAAAAGAGACACGAAGCACCCTAAAAGCCTAGTTTCTATAAATCCCTCTACCTGAACATCAGTCATTTTACCGGCAGGAGGTGTTGGCAGTTCATATCTCTTCATACTGAATAAACAAGTTAGAAGATTAATCAATCAATTAATTATGAACTTGAGAACTAATTTGGAAAAAAGAAATTAAGTGAATTTAGAACTGATTTGAAGAGACCATTGTTTCAAATTGCTAAAGCATCTTCTTTTATTAGTAATGTGTCGTAATCAATAAACTATTTTTTTCTCATTTTTTACCTGAGTGTGTCCATTGGTTGTCTAGCAGCTAGCCGGTCAAACTCTTTCTTCATCAACGAGGTTTCAAACGATCCCAAATTCAGAGCTAACAAATTTAAATACTCGGTAATCTCTTACCTAATGCTACGTTGACCCCCCCCCCCATTCTTGAAAAAAGAGCTACTTTTCATAAAGAACAATCTATTTAACAACTAACCTTACTTAAAATATTATTATCACAGTGGTGATTTTTTCAAATGAAGGGGAGGGGGTTCAGAAGAACTACGAGAGTAAAGGGTCAAATGAAGAAAATTAAGAAATAATTATGAAGCTAGATGTTTATAAAATTTCTTCCTCGTACCATTATTTTTTAAACCCTTCTAAAAAGTGGTAAATAATATTGATAAAATAATTGTCCATTTTACCTGGTAGATGTTCCAAATAGTTTTTGGTTGGTCTGTATCTTCTAGTTTCATCCTCAACCATAGCAAGGGCAGCCTCCCTTCAAATCAATCAATTCATCAATCATTAAAATTTTAAAACTCGGCATTAATCCTATGGCACCGGGTGGCAAATGTTGACGTAACACTATTAATCTTAAGAAAAGTCGGAAACCTTCAATTTAAAATAAAATACCAAAAAAATTGTTCTTACACATAATATCATTAAAATATATATCATAGCCCCCCCCTCACAACAGAGTCGCTCGAGATGAGCATCATTGCCATGCTTAAAAGTCAATTAAAAGTGTTTTTAATGTTTCAGCGAAACACCGAACATTTCTCTTTCGAAGCGAAACCTCGTTAATGAATTTCAACAAACTCTAGACCTACCTGACTCCAGGTTCATCATATCCATGATCTATGTAAGGGAGAGCATCGACAACAACATCATCAATCGTCATATTCTCTGCAAACAGTTATTCTTTAAAATATCACGTATCACAGATGGGACGAAAAAATATTGAGATCTTTCGTGAAGAAGACGAAATCCTGTATTTTAACTATTATCCTAAGTTTACTCAAGATTGCAATAATAAATCAAGTTCTCTCTAATCCTGATGTTAAACCGTCCAGACAACATTCTTGATTTATTCTTTCCCTCGATCCTCTTTAATATTGATGTTAACCCGTCCAGACAACTATCTTGATTGATTTTTTCACCTCGATCCTCTTTAATCCTGATGTTAACCCGTCCAGACAACTATCTTGCTTTATACTTTCCCTCGATCCTCTTTAATCCTGATGTTAACCCGTCCAGACAACTATCTTGCTTTATACTTTCCCTCGATCGCCTATACAACGACGGTGTAATGTCAAATGAAATTGTATGATCACTTGTCTAGATAAAAACGAGCATTATTAAATTTCGATTTTATACATCAAAATTGTCATGATGATCACTCATTAGATAATAATGATCATTGCATTGATTGTTCTCGATTTTTATACATCAGAATGAAATCTTGATGTTCACTCGTACAGAAGAAACAAATGATCATTGCGTTGATCGTCTTCGATTTTTTATACATCAAAATGATCACTCGTCCAAATAACAATGATCATTGCATTGATCAATCTCGATTTTAAAGTTCAAAATGATCACTCGTCGAGATAACAATGATGTATTTTAACTCCTGAATATTTGAGTTGAAGTAAACTGAGAACTCCGGACTGAATATCTTCAACCTAAATATTAAAATATTAAACTATCAAGACGATAAGTCTCTACGAGAAATCTTTTCTGGAGTACATAAACACACATACATACATACATACATACATACATAAAGTATTAATCTCTTATTGTCTTTTGTTTGTGTGACCTATTCATAAACGGGAAACATAGATCTTAAATCTTTATATAATCAATCAATCAAACAATGAATGAATGAATCAATCAATCAATAAATCAATCAATCAAACCTGATTTGGAGGGCAGTAATCATCCTCCGAGGATCTACTTATTGTTATCACGGTTGGTTTCTTACCAAGATAATCTAAATAAAAAAGTATTTTTACATCATAAATTTTAATAAAAAATCAGAACGGGGTGGGCAGCAGAGACTAGGAGAAAAATTAAAAAAAATATATTTTTAGAATAAATTTTCAGATTCAGAAAAAAAATTAAAAACTTTTTTGAGTTCTGCTTGACGAAAAACTAAATTAAAGGTGGTATAAAAAGTTATTTCCCCCGCCGCTAAATTCTCATAGTGAAACATTTCCATTAGAAGTTTGTTTGCTATAACACAATTTTTGAGGCACAGTAAATATTGCTTTAGTCCAACATTCATCATAAAAAAAACCCGGTAAAATATCGTTTTCTTGCTATTAATCTTACTTAAAACATTCTCTATAACTGTTGGCTTACCGATAAGTTTCTCTGTAGAAGCAAGTAAAGTTTGTATTTCTTGTTTGGAAGATATATGATGCGGTAACTCGGAATCATCGAAGGTACACCCAGCATCATGAACTAGGTTCCAGTCAATATCCAACCTGGATACAGGGCAAGATTAATATCCAACCTGGATACAGGACAAGATTAATATCTAACCTGGATACAGGACAAGATTAATATCCAACCTGGATACAGGAAAAAATTAATATTCAACCTGGATACAGGAAAAAATTAATATCCAACATGGATACAGGACAAGATTAATATCCAACCCGGATATTATCCACTATCCTGAATACTCTAGGTATATAACTAACCTTGGATAATGTTTCCGCAGATTATCCACTATCCTGGATACTCTAGGTATATATTCTTCTCCTAAACCTTCGTAGGTTGACAGGTTTTCTTCCTCTGCTAGAAAACTAAATAAAAATTTCAACGTTAGTTTCATCCAGAAATTTTAGTGACTAAGAAATGAACTATTTTATCCAAGGTTTTGTGATTGAAATACTCGTTAAAGTCTCATATAAACTTACTCTTCTATTCTTATTTGTCACCAAATCTTAATTAGGGGGGTAGATTTGAACGGGTGAGAATTGTCAGTCAAAATAACTTAAGGAAAAAAAAGTTTTTTTTTGTTATAAAATTACTATTGTCATGCGAAAACAACTTTAAGGGTGAAAAAAAAGAATGTGACTAGTGAATTTTTTCCCTTCAAAATATGTTGAAATGGGATTCTAAAGATCAGTAAGAAGCTGCTGAAAATTCGTTGAGCTAAGTAGAAAAAATTCCGGACTTTTTTTGGACTTTGGCCAAATATTTGGCCTAAAAATCAGTTAATTATTGCCTGTAAAAATGTTAAATTTTAACGGAATTTGATGATTTCAAAGTTCATCCAATTTGACATATTTTCTGCGTGGCATCGCCATTAATTAACGTTGCTTGTATATCCAAGATTACTGATGTGAATCATTAATGGCACATTTCTAACAAAAGTTCATTAAAATTAATTAAACTCTTCATGGTAAAAACTTCGGATGAGACTAAAGAAAGAGAATGAATGAGAATGAGTTTAATTTATTTTAAGTTATTTAGAAGTTGCCAGCTTAGGTAGATTTAAAAACTGACCTGAATATAGATTTTAATCTGTTTAGCATAATACTTCTATTCTCTCCTAACTCTAGAGCTAAGCTTATTCTCTCTTCTAATTCTAGAATGAGGATTCATTTAACGCATAATTATTTAGTTATTTTATAATAAATAACTTTAATTATGAAATAGATGCATAGTATTAACATCATTCTTATTAATATTCAATCTTCAGTCAAAATATTATGTCCTCCAAGCAATCTATCTATCTATCTCTGATTAAATAAAAAGAAACTAAATAAAACTTTGAACTCGCTTCTCAAGGTTGGGTTAGGTTAGGATAGATAGATAGTCACTAATGTCTCAGTTTTGTAAAGAAAATGACGGAATTTCCTAGGATTTTACCAAAGACAGAGAAGAAAGACCAACCTAAATCCTTTGGAACCGGTTTAAACGTGTAGAGCTCCTTAAGCTGTGAATACAGATTCGCCTCGTTATACAGGTTCACGAAGGGGTTCAAGGTGGAGAAGAAGTCCAGGTCTATGTCCAGTATGAAGTGGTTCACCTCGTCCAATTGCTCCTTGACGGTGAGAAGCTGGTCCGACCAGTCCAACCTGTTCCCGGACTCGTCCAACCTCAGGACGATCAGTTTAACGTCCCGGACACTGTCTAGACTCAGAATATTGTCAGATTTAACAAATATGAGTTTTTACTACATTCAGACACTTGGCTTTACAATTACTTCTGTTTCTTGAGCTATATAGAGGAATAAACTAAAGCCTATTTTGGGGAGAAATATTTGTTTAGGCTCAAACCTACCCAAAAGCAAGCATAACTATTTTTTAATATAAAATACATATTTGAAACCCTTCAACGGCCCTAATTCACAGGTTCTCCCGGGTTTAAATTGCCGGTTCAGTTTTAACTTGAAATTGGAATTCAAGATGTTTAATACAAGGAAAAAAAAAATTATTTTTGATGATTTGGGAAAAAAATGAAAAAAACGACAAATTTTTTTCTTTATTATTTCTGATACTTTTACAGAAACAAACATACAAGAACTAAAATGAATTTTTTTTTTCGAAAGGCAATAATTTTTACAGAAAATATACAGTTTTAACTTCTGTTTAATTCTATTTAAAGTGAAGAATTGGCATGTTTTCATCAAAATGTTTCAGTCCGTTAAGCCCTGACCTGACCCAAATGTTCTGTTCGAGAAACCCTCTGATTAGATCTGAACTAAATATTCCTAGTTTATCTGGAGCAGTATATAATCCTTCACTAATATAGTAGGATTCCAGGCAGGTTACTCCCAACCCTCCAGTTTCCTAATATTTATAAACTATTTGACACTGTTGGGTGTATTTAAAGGATAATTCAAGGGTATCTAGTTTCTTATGTATAAACCATGTTTCCCCAGTTATCATCAGATATATGAGCGGAGTCAAGATAATTCTGGAAGCTTTAAAATAATAAAAAAAATGATAATAAATTAGGTGTAAGAAAAAATTAACTGTTAGTAAGATAGCGAGTATATTTGAATTTGAATTTGAATTCCCCNAGGGGTTTGAGATAATACATGTCAGAGGATTAAAGGTTTAATAAAGTTCAAAGTCAACTTTCAAATTTCAATTAGTCCTTTTTTAAGGTAGTTCATTTGTATTTTGTTCATTGGATCTGGTTCCATAGATTCGGATTGCGGCTCAGGATCCAAGCAGCCAAAATATTTGGATCCAGCGAATCCTGATCCTGCGCACTTAAGAGCGTAAAGTTGAACTATAAATACCTTGACTCTACCGATCTGAAAGTTATGAACTCCAGGAGGAATCTGATCAGACCAGGGAGGACAAACCCAGATAATTGTTCTAGAATAGAATTTAATAACAAGGGTCATTAATCATCATGTTAACGCGGAATAGGATAACGATGTGAAATTAATCTAGACGCTTGTTATGACTAAAATTTTGTAAGAATACAAATCACTTAATTCACAATTTTAAATATTGAATGTTGCAGTTCATTTTAATCCGCAACATTTTAGCTCTCTCTAGATCCAGATCCAAATCCTCAAAAGTATGCGGATTCAAGTGACAAAATTTCAAACAAAACATCGAAAAAACCACCCTGGATTTTTTATCAAAGGAAGGATCCAGATTAAGGATCCTGATACAGTTCCGTATCTAAATGATATGGATCCTAAGCACCGTAAAAAACTAACCTAAAGATACCGGCGAATGCTCCGGGAAGAATCCAGTTCTCTATTGAGATCTTGTTGAAAAGAGATGATTTATCATAACAATCTTCAGCCCTGAGATCACCAGGGATCAACATGTCAGGATGAGAATCAAAGTGAACTGAAATAATAATAATGTTGAATGGAGACAGTCAAATTAAAGGATTTAGCAATTTTCGTCTAATAATAACATTTACAAAAGGTCTTAAATTTCTTCTAATATTTAACTTTTGAACGAATAACTGGTTTTTAATACTTTTCTACTACTATGACAAAAGTTATCTTGTAAGTTAAGTATTATAATACTGACAAGAATCGTTTAAATCAACTGATACTAAAAGGTCTTAAAAAATCCAAGCTTACTAGTGCTTACCTAATGTATTGTTTTCCAAAGGTAGCTGACGAGCTCCGATATGCTTGTAAATATGCTGCAGAACCTTCAAAATTTAAACTTAAATCAAGAAAAGAAAGAAAAATGTAATATTTAATATATAATAAGGTTTGTCAAAAAACGGTAAAGAATTAAATGAAAATTGGATTTTCTCAAGTGGCCACCGACACCACCCTGTACCTCATGATGATCCTCCTCAATGTAGACAGGCAGCTCAGGAAGAGCTCGGAGTTCAGGCATTTTTCTTCCCCTTGCAACCTTACAGTTCTTATCAAATCTGAAATATTTACAAACAATCAAAGCCCATTCTTATATAATGTAAGTCAGGTAACGAAACAATTTTTAGGTCTAACATTTACCAATTTGATCAATTTTTTTTAATCGAAAATAATATTTTTATGAAAGAAATTTTAGAATTTAAATGCAGAACCCAGGAGCGAAGAAACTATAAAGTTTTCCTATATTTTGAGGCCTGACTGAACTCTGTCATTCCTTGACCTGAGACTCCACATGTTCCAACCCCAACCTTCCCATCACTGCTCTCAGGGGTCTTAAATATACTCTTCTTAACAAACCCACGCTTTCCAAACGCTTTAGAGCTGAAGTTCAACCACTTGCCCTTCTCCTTCTCCTTCCCCTCCACCAAGTCCTTCATCCTCTCCATCTTCTTCTTCTTCTTCTCCTTCAGATACTCCTGGAATATGAAGCAGAATTAAGGAAAGAATGAGGGGTTTATCTTCTTAAAGGGACAGTAAGCGTTATTTTAAGTGACTCTTTCAGCAAAGACGGCAATGTCCGTTTCACAATAATACCGTTAAAATCTTTGCCTGATCAAGTATAAATTAGATAAATGTTTATATTTTTGAAAACTGATTATTTTCAATTGTGGTTTAACACTTTTAGTCTAGAAAAACGTTACCAGATTTCAAGGGTATCGTTGTGAATCGGAAATTGCAATCGTTGCATGCAGGGTTACTTGAATTAAATATTTAGACTTCAGTAGAGTTTAAAGCTATGTAATGTGTATAGACAAATACATGTAATTGTTTATTTATTACCTTTCGTTTTATTTCTAATTCTTTTTTACTCTTGTTGACTGTGTGAACCGTAGTGTTTCCACTGCTAGGCATCTTCAGAGAACTCAAAGTGGTGGTATATGGTCCCTAAATAATATATGTTTTTTAAGAGCTCATAATTTACTAAATCAGTATTCAAAATATCACAATAGTTAGCAAAAATAGCTGAAGTAACAGTTTATTTTCCCTTTGGTAAAACTGACGATTAAGAACTTTTTCAGTCATAAAATAAAATTAACAAATCAATCAATCAATCAATCAATCAGGTTACCAGATATCAATCAATCATAACAAAAATCAATCAATCAGTAAGATTACAAGAAATGAATCAATCAACAAAAAAAACCAGATATCAAGTAATCAATACAACTACTAGAAATCAATAAATCAAAATTACATAATATCAATCAATCAATCAATCAATCCGATTAGTAGAAAGCAATCAATCGATAGGATTACCTGATATCCTATAAATTTGACAGTGACTTGATCTTTATTTATTTCTTCTATAACGGCCTCATAATAGGTTCCATCCTTCACGTACAAGGCCTGAAAAGATAAATCAATCAATCAACTTATCAAATCCAACAAATTAACTATTCAATAACCTAACGTTATTACCAATCACGTCATTCCACAAACCAACTAATCTTCCAACCCAACAAATCAATCAATCAATCAATCAATCAGTCAATCAATCAATTCAATTAATCAATCATCAAATCATCCATCTCAAACCAAAATGTTCAACCAACAAATTAATTAATAATTTTATTCATTTTTAAAACCATAAAATCAAACAAACCAGTTATTTCAAAAACATATCAATCGATCGATCCATAAATCAATTAATCAATCAATAAACCCAACCGATATTTACCTGACAATTCTCCCCGACCTGCCAGGGTTTAACAGGTAGAACTGGTTCAGCTTCCCCCCATCGGGATTTAGTTTTCTAAACGGGGGGAATATTAACTAAGAAGATCATAGCAATTCTTCCAGGGGGTAGTGTATGGGGGGGGATTTATTTGGGGACAGGATTTGCATCACAAGACAGATCATCTGGCAGCAGGTAAATATAAATATGGGATGAAAATGTCAGGAGATGACTTGGAGTAAGATTCCAGAGTAGACTTAGTATAACTAGAGATGTGTAGAAGATAGTTAAAGATCTGTATTATGTATGAGAGTACTCAAAAAGTAGGAAATTAGCAAGTTATTTAAAAAGTAGAAAAAAGGGCAATACAGAGAAAACATAGTATTAAAGAATAGAAAACGAGTAAGGTGAATAAACCAATTTAGGTATAAGCACCAAGGGATATATAGATACATTTCATAGTAAGAAAATTTAAATTAGAATTAGATAGAGAGTCTGACTTAAACGAGAAAATTTCACTCTTGAATTACCTTTCCGAAAAGTATCTGTTCTGTTCCTCATTTAGGAGAGAACTTAAAGAAACAAATTCATTAGTCTCAGATCAGATACACCCTTACAAACTCTAGCTCCGCCATCTTACATAAACAAATACCACCATCTTGTTTTATTAAATCGGCCATGTTGGATTTTTGGCTTTCTATTTCCGCCATGTTGGATAGAATTGCGTTGTTAATGATTCTACCATATTTAATTTTTGGCACCAGAGTTTAAAGTTTTCCTTTTTAGATTCACAGGGGCCGGGTTATCTTTAAATATTGGAGAATCGTAGTGTTTCAACTTGTTTATTTACTAACAAAGAACTACTTTTTAAAGATGGCAAAAGCTAGAGCACATGTAATAACTTAATTTATGTCTAACCTTAGCACGCTTTGGTTGTTCAGACTCTACTGGGGCTTGCTCTTCATCCTGAAAAATCTGTTTAAGAAAAAGTTGACAATTCATTTCGCCCCCCCCCCCTCTTCCTTTTTTATTCTTTAAGTCTAGTTGCCGTGGGTACGTTTTTTTCAAGTCAGATAAGGGATCTCCGTGACTACAACATCATTCAAGTCATATACATATATATATATTTAGCTCAAAGTATTTTATAATCTTTAAAAAAGTCTTCCTAAATGAAATAAACCTTTATCAGTCAATTAATTATCTATCGGTCAATTTTTTAAAAATAGTGGTTGCGCAAACAACCAGTCATCAGTCAGTCAATTAACAAATTAATAATTAGCCAATTCAAAAACAATCAGACGAACTGCAACTATCAATCAACCAATTATTTACCGTTCAATCAATTAATTATATAACGGTTAATAAATCAATTATCAATTTGTCCATCGGGGTTAATTAACCAATTATCAATAAATTGATCAACAATCAATCATAACTTGGTCAAGATAAGCTCATTATTAATCAGTAAATCTACTTCTTATCAATTGGTCGATCAATTTTTTAAATCAGGCATACCTGTTCACCATCCCCTGAGATGAGCTCCTGTGTGAGTGCTATAACCTGCTCCAGATCTGTTTTCAACTGTATTAATTCCTAAACACAAAGAACACGTTCATTTATCAAGTTATGAGGGGTTTATTTTCTCAATCAATAATTCTACTAGCAAGTTAAATTCATGCATCAGGCTTAAATAATGAATAGACACGGTAATTTCATCAAGAAATTAGGACATGGTATTGGGAACAAATTGTATACACTGCAGTTTGACTGAAGTATTCAGAATCCATTTCACTTTATTGATATTTCAATAGACACGGTAATTTCATCTTGAAATTAGAACATGGTATTGGGAACAAATTGTATAAACTGCAGTTTGACTAAAGTAATTAGAATCCATTTCACTTTATAGATATTTCAGATCCAGGATTGACACTAAAAAATGGGTGACTATCATCTCCTTAGGATTTTCTTCTCTCTTTATGGTCTGAAGTGTAAATTGTAATTGGAAATATGGATTCATAAGGAAGTGAAATCTGCAAGAGACCCCATTGTGGACCCCCCAGACCCCCCAGGCAACAGGGTGCACTATCCCGCCCCTGTTCTAACTATACCTTTAAATCCCCATCGTTTAGTCCAAATCTAGAGAGATAAAGTAGATACATTCTAGTCAGTTGGCTAACCAAATAAAACCAATGGCTCATAATTGTGTCTTACTGGATCGGTGGAAAGCATAATTCGTATCCCGGGGTTAAATTAACAAAAACTCTGATGGGTTGCTTGAATTTTTTAAACTTCAGGATGTTTTTTCTTCTACATATCTGATAAGCTGCCGGAAATTTTCATGTTTAGAATTAAGAAATGTTTAGCAAATTTTAAACAATTGAAAAATGGGAAATCAAACGGCAAGTTATTTCATTCTTCAAACATATGATTTTTCGAAAAAATATTTTTGTAAATTTAATATTTGTCCTCCTTAACTGACCTGATTATCAGGTTCTGAGGTTAGGGCAGCCTCCACCTGCTGAAGCTGAAGGTTGTAGGTATTTAACTCTTCTGCCATTCTTTCTGAAATTAATACTATTATCGTTAATTTCAGGAACGGAGTGGTTGGTGAGTGATGCTTAGTATTGGATCAGATTGGTTTGGATTCTTTTAAATAATCCCCCCCTTATGAAAAATTATTTCCCCCTCAGTATGTCATTGTCTGATGTGTGTTCAGGGGTTAATTCGCTAAATTGGAGAAAATCACGGATTTCTAATAATAAAAAGTTGATTTTTAGAGTTAGAAAAATTCTCCCCCACCCGACCTCAATATCTTCCAAAAACATAATTTCCCCTCTTTTTAAAAATATATATCCATTTAAATAAGGTCAATGGTGTACAAACAAATCTGTAAGACCAGTCTTGATTTTCTTTTGCTGATTTATTATCAATTATTTGTCGTAGTTTTTTTTCTGTCTTTAATTCTTGAAGCTCCCAGCTCTTGATTTATCTAAAGGACAATATTTATCTAAAATCCATACGAAATAATGTTTACAAGGGACTATTAACCATATTTAAAAGGACTATTAACATAATTTAAAGTAACCAATTATAAAAAAAAATCATGCTGAACATAAGAAAATGGAAAAATGACTCAATGAATTTATGACTCTATAATTTTTTAAATAAGAATTCCGATTAATGTAACATCATAACTTTAGCTATTTCAAAAGAAGTTTAACTTATTTAAGATAAATTCCTTCGTGTATAAAAGAGGATGGGATTTCTTCTCATGCGCCATTCTGTTACTTTGGTTCTGGTATTCTCGTGTACAATATCTAAACATTTTATTACTTTGATTCTGGTATTCTCGTGTACAATATCTAAACATTATATTACGTTGGTTCTAGTATTCTCATGTACAATATCTAAACATTCTATTTCTTTGGTTCTTGTATTCTCGTGTACAATATCTAAACATTATATTACGTTGGTTCTAGTATTCTCATGTACAATATCTAAACATTTTATTTCTTTGGTTCTAATATTCTCGTGTACAATATCTAAACATTAGATTACGTTGGTTAAAGTATTCTCATGTACAATATCTAAACATGTTATAACTTTGGTTCTGGTATTCTCTTGTACAATATCTAAACATTATATTACGATGGTTCTGGCATTCTCGTGTACGATATATAAACCTTCTATCACTTAGGTTCTGGTATTCTCGTGTACAATATCTAAACCTTTTATTACTTCGGTTCTGGTATTCTCGTGTACATTATCTAAACCTTCTATTACTTTGGTTCTGGTATTCTTGTGTACAATATCTAAACATTATATTGCTTTGATTCTGTTATTCTCGTGTACAATAAAATATTACTAATAGTCTTGCGTGACATGTTCATATGTAGTGGTTCCATTATAGAGCTTGAATGAGAAGTTTCCTTCGGTAAAAACTTATTTAATTACTATATAAATATTTTATATGTACGACTTAAAAAACGGCAGAAGGTAATTAAAAATAGATTTATAAATGCTAACAAAGACCAAGATCTCCAAAAATCACGGCAAATTATTTTGTTCCCACCCTAAACAAAAACAAACCATGTTAAAAATTACCTGCATTTGAATGGTGTTCTGCCTTCATGCATGCTTAAATGTCCTTTCCAAACATGTTTATCAGTAAACCCTTTCTCACACTCTGTACATGTGTACTTTAACTCGTACCAAGCAGTATGTACACGCAACATATGCCCTAAAATCAAATGCAAAATGAGAACGGGTGGAATTGTGAATGTAATAATTCACTGTACACTTAAAGGGAGTGATCAGATCGCAAATAATTCAAATCGATATCAACCTATACCTTTACCTCTTAACATTTTTCGCGAACAGTTAAGAAAAGTTAAGGGACCCATGGTTTCTACATCTTTCAAATGATTTCTTCACTTCAGTTTGTTTTAGAGATTTTTCAAAAATATAAACCCGTTTAATATTCTTTACAAAGATTATTTTCAAGTATTAAGAAACACAAGGGGGGGGGGGGGGTGACGAACGAAGATTTTTTATTTATTTTTACCTTTTAAATAATTTTTAGTGTGGAACAACTTTGAACAATGAGGACAAGGTATCTCAGGCTTATTATGCAGAAGAAGATGGGTTCTCAAATCAATCTGAATCATAATTTTTCTTCTAAATAAATTAGGAATTGTAACTTTTTTTTCAGAAATGTACTTTATCTTCCATTATTTGTAAATGAAAGGTTTAGTAGACGAAGTGTAATTTATTGCTTATTGTCTGGGTTTACAGAATAGTTGAAAATTAAATTATTAATTTAAATCTTTAATCAAAGAAGAGGCAATCCATAAATGGAAACTAAAAGTTAGCACAATGAAACCATTTCATGGCACCACTTCCCAATTTTTAGAAAAAAATTATCCTTTTTAACAAACCTGTCTATTAAACTTCTGCTGACAATAGGTACAACAATACATCACATCATCTTGGACTTCTCTAAAAATAATTTAAAAAAAATTGCAACACAAATATGTAATATCAATAAAAAGGCGAAAAAGTTAAGTCCCAACCATCAATAAGTTTTAGAAAACATACAAAAAGGAAAACTCATTATTCCTTACAGCTTTAATTAGGCGGGTCATCTCTAGAGATGAAAAATGGCAAATTTGTAGAATAAACTGGCAGATTTTTAATCCAAATTTGAAATCAGCAGACAGAGAAACCTTATCCAAATAGTTTTTACGAGGGACCCTGAAATAAATTAATTTACTATATCTTACCCAAAAATTAGATAATTTTCTTGGCATCCACATTAAATAACCGGCCCTAGTAAATAAATGCATAAACCTACTTGTGAAAATGCGTCAAATGATGACGTAGAGAATTTTTGTGCGCAAACTTGGATCCGCAAATTTCGCAAACATGCTGCTTTTCTTCCTCGCTAAATTCAGGTTTAACCCTTCTGTAAAATTCTTGTCAATTATTTTTCAACACATTTTTATGAATTTTTTAAACGAAAAATGCCTGCTAAGTTCAGTTTTTTATATGCAAATAATTCCAAAATCCCCATTTTAAAGAAGTATTTATTAGAGGTTATTTGTTAAGAATCTAGATTCTGCAATGTACATAGATGTGTATATTTCTTATTCATTTTGTATTCAAAAATATAAAATTAGGAAAAAAGGACCAAGAATGTTTCCTGTGAAACAGCTTCATGTGATCTCTTAGATTCCATTCAGATGATAACATATCTTCACATAAGGTACAGGAAGTTTCAACAGGAATATGAAGCTTTTCATGCTCCCGCAATCCACTTAAATTAAAAAAAAAACATGGTTACGTTGGTATTTTTTTTTAACTATATACAGGGTTCCTTACGAAGGAGGAGACTTAATTGACGTCGCGACGTTCACCCCACTGAATTTGACGATCTAAAGGTCAAATTTGTTTTTGCCTTAGGTACTTCATTTAATGATTTGGGAAAGAAAGAAGCAATTTTCTATTGGCAGGAAACCATCAATAAGAAAAAAAGTAATTCCGTACAGTCGTAAATAAAGTCTCATCCTATGCTAAATTTGTTTTTGGAAATGAATGAAAATGTTTATGAATCCTTGTTCCCATTTTTATAACGATCACATAAAATTTTCGTACCCTGAGGTTTTGAATGTTGACTCACAATCAGAACAGTTTAAAGAATTCTAAACCTTAAGGATTATACTTTCATTTCAGCATCAGTGAATTTACATACTATAACATCACTGCATTCGATGATGGATAAAATCAAAAACAACGGAATTTAAATAGCATCGAGAAAAATTAACAGTTTTTTGCTCTTAGTTAATTTAGGATGAGAAAACATAATCCTGCCTGTAAATGAACTGTTTCGATATGTTCTTTCAATTTTTCAGATTTACGAAACCGTTTTCCGCAATGAACACACGCAGACACTTAATAAATTTTTTTATATTATTTGAAAATTTGAAACTACATTGTTTTTGAAAACGCAAACCTTTAAATTTTCTCTTTCTTGGCATATTTTCTTTGTTTCTCAGTCTTGATATTTTTCTGCAGGGTGGCGCTGCAAACAGGGTTTAGGTTAAAAATAAACTAACTAGTACTAAACTTTTTTATAAATAATTTTTGTGAATGATCTGGCAACGACTTTGAAGAATTGGCGGGGTTGCTGAACTGCCTACTGCCGGTTCAAATCTAAAACACCGATTCAAATTTTTCCTGAATCTTTAACTTTGAATTGGTGATATAAATTTGAACCAGCAGTTGGTAGGTAGTTCAGCGAGGTAGCTCAAATGCTTAGAGTTTGGTCCCAGATTTTGTGAATATTGATTTGACCCAGAAGTCATGTACCTGTCACGTTGGAAGTATTTAAGTTAACGATACTGACAGAATTAAAATCATCCGCATCAAAATGTTTGCTTGAAGAACCCTGGTGGAGGGAAGGATTTTTGAAGGAATTTTGAGTATTCATGCACCCCAGCATTTCTAGCAGATCATTTATGTTCAAAACACTATGACCTGAAATAACACAACAATACATGACCAAAACTAAATTCGTAATTTATTTCTAGAAGGGATCTTTAAGTCAATTTTCTAACATCCAACACTTTATTTTTTCACAATACTTCATCAAATATTCGTAAACATCCATTAACTAAAAACTATCAATGATTAGCAACATATTAAGAAGAAGAATTTACTTCTGTACCGAAAAAGCTATAAACATATATAAAACCATTATTAGCAATTTTTAGGATATTTGGTAATGCACTAAAATGTACGCACTTAGCCGAGTACCTTACGTCGGTAAATCCCCCCTAGAATATTTCATAAGCATGATTATACAGATACTATAATTACTAAAATGACCTGAATGCATGATGTCTACTAGACCCTCCAACTGTTTACTGGTAAAATCGGGAAGAATAATACAGAACTCGTTCTCATGCACATCTTCAACATCCAACAGTAAGGAGTGGATAAACGGACTTGCTAAAAGAAAAGATCTTACTGAACTTTCAACTTCAAAATACAAGGGGACTGAAAACACAATTTTTAAGCGACAATTAATTTTTCGATTCACAATGGTACCCTTTAAACTTCTATGTAAGTAATAATCAGAAAGATAAAGTCGTTTGTCTATTTGTGTTGAATTCGTAGAATTTCCTGAATTGTCTCTGGAAAAGCCTCAATTAAAAACAACTAATCATATGTTTAAAGTATATCCAAATAAAAAAATTGATTAATGGGGGGGGGGGGGCAATAAATACCCAAATCTAAGGAATCTATATAAGAAAGTCACCGGAAAACATTACTTGAAATAAAGTCCTGAGTTTTTAATTCCTGGGACTTTTTTTCCTAAAAAATATCGGAAGAAAAAAGTCCTCAGTCTTGTGAAAAGGAGATAATGTCAGATACGTTTTCATAAAAAGGACTTTTCATCTATGCATCTGCATATTGAATATAGCCAGGGGTGTTTTTAATATAAAGCCCCTTTTTGCATATAAACATCTTTTGTTACCATGCAGTTTCTACTTAAACAGGACTTTTCTCCGGGGAAGTTCTCGTATAAGATCATAATGAAACCAAAAATTAAGTCCTAGAAAATAAAATCTTAGAATGGTAGGACTTTAATTCCAAAACTTTTATGGCGGTTACCAGTCTAATTTGTACCTGCAGCTAAGAGTAAGCTACTTGTACTAACATCTCTGTCCCCAGCCCCGTCGCCAGGAATTAATCTTACGTTAAATAAACTTGTAAAGTTTACCATCTCCTTTAATCTCTCGAGTAGGACTTCTAATCCTAAATATAAATATTCAAAATATATTTCATCCTATCCGTGTTGTGTTCTTTTTAAACATGTGTAAGTAACGTGGCTCCTCCTTACCTTCCGTTTCTCGGTATCCATCAGGGTACATAACAGACATTTTGGTTTGATAAATAACAAATATTTCCTGATAAAATATACTGTAGAGGTTTCTTGCAATCTTACGAGGGTAAATTTTTTTTCAAAATGCCCGTAGCTGAATTTCTGCTTAAAGTGTACACTATTTCATCCATGGTAGGGTTGTTCAAACTTAGAAGATATCGTCTTTGTTGTAGCAATTCAATCAACTAATCGATGGTATTGGGCATGACCTACGCATATCCTCTATATTACTCTTCTAACCTGCTGTTATAATTCCGTTAAACTATAGCACATTATTGAACGTTTGGGGCCCCAGCGCTCAGCCCCCTAGCCGCAGCACTGGGCCCATGAAATTGTCTTAACCTAACCTAGCCCAAAATAATGTGAAACGTACAGCACATTATTCGACTTTGAAGAGGCCCCAGCCCTCTATAGACAATCCTTGCCGCAGCGCTTGGCCCAGAAATTGTCTTAACCTAACCCATGATAATCTAACATTTTGTAACTGTTGACGTTTTGATGTATTAAACATTTTGTAATTTCGACAATTTGTAGCATAGTCAACATTTTACAGCAGTCAACATTTTGTATCTTCTATGTTTTGTTATTCGACGTTTTGATAATCAACGTTTGATAATTGACGCTTTGTACTAACTGCTTCTCGAGGAGGGCTTTGATCACAATGTGAGTGTTGGAAAGCTCTGTGTCCTATTTTAAACTAAGTATAGTCCTTATAAGTACGCAAAAATAAATTTAAATTCAAACCCTACACCGGCCCCACATTCCCTCATAATAGTTAAAAAAGCATGGTGCTTCAAGATGCATTCAATAACTGATTACCATAACTTAATTTTAACTAAATTTTTAACAAGAATCCCGAAACTGATATTCGATTGTATAAACGCCATTAACGGTGAATGTGAAGGAATTATTTGTCGAAAATTTTGATAAAAGGCTCTAAATTTATTATTAAATTAATTGTTATAAAAAAGTTTTCTTAAGACTAGGTTTATAGACTGAGAACAGAACTACATCGTGTGCACAAATCTTGGCCAGCATCTGCACAAAGTCGTCTACAGCGAGCACACCGAGCACTTGAGTTTTCGATCACGCACACTTCCTAAATTATACCGGAAAGAATGAGACTTTAATAACGACCTGGATATTGCAATCTTATCCAAAGGTAAAATATCACATCCGTCTTACAAGTAGGACTGGGCGTCATTCTTGGGCCGGGGAACAATCATTCTTTAACAGGGACGAAATGAACGATTTAAAAAAAGAAGGAACACGCCCAGCCCTACTTACAATCCTTATTTGTTGTGAATATCCCTGATGTGCGCTTGTTTTGTATGTATACATATAATAGAATGGATATATTATAGTCAAGGTTTGATGTAATTTTCTGGGTGAGGTGTCACGCAGAACGTTAGACATTGGACCCAAGACTTACAATTTGTTCTTGATTTTCGTAAAGTTGTTGTTGTCAAAAGAATATATAAAAACATTTAAAGTCTTTAAAATTTAGCATACTTCTTTGTATCATAAAAGTAGTCGGAGACACTAAAGAATTTAACAACCTTGGCTATATTTAATTTTAGACTAATTTCTCAATATCTCAGTCAATTCTGAAGATACAAAAACGGCAGACCACATTTTGAAAATTTCAGAACAAGGCGAATTTGATGCTACATATCTCATTTCTGCTTACTCCAGGGCACACGATATACCAAAGCTCTACTTTGATTTGGACCCTGAACTTCAATTCAAACTTTTTAAAGTAAGTGCAACATGCAGAGATTAAAAAAAATTCCTAAAAAATCTAGGGTCCCCTCAGCTTTAACAGCTGTGAAGCACAACCACAAAATTACATGTACGCTATCCCAGAATCGATAGATAGAAGTAGATCGATAGATAGAGGCATATCTATTAGCGGGTCGTGGGTTGTAACGTCACAAACTTGTATAAATTGTTTCTAAAGTGAGACCCATGAAACTGTAAAATATAAAGACGATAATCAAGCAATCTTACGTGCATTTGATAATGTCAAAATGCAAAAAGTTTACTACTTGCTTGAATTACATTGCAGAATAGTTGTGTCATGATTTTTTGGCCAACACAAAAATTGAGTCTAATGGCTGTCTTCCTATTCTTCTGTATTAGGGTCTCACTTTATGAAACTGCCAGCTTGTGAGTAGTACACTTAAAAAGAAAGATAATGCTAAATACTGAATTGTTAAGTGTAAATTGAGAAGCGTAAGTTGAGAAGCGTAAGTTGTGAAGTGTAAATTGTGAAGCGTAAATTGTGAATTTTAAAGATTAGAAACTGAAAATTGTCAAGTAAATACAAATTTTAAATGATCATTGTTGGTAGAAGAGGAAACTGTAAGTTAGTAGGCTAGATAGTTAGTTAGTTAGTTTGTTTTAGGAAGTAAGTAAGTAAGTAAGTAAGTAAGTGAGTGAGTGACTGAGTGAGTGAGTGAGTGAGTGAGTGAGTGAGTGAGTGAGTAAGTAAGTAAGTAAGTAAGTAAGTAAGTAAGTAAGTAAGTAAGTAAGTAAGTAAGTAAGAAGAGAAATCCAACCTGTTTCTGAGTAGGTGTAAGATGAACTGTGAGTACACCTAGTATCTCAGCTATCTGTTCTACAGGATACTGGGACAATACAGCAAGCTCATCACCAGGTAACTAAGATCAAATCAAATCAAATCAAATCAAATCAAATCAAATCAAATCAAATCAAATCAAATCAAATCAAATCAAATCAAATGATATGAAATCAAATCAAATCAAATCAAATCAAATCAAATCAAATCAAATCAAATCAAATCACCTCGCTGGATAAAAAAGTATAAAAAGAGGAGAAAAGTTAATTCCAGTTGATGTCCCGTACCCTCCCCCCCCCAGGAAAATCGTCGAGAATCATTTCCCAAAAAAAACCTGTGTACACTGTACACTGTGGCTTTGTGCTTAATTGGTAAACAAAGAAAAGATGCTTATTATAAATAAATAAAAAAAAGTTCAACCAATATTCCTTAGATATCAAGGCCGAGAAAGAATCGCCTCAGAACGGAAATTAGTGTAACAATTGATTAATGACACAAGTCTAGTGGAATCAACATGTCAAGGGCTAGGCCAATAACATAAATCACCACCCTCTCCACACAACTTACAAAACCACGACTTTACTACCTTTAGATTTATTCTCATATCTCCAGACTTGTTAAAGGTTTTGTTTATTTCCTCTCTCAGATCCTCAATGATATCAATACTAAACAAGATCTAATCAATACTTAAAGAAACTTTTGACGTAATTTCAAGTACCCCTTTGGTCCCACAATGTATTAACTGTCATGTCCGATTCACAAAAGTACCCTTAAAAACTTTGTCCAAGAATGATTAAGAAATCCATGTTTTAGTTTTGAAATTTGATATTTCCTAGTGTGGTTTCAATAAAATACAAGTGACTTGCGGATTTCTGCTACAAAACAATTTTCAGAAATAAACAAAATGAACACTTTATAACAAAAAAAATATATCTTACCCGTTATTGATCAGATAAAGGTTTAAAGGGTACCATTGTGAATAGGACATGCCTTCTTTTAATCGAGGGTCTCTCTAATTCTTTTATGTAAAAATTCTATAATTGATTTTGTGCAAATTCCTTATTCTTTCAAAGAATGTTCAGAATGTAAGTTAATTCTGTCGAGCTAGAATTTGATTACACTTTCCGTAGAGAAAATTCTAGTTGAGGTAATCTTGACCAAAAAAAGATATAGTAAATAATTACATTTTAGGTATTTACCATTTTTGTAGATCATTGTTTAACCACTGCTGATCAGTAAACCAACCAACCTCTGTGGGGCTTTTCAATACACTTACTAAATTCAAATTAAACAAATGATAAATGAAGGTACTTGAATATTGTTCGATTCTTAAAAGGGAATGTTGACGTAATTTCATGTGACTCCTCCATATCTTCATCTTTATTAATCAGATAAATGATCAAGGTACAGCTGTGAATCGTACATTGCCCTCTTCAAATGAAGGGTCAGGGGAAATTACATGACAGTCCCTATAAGGAAGTGTTCGCAAAAAAATGAAAGGGGTTCAGGTTGAAAATTTATTATGAATTAATAGATTGTCGTCCTAAACGCAACTGGGCCGATAATAGTACAGTGCAGTGCAAGGCTTAGTCGCCAGAAAGAGATTTAGACTTAAATTCTTTTTCCCAAAACTAGTGGTAATAATGGTTTTAATATAAAGTACAAACCATATTTTTTCGTTTAGAAATTACCTTTAAGTGTTTTTAATTTAATTCAATTATAAATGAATTTAAAAATTTAAAGATAAAAATATTTAGTTTTTATTTAATTTTCCTGTATATGCTGCTTCCTCTGCTAAATGTGGAACTATTGGACTAAGAACTCCTAAAAATCCCTGAAAAATCATATAATCAAGGAGGGATCATGAGTATAAACTCGTAAGACAGGACATACTACCTGGCAAACTAAGTATAAACTCGCAAGACAGGAGATACTACCTTGTAAGCTAAGTATAAACTAGTAGCACAGGAAATACTGACTGGCAAGCTAAGTAAAGATTATAGACAGAAAAAACTGCCTTGCAAGCTAAGTGTAGACTAGTAAGACTAGTAAAACTACCTGGCAAGCTAAGTTTTTACTAGTAAGATAAGAAAAACTACCTGGCAAGCTAAGTGAAGACAAGTAAGACAGTAAAATTTACCTGGTAAGCTAAGTAAAGACTAGTAAGAAAGGAAATGCAACCTGGCAAGCTAAGTACAGACTAGAAAGATAGGAAATACTACCTGGCAAGCTAAGAACAGACTAGAAAGATAGGAAATACTACCTTGCAAGCTAAGTAAAGACTAGTAAGACAGTAAATACTACCTGTCAAGCTAAATAAGACAGTAAATACTACCTTGCAAGCTAAATAAGACAGTAAATACTACCTGGCAAGCTAAGTAAAGACTAGTAAGACCGGACAGTCTGGAAAAACTTTTCTCTGCATCACAGTATAATCTACANATATTTTGAAATATAAAAAAATAAAATAAAAAAATTGAAATTGATCTGTAGTGATTATTGAACACTGTGTCTTTGGTTTAAAGATCGTCTTTCTCTTCCAATATTTGGATGGCTGTATAATTTTATTGTTTCTTTGCAAGATTATCTGTTAATTATTTTATTTTTATTAAGGAATTGTTTTATATTTCTCTCGATGCTATATTCAGTATAATATATACCATATTTTACTTATTATCATGATTTCGATTTTTAGATTATAAATTTTGAAAAATCTATCCAAATTAAAAGTATTAAGATACGTTTTTACCTTGTTATATTCCTTCGCCTCATAATGATTATGAACCTTTTCCTGATAAAAATTATTTTATGTTTATTTATATATATAAAGTAGTAATCACTGTTTGTTTGTTTGTATGTCCGATCATAACTCAGAAACTTATGACCGATTGGTCTCAAATTTTGATTGAAAAATCGTTAGAATAACGGGAAAGTTCTAAGCTCGGTTTAAATATTCAAAGTGGAGTGGGATAACTATTGTACAAAAAAGTATGTTCCAGGCAAAGCTGGGTTCCCAAGCTAGTTATAAAACATTGTTATAACTGAAAGTGACGATGGGCCCAGTTCTAAGTATCTATATAATAAAACAAGACATTCTCGTATAAAGGCATAAAAAAAATTCGAAACGTTTTTTTCAAATTTTTTTTCCACGGGCAACGCCGGGCCGTTCGGCTAGTAATTCATAAAATGCATTAAAAAAAGTCAAAACATGACCCAAGGGAAGTTTATGAATGGTCGAAATTGAAAAATGTTGCCTAAAAACATAAACTTTTACGATTTTTGAAAATCCACTAATTTTAACAAATTTTTTTAGCAAAATTCGTGTTTCTTGGGACACGATCAAAAAAGTAACAATTAATTGCTAAAATTGTTAGTAGAATAGGAGCCTGAAGCGCCATAAAAGCCTAGTTCAGTATTTCTCCAAAGAGGGAAAACATCTATTTAAAAGGAGGTAATGTTTGGTTACCTGAAACAAGGCAAGTTTATGAAGCAGAATTTTATCAATAAGATTGAGATCTTTGTATTCCAGTAAATCACAGGGTTCAACATTACTCAGCATACCAAGAAAGAACCTAAGATAAGTACAGGTCTAAAATCCCAGTACAAACTAAGTTTCAGTTAAGGTGCTGGAAGAAAGTACAATATATATTTTAAGTAAAAGTGCTCTGTCAGGAGAAACCCTATTACTCGAATTAAATAATGAAAGAAGACAGTTCGACTTATCGAAAACTTTAATTTTAAGAAATATCAATTCAATGGAATCTTGTAAAACTTTGACAGAAACTCATAAAACTTTGATAGAATTTCATAAATCTTTAAAAATTCACAAATCTTATAATTATATTAAACAAAATGATTCTGGTGATAACATACCTAAGACTATTTCTAATTTTGTTAAGTTCTGATTGTGAGGCCGCCATTATGTTATTTCCGACAAGGACTGAGGATCCAGTGGAAGCATGTAATCCAACCCACCATCTAGAAATAGTACACTACGGTCAAAGATAATATATATATAGATATGCAGGCAGGTATAAATTTAGAGGTCTTGAGAAAAGGTGCAAACAGCACCATCTCTGTCGTACGCATGGCATTTTATCCTTTGGATTGTTGCTAATTTATCACTTTGCTTATGCGTGATAACACTAAATGCGTACTATAGTATCAACAATGTATACTGCATATTGTACTTAATGAAACAAATTAATCAATGCAAATAAAACTGAGGTAGGAATTTGACTAGACAAAGTTTAAATGTGCAAGTTGTACTGAATGACATACGTAAATTAACGCAATTTAAATAAAAATTATTACTATAAAAGTACATCGAATCTAGGACAAAGTACAACTGATCTGATCATAACATAAACAAAACGCGTACTGTATGTTTGTGTTACCTTGAAATTTAATTTTATTGGTCAAACAGGTCCAGATAGCAACACTTGAACTATACAGGATGCAATACGCGTACTGTATGTTTATATAACACAAATGCGTATTTCCTGAAAGGGGAGAAAGGAATATAGAAAGTAATCAATTTGCTATAGATGTCTCTCCTTGCACCTTTTCTCAGAGGTTCAAAAATTAGTTGTCTGCTACAAGCAATTTTGGAAGGAGGTTTCTACCTGCCTGCATATCTATATATATATTATCTTTGACTACGGTACACAGAAAACTGAGCACTAAGCGTATTATGGTGTAAGCATGTATTCCAACCCACAATGTAGAAATATTACACTACACTACAGCCCACAGTAAACTGTACACTACAGTACACAGTAAACTGTGCACTAAGCGTAGGTTAGTGTAAGCATTTATTTTCTTTATTTAAAGAAAATTGCTGGGGTTGTTTCTGGCCTTCCAACCCGCCGACTAGAAATAGTACTGTATACTACAAAATATATAAACTGTTAGATAGTTCCACTGAGGTTCAGATAAAAGACTAAGAGAGGATTAACCCTGAATAGATTGATTTGAATTAACTTACCTAAGAACATCAACTCCTAATGCTGGCTTCTTTTTGGTACCTTCGATGACATCTTTGGGAGCCAACACATTGCCCACAGATTTTGACATCTAGATAATGAATAATGATATGCTACACTGCTACAGGGGGTCCCGCATCAGAATGGATTATTCATAGCTCTAAATTGAGATTTTTGGGATTCACAAACAAATGTAAGGCTAATAAAATAATTTGAACGCAGATAATATTCAATACATGTATTGGTATTACATCTTGAGTGGGTAATGTTACGTCGTCTAAACGCAACATCCCCTCTGCTGAACTTCTGACCTTCTGCAATATCTGATCTAAGACAGGTGTTAACTTTTTATTATTTGATGTTCAGGTTAGGATAAGGTAATTTTTTGGTCGATCACTGCGGCTAGGTTAAGCGCTCCGGCAACCAGTTTTACAACCATGTGCGAGTAGGACAGATGTTTACTACAACTGATGTGCGTAGGTAGAAAAATAAACCATCCTTGAGGATATTCCAATTTGAAAATGGACAGGCTGGAGCTATGTGGACAAAATATTTAATTTATTTATCACAAGTACAATATGGGGTCACCTTGTTTCCTTCTTCATCCAAAGTGAACCCATGAACAGATATTTCCTAAACAACATCAGGATTTATGATTTTAATAATTTCTTTAAAGTAAAGTTTTGGACAATCTTAATTCTTTAAATTCTTTGCATCTGAGCTAACATGAAATTATAATCAACATATTAAATTAGTTTTCAGCTAGTTTAACACCTTATTTCAAAAACGAAGAAATAAGAGAAAACTTCCATTAAAAAAATCAAAGTTTTTTAAAGTAGTAGCATAAATAAAAGAAAAAAAAATGATTTAACCTTATATGGAGCCTCCCCCCTGAGTGCAACACTGGTAAGCAGGGATGTATAGAACCAACCTAAAATACTCCAGAGGATAAAATAGATGTCTAAAAGTAGGATTATTTTTCTTCTTAAAAGAACTGTCGTTGTAATTTTTAGTGACCCTCTCGTTTTTCTAGCTTGAAAAGTAAATAACTTATTTTTTCTCAATATTGTTTTGGAAGCAAAAATCAACAGGCCGAATTTAAAGAATTTGAGCCGCGGCTTAAATTTGAGACACGGCTCAAATATTGTTGGTTCCCGTTAAAATCGTGTTCAATGTTTCAAGATTTAATCCAGCGCTCAATTGAAACCGGTTTTTGGTGGATTTGAGACGCGGCTGAAATTCAGTAAATTCGGACTCATTTTAAAAGGAACCACAAATGAAAAAATTCAATTCTCAAAGATAAAAAGATCGATATCGATAAAATTTGTGCAGCGCAATATAAAACCCCTGTTCTACTACCTGAATACTGGTCTAATCCCTCCAGGTACAAATCAGCTGTTTTATCTCCCAGAACAGCCGCCCAGGATACTCCACTGTCAAACCATATATCGAGGATATCTGCCCCTAACCTAGCGGCATGGTCTTCATCATCATTATTTAATTTAATTTTCTTCATTTTCATTTTTTGTTTTATTTTACGATGAAAAGTCTAATTATATGCCAAATTCTTATTGGAATTAGTCCACGAATTTCCGATAATTAACGAGGAATTTCGTTTGTTTGTTTGCTGAAAATTAAATCCATCACAATTATTCCACAGTTTTGGAGAGTGCTACGAAAAGTAGCTCTATACATATATATATATAATACTTTTTAATTTTTTGTTTGTTTAATAAAGTTGATAAGAAGAAGAATTATTTAATTTCAAATGCTTTTATTGTTTGAAAGCTGATCTTTACCTGAACTGCTCGGGATCTAACCCAGTACCTTCCAGTATATCTTTGATATCTAAAAATAAACATTCATATACTAAAGATTACTCATGGAACTTTTCAGGAACTTTTCCTTTTTTCAAAAAGCACGACATCCTTATAAACAAAAGTGTGTTTACTGACCCATGGTCCAGGAAAATTGTATTTAATATCCAGTATAATTGTCCACCAAAAATTAACTTACTCATAAATGGTCCAACAAAAATAAATTTATTGATCTATGGTCCAAACAAAAATGAATTTGCTTCCCCATCATCCATCAAAAATAAAATAACTACCCATGGCCCACTAAAAAATGGAATTAAAGGTACGTACCAAAACCATCTTACTGACCACCAAAAATTATTTCTAGCGCCAAAGCTTCATCAAAAATTAATTTACCCATATGGTCCACAAAAAATAAATTACTGACCCATGGTCCACCAAAAGCCAGGTCCATTAGAGTCCACCAGAGCACAATATCTATCTATCAACTTGTCATTGACCACCGGTGAATCTGTCCTACAAGTTTGAAAAATATAAAAACTAAAAAATCATGAAGATTCACTTAAAAAGGTCGTTTACATACTTTAAAATACACATTACACAAATTAACCAAAATTTCGGAATTATAAACAATATTTTCTCTGCAGGCTAAACCAACGGATATTTTCTGCCATGATAACTATCGGGTTAAAAAAAATGGATTATCAGTTTTTGATTTCATATCATCTGGAAAGCTTGTTTCTTTCTATGAGTATCAATTACATTTTGTTTTCTAATGCAACTAGGATTCCTCATTCTTTCCCTAAAAATTTATATTTTTTTAACAAGAAACTTACTTTTTGTCATAAATAACTGGAATAGGGGTTCCCCACACACGCTGTCTTGAAATGCACCAATATGGACGCTTCTCGATAACTATCTGAAATGAATAGATAAATAAGATAAATGGTATTTAAAAATACTTTTACAATAAATAGAAAATGATTTCTTTCTGAGCCTTTGAAGTTTTGTTTCTTCCAAAATTTTCAAATAACAGCAAGCTTATTTGTCAAGCCAAAAAGTAGGAAATAAAAGTTAATTTAGCTAGATAACATAAAGAATCTGATTTTACCTGAAAACTTTTGACAGCTGAGGCAGGTTGTATCTTCACCTTCTTCACCGCCTCCAGGGCCTTCTCCTTCAACATGTTGGTGTTAACGAACCACTGCTTAGAGGCTCGGAGGAAGACGGGTTTCTTGGTCCTCCAGTCGTAGGGGTAGGAGTGGGTGTACTGCTGCTGCAGAAGGATATCGGAGGCAAGTAGATCTAGAACCTTCTTTGTACCATCACCTAAGAATATATCAAATTATAAAATGCAATCCACGAAAAAAGCCTAGTTTCTTTGAAAGATAAATTAAAAATTAGTTTTTTAAATAACAGAGCACAAGAATCACCTCTTAAAGGAAAAGTAGTGAAAATTACAAGCGCCCCTTTATTTAATTAGTGGCATGCCCGATTTACAACAGTACACTTTAACCCAGTATGTGATCAATACCATGGAAGATATCATCTTTACTTTAATAGTTTTAATATTGTTCTTTTTACAGGAGATATCAACAAGTCACTTTTGAAGAGAAACCACAGTTGAAAAAATTAATTTTTACAGTTAAAAACATAAATATATCAAAATTTTTTTAGTACACACCCTTTCAAATTTTTTTTCTAGTTTACATAGTTATTTACCCATTATGAAAAGTCCAGCAAGGTTGGATCCCACAGATTCAATATATTTTCCATCTTCATCCACCAAGCAGCCAAGGGGGAGGTTGTGTGCCAACCCAATCCTAAAATTTATCATTTTCCAGAATTTTAGGATCGAATCCCGTGGGGTTTCACATTTTCCAAAGAAACAGGAGGTCCAGAATATAAGGAAATTAAAAATATTTACTTAATAATGAAACTTAAACTTAAATCAAATAATTTGCACACAAAAAGTTTGGCAAAATACAACAAAAAAACAGTCAAGGAATATATTAGAAAAATAAAAACAAGCAAAAATAAACCACAATTAAACTAAAGTATTGTTCACTTGAAATCGTCTGGTCCATGTGCAGGTGCTGTATGAACTAATCCAGTTCCACTGCTGCTGGTCACGTGATCACCAGGTAGAAATCTACGAAGTTCTCCAGGGTATAAAGGATGCGTGTACTCACAGTCGGCCAACTCGTCTCCGCGCAGTTCAGTGATTATTTTTGCGCCGGGCAGAGCAAGGGATATATTGTTTTCTTTGACTAGCTTGCTTGCTACAATATATAAACTAATTCCATGTTGTAGAACAGAATACGCTTCTTTTTCATTGTAACAAATAGCCTAGAATTTAATATGTTAATATTTTCAAATTTACACCATTTTTTAAAATAAAGTTGGATTTTGAAGAGATATCAATTGATGTATATAAACATAAATTTCATTCCTGATTTGCTACAATACTCCAAGGTGTTGTTGTCCATATTAATGCATAAACTTCTTGAGCATGAAAACTTCGCAACTTTTCTGACAATTTGCTCAGTTTGAACCTGAGGTAGATTGAGGTGCTTACATGCGCTGGATTGTATTCAAGTTCGGCCTCCGCCAAGGCAGTTTTAGAGGATGGAGACCAGTAAACTGGCATATAATCACGGAATATTAAACCTTTCTGATGAATTGAATTAAATGTTTTTATCTGTGTTTTAACATACTCTGCATCCATTGTTCGATAGAAGTTGTTCCAATTCGATAGAATCCCCCACTTGGAAAACTCAGTTTTCTGAAAGTTTAAGGAATCGTTTGCGAATTTTCCGGCGATTTCGCGGATTTTTATCGGTGTAAGATTTTTCCCACCTTTCACAGCTTTGAGTTCAATAGGAAGACCATGACAGTCCCATCCAGTAATATAATTAATTTTATGGCCCTGGCTGCATTTATATCTAAAAAATAATAATAATTAGTAATCTATTTTTTATAACTTCCTTTGATATTGTTATATTGATGCAAGTCATTCGATTTTATGAAAACAAATATTAATTTCATAAAACACTCCTAATTTGTAAACTATCAATCTACTATTTTGTAAAAAATTTTATTCGACTATTGAAAAAAATGCATTTTTACCTGATAGTTATATCTTTAAGAATTTTATTGACCGCGTGACCGATATGGGGTGGTCCGTTAGCATAGGGAGGACCATCATGCAGTACATATTCAGTTCCAGATCTTAAATGAAAAAGAATATTTTTAATTTCTGCAATCTGCGTTAAGCAGCAAAGCAAATTGCAAATTGCAAAGCAAGTGTCCCAACCAAGGACATTTATAAAAAGACGGCCATATTTCTAATAGCAATAAAAGTTATTGATTTGAACCTGTTCTCTCTCTGCCAGTCATACATCTTATTGAACTTGCAGTTGTGAACTATCTCTAAATCCCTCTCCACCCTCTTCTTCCCCTCCAATCTACCAGGGAAACCGGTTTTTGGTAAACAAATTGTATCTGAGTACTTCTTGTTCACTGTCTTAGAGGAACCTATGCTTGCACTTGTGTGTAGAAAATATATCTGTGTATAAGAACAGACTGTTCTAGACACTCTGACTGGAAAAAGAAGAATCATTTTAGATCTGAAAAATTTAAAATCAAGATTCGGGTTCATCTTCGCTATCCTCCAAGTCATCAAAATCATCAACGTCATCCATACCCTCGAGGTCGAAGGTTCCGTCCTCCTTGCCGTACCTCTCCTTGATCTCGACCAACTTCTCCTTGGCAGAGGCCTGGTTGTCGGCCTCGGGATCAGCACTATCTAAAATATTCATTCATAACATTCAACTTTTAAAATTGAAAAAGAAGAATATTAAATTAAACGAAAAAAAAATCTTGAAAATCTTGACTTTCAAGGAACCATTAAGATTTTTAAAATTCTAAAACTTTTGTCCACGAGAAAGGAACAACGAGCGTTGAATTTTCTACTGCTCTGATTCAAACTTTTTGGCCCAATAAAAAGTTCAAGCTAAAGAATTAATCTTTCAATTACCTTTCTCCAAGTTCTCTAAGTATCTGAGAAAGGTTCTTCGCCTACGCTCAGGCAGAGCCTTCAAATCCTTCTGGAACTCGGCATCCTTTCTATAAACAGAGATCAGAATAAAACATTTATTTTTATGAATTCTGGTTTAATTTAAGATATTTTTCAAATCAAGACCTTAAATTTAAAGGAGGAAGGGGGGGAGCTTTGGCAACCGCTTGCCTAACGGTATAACATAATTGTACTTTTTATCCAAATTACCAAGGGAACTTAATTCAATTGACTCGTCTAGCGAAAAAGATATCTTATTTATTTAACTTACAAAGCGAATGAAAGAACTTATTACAATTCACTCACCTAGCAACCTAAAGAACTTATAGAATTTACTCACCTCACAACCGAGAGAACTTATGCATTTGACTTATCTGGCAACTGAGAGATCATACTCCAATTGACTCACCAAGCGACTGAGATAACTCAATGCAATTGACTAACCTAGCGACTAAGAGAGCTCAATACAATCGACAGACACACTCAATACATGGACAGAGAAATCTTGTTGCAATTGACTTGACTATGACTTAGAGAACGTAATGCAATTGAATCATCGAGTGACTGAGACAACTTATTGCAATTTACTCACCTAGCGATCTCTGCTGGTGTTAACGGAGGTAGATTAACAAAATCTTCAGTTTTCTCGCCACACTTAGCACACCTATCATAATTATATTTATACATAGTCTCATTTTTATGGCAAATTATGATGATTTAAACATTTTTTTAAGTTGGAAAAACATTAAAATTATTACTTTTTACTTAGCTTCACACAAGGAATGCATCTAGTGTGGTAGGCGTACTTGATCGTCTTCCCCTTAAAAAATCAATCGTTCAATCAAGAATTAAAAAAATTCATTAAATTAGACAAGGACTTTGGGTTTAAAGTTAAAAAGTTTCCCACTCGAGCTCAAAGATAAAAATTTCATCTAGATTGACAGCATGAGTATTTACAAATCCACAAGCGAGACTAGAACTAAGGAAAGGAAAAGTTTATTTGTTCATCTATTTTTCAGATGCCACTTTTTTTTTTTTTAAATAGAGGGTCAATTGAAATTACGTCGACAGTCCCTTTAATTGTGTTTTATTTTTTATTACCTGACAATCCAAGCATTTAGCTGGCTGTGACAAGGGTTTGTATTTTCCGTACTTAATCTTCCAATCGATCACAGAGGTGCATTTCGGACAACAGTTTATAACCTAAAGATTAATTTGATTTAATATGATAATCAATCAATCAATTAACCAATGATAATCTGAATTCATAAATATCTCTCTCTACTCTCTGACCTACTATAAAACATAAATTAAGACTGAAACAAAGAAACTTTTGGACCTTAAGATTTTGAAGAACTTTTGTCTTGTTGTCGGTCTTCCATTTGTCGGACTTCCATGCATGGGTGTTCTGATGCTTAGGTGGACCCTTTTTTGTCGACATTTTACCTGGAAAAAAATCAATTTACAATTTTAGCTTTCTTCTTTTTTTCCAAATGTTCCTTGTCCGAGGACATTGTTTTCTTTTCTTTCTTTAAACTTTTCCTGACTTCTAAACTCTTCTTTTTCTTCTTTATCTTTTTATCCGTGTTTGTGTTGGTAGAGGTTGAGTCAATCTTTGGTTTCTTAGACTTCTTCTCTTCTTTATCATTCCCCCCTCCTTCCTCTCTCTGCTTTCGTTTCTTGCTCGCCTTCACCATGTCGTTGCGCTTGAGCCTGCGCGCCTTGTCGAATTTAGATTCTCGACTGATGCTGTCACGCTTAGGGGCATTGTTCTCAATCTGTTTCTTCACATCCCTGAAAAAATTGTTTGAGGAGGAAATATTTTAAAACCTCCATAAATATAGGTTGTGGGGATATTTCCCCCCCCCCCCGTTCTTAAAAAAAAGAGAAAAGGATAGGATATTTACAAACCACGATGAACTCACAACGTCAAGGAATAAGTGTTAAAAAAACCCCGAAAAATTGACATTAAATATTTAATTATAAACTTGACAATAATTAAGCTTTAAGAAAATAAAAAATAAAAATAATAACTGAAAAAAAAATCAATTTGGTGACAAAATAAAGAATCATTAAGTACCTGGATGTTTTAAGTAGCAACATATATTCAGGAACCTCACATCCGGAGTTTCTCATCACCTATCAATTAATTTTAATCAATTTCAATCAATTAATTAAATTAAAGCAATTCAAAACATTTTAATTTAATTCAAATCAATCATATCAATTCAAATCTTCAATCAATTAATTAAATTAAAGCAATTCAAAACATTTTAATTTAATTCAAATCAATCATATCAATTCAAATCAACACAATTCAAATTAATTAATTAAAATCATCAAATCAATCAAATCTATTCAAAACAATCAAATCTATACATATCAATTCAAATCAATCAAATCAATTAATCTGATCAAATAAAAAAAAAACATCTGTTTAGTCAAGTACACCATATTTAAGTGTAAAACACAAAAATAGCGATGAGACGAATAAGACTATATTTTTTAAGTTTCCTGAAATTTTTTTTTTCTACCTGGGCAATACTTTTGAGAACAGGCCGGTCGGACTCTGTGAAGAACGTGATAGCGGACCCTGATCTACCTGCTCGACCCGTTCTACCGATACGGTGGATATAGCTTACCTAGATAATCAATCAATCAATCAATCAGCCCTTGAATCAATTGAATGACGAGATTCGAAATTCTGTGATACCCTTTATATTCTTCTTAATGTCAAATAAAATCTTCTTTTTGAATACAATTCAACTTTCAAGTTATTATGTATTAATAATAAATCTAAACATTTAAAAAAATTACCGCAGATGGAGGGAAGTCGTAGTTAATAACAAGATTAACTCCCTTGAAGTCGATACCTCGACCCATCAGTTCAGTACATATCAGAACCCAGATACCACCAGATCTACAAATATTATCAGTTCAGTACATATTAGAACCCATATACCACCAGATCTACAAACATTATCAGTTCAGTACATATCAGAACCCAGATACCACCAGATCTACAAACATTATAAGTTCAGTACAGATAATAACCCAGATACCACCAGATCTACAAACATTATCAGCTCAGTACAGATCAGAACCCAGACACCACCAGATCTACAAACATTATCAGTTAAGTACAATCAGAACCCATATACCACCAGATCTACAAACATTATCAGTCTAGTAAATTTCAGAACCCATATACCACCAGATCTATGAACATTTACTCATTTTCTAAATTCAGAATTCAAAATATTTATATTTCTATCACTTAGGCTCAGGGGGTATTATGGAATTAGTCCTGGGGGGGGATATTTTTTTCTTTCCAGGGGGGCTCAGCACCCGTGATACCTGAAAACCCCCTGTAACCCATAGATTTCGCTGGTCCTTGGGGGGGGGGGGGGAGGAGCTGAGCCCCCATAGCCCCGCCTGAATACGCCTCTACTTAGGCTGCATTTATTTTCCGGCCTTGATTTTCTCAAAATTATGAAAGTTATTTTTTTTTATTTTTTAAAGGAAAAAACTTCTGAAAAAACTGCATCATGTGAACATAAATATCAAACATTTCAAATTTAAAATATGTGCAAAAGACAGAATACAAAATGAACACTAACCTAAATGCGCGTACAGTATTTTCTCTTTGTTGCTGAGATCTGAAAATATTCTTTTAAAAATTTTTATTAAAATTTCTTCAAAAAATATTTTTCTAACTGCGTACCTGTCACTATGAATCACATCAACATGGATACCATCATAAAGCAGTTCTTTAAATAACTCCTGAGCTCTCTCCTGCAGTAAATAATAAATATATTTCAAAAACCTTTTAAACAAATTTAGACTAATTGGATTCAAGAGTAAAGGTTCAAACCATTTTTAAACCGTCGTTTGACTTTGAATTATATCCAGCGCTAAAATAATATATTCTATTAGTATGATAAATAATTTTTGAAGATTTTCCTTGGTTTGCACGAATATGAGAACAGGAGGTGTCAACCCTTTCAGGACCAGAGCTCTAAAAGTAAATAAATAAAATTTTCATTTCTTTATGAAAATGTAAATTGTTGGATTACCTAAATGCTACTAGTTTGCCGTGTTCACTTCCACAGTAAAGCAGTTTCTGTTCAATAGTTTCCGTAGCAGAATTAGCAGCTCCCACCCGTACACTCACAAGATTATCCAGACTAAATAATCAAGAAATTTAGTTCATCCAGACTAAATATAGACGTTTAGTCCAATTGAACAACTTTTATAAGTCCTAGCTACATATTCAGAAGTTTTTGTTCAGCCAGGCTAAATATTGAGGAGTTTTAGTTCATTAAAACTAATTATTCGAGAGATTTATCCAGACTAACAATAGAGGATTCTTAGTGTAAAAAGCTTACTTTAGTTTACACCAGCCCTGCACTTCCTGTCCAAGCGTTGCAGAAAACATTCCTCTCCTGAACAAATCTTTTAAATAATGTTTCCTTGTCAATCCATCAACAATCGATAAATCAATCAATATTTTAATCAATCAATCAATTATTATTTCAATCAACCAATCAATAGTAAATATTTCTCTGGGATTTGCTTATTTCTTTTAACAAAACTAATTTACAAAATTTTCTTCTTCTGTTTTCGCATGTTTTTTTTTGCAAAATCTAGATTTGATATTCATTGCTTGGAAAGGTTTAATGATACCTCATTGGTTTACTGTAAAAATTGGTTGAATTTTGAATCCATGGATTTGCACATTTATGCGGATCCGGATCATATATTGGATCCGCATCCTAAGTACTGTATAAAATATCTGACCTTATCCCTGGTCCGTTACAGGATGTGTAAATAGTTGCTAGCTGCTCTCTAAACCCTGATACTCCAGCCTTAAACAAGTTTAGATGTATGGTGTTTTTGTTTTCCTTTTGGTTGTAAATATCTGTATCTTATCTCTAAAGCCCTACACATATTTTTTTCAGAATCATATCGGTCGTAACCGTTTCAAATATAAACTCCGTAGCAATCTCAGAAGAAAGAGCAAATACAATATTCTTTCCGCTGTTTTGGGGTAATTTTTGTCCACTAAACATATACTTTGCATAACAAGGGATTTATTTATTTCCCCCTAAACATTATTCAGTTTCCCCAATTCAGCGAATAAAACCCTAATTTTTTTTTGGCGCTTTTAGTATACAGTATACACCCCTGACTTCGACTAATTTGAAGTTCGTAAAAACTTTGAAAAAAATCAATTTTCAAAACTAACCTCAAAAAGTTTATCTGCCTCGTCAATTATGAGCCATTGAACCTTGGAGAGATTAATAAGTGGGGGATCATGGTTAATCATATAAACTAACCTAGGTAATAAGCATAATTAATGTTATTATCATGGGTGTATATTTTCTGGAAAAATCACCCCCAACTCCCTCTTTAAGATAAAAATAATTAAAAAAGTATTAGACTATGAAAAACTTCGGGGGGGGGGGGATTCTTGAAAACTATGCACCTCTGATTATTAGTATATTTCATAATTTTAATTTTTTTTGTGTACTGTCTATATATATATGGACATTGTACAATTGTAAGCTAAATATAATAAGATGAGCTTCTTTATCTCAATGTTTTTTTATGAACTTTAAGGTTGTATGGGTGTTATTATAGATTGAAATTTAGCCACTTAGATTTGGACCCGTGAATATACTTAGGCATCCGGATCCAGAAAGCAAAAATGTTGCGGTTCCATTAGATCCGGCTCCATAAAGCTATAATGTTACGACTGGATCCGGATCCTAGGAACTGAATTAAATAATAATAAAACTAACCTATTAGGAGGAGAAATCAGAATATCGTGTTTAACTTTATCAGGTTTTGTTTTCTCACTCTTTACCTAAAATAACAAAAATATCTGAGGTCAAAACTTATTTAATTTAAATCTGTTAATGACACGTTTAATCTGATCCCCTTGCGGTTTAATTCAAGTTGTCGGATAAAGCCATTCCTTTCTCAGAATCATTACAAAAAGGAATATACCTTTCCGAGGCTGTATGGTCTTAAACCTGTTCCAGTACACAGCTTTTTACATTCCTGCTCTATCTGTACTGCAAGCTCTAAAACAATAACAATTTCTAACCAAACAATCAATAAATTAACATATTAACAATCAATCAATCAAGCAGCACTTACTTTTTACGTAAGACACTTAACTAGCCAATAAATAATTAATAAATAATTAATCAAGAATTACTTCAATCAATCAATAAAAAAAGCATTTATTTAAAATAATAGGGAATCAATCATTTTTTCTTTAAACTTTCTTATTTATAGTTGATAACTTATAAATCAAAGAATTTATTCAAAGGACAGTATAAAATTGATATACAATGATAACAGGTCTGTATCCACCATTAACTGGAGCTTTATTATTACCTTTGGCGGGAAATATAATGACAGCTCTCTATCCACCATTAACTAGATCGTCATAAATACCCTTGGTTGGAACAATGATGACAGATCTGTATCCACCATTAAATGGAGCTTTATAAATACCTTTGGTTGGAACAATGATGACAGTTCTGTATCCACCATTAACTGGAGCTTTATAAATACCTTTGGTTGGAACAATAATGACAGCTCTGTATCCACCATTAACTGGAGATTTATAAATACCTTTGGTTGAAACAGTGCTTAGGATCCATTTAATTTTGATGCGGATCCGGATCCGGATCCGGATCCAGGTCATTGATCAAAATTTTTTTTTATTTTAGTTCAAATGTCTTTGCATACCTAAAAAAAATGTTAAACATTTTAACATTTTTTTATACTATTTTTCTATTAGTTTGCACAAAATGATAATGATTTTTTTTACTTTATTGGATGAAAAAAAACAGGTCTAATTCATATTAGCTTTTAGTAGAAGGAGGGCGTTTGGAATATCTGCCTTCAGGCAACTCCTTAGGTCTGATTTGAATATCTTCAGGGCAGAGAACAGTCTCTTTATACTGGGAACACAAGATGTTCCTTATCATCTGTATCTTTTTAGCATATGTGCGCCCCATCCCTTTTCCCCCTCACTCTTACACATCCTTACACCTTAATTTGTGAAGACTAAATTTGCTTAGTTGCAATGGGGAAAAGGGAGACTTCTCCCCCCCCTCTCTCTAGTTATTAAAGGGGGTGGGGGGGAGGGGTGCACGGTGGAGGTCTGAGTTAAGATTTGAGCAAGATAGAAACCTGAGACCCTGAGAACATTTTAAAAATCTGTTAAACAATTCAAAATAGGATATTTTTAAGGAAAATTAAAGCTGTTTTGCACATTTTAAAAAATAAAATTGTGCTTGGATCCGGATCCGTGGATCCGCATTTTTTTGCGGATCCGGATCCGGATCTAAAGAGCCAAAATAATGCGGATCCAGCGGATCCGGATCCGGATTCTAAGCACTGGGTTGAAACAATGATGCCCGTTCTGTATCCACTATTAACTGGAGTTTTATAAACTCCTTTGATTGGAACAATTATGACCGCTCTGTTTCCACCATTTACTGGAGATTTATAAATACCTTTGGTTGGAACAATGATGACCGCTCTGTATCCACCATTAATTGGAGCTTTAAGACTATGTAATATGGGAATTAGGAATGCTGCAGTTTTACCAGATCCTGAAACACACGCTAATAAAGAAGGGCTAGTAAAAAATCAGATTTATATACTCTGAAGTATCATAATATATATGTCGATAGATAGCAAAATCCAAAGATCCGAAACTTTGAACTAAATACGTACTTAGCACTGACTTTATATACTTGGTTACCCACACAAAATGTGACTTCAGAGATGATGGTACAAGTTTTGACATGCCTTTAATAATTCTTAGATTTTAAACATTAGAAAGCATTCAATGGTCGTAGTAAATATCGATATGGATATTGGATACACATAATTATGGATATGGATATTGAATACACATAATTATGGGCACAAAAAGAAGCTGTCAATTTTCAGCTTTTCTTTGCTTATGTGTAAACATGTAATTCTAGAAGTCGTCTTTATTGTACTGACATAAAAGCTGACCATTGTATCGGAATCGTCAGAATTAAACACTTTTAAGCCAAGAAGTTCGACAACCTTGATCAGTCAAAGGTTTTAAGAGTACCGTTGTGAATCGGTCCTTGCCATCTTTGCATGGAGGATCATTTGAGATTTAAAAAGAAAGCTCAAATTTCAAATTGTGATACCTAGAAATACCAGGTCATTCATAAATGGTATGCGTAAAAATTTAAACTATTTCTCAACACCCTAATCCGCCGGGGGGGGGGGGGCTATTGAGCACCAACCTGTTGGAGCACAGGACAAAACTTCTCTGTTCTCCAGCATGAGGGGAATGGTCTGCATCTGGACCGGGGAGGGTTTGTTGTAGCTGATGTTGTTAAACAGATTCTCACTTACAGAATATCTCTCACACAGCTAAACAATGACAATTTAAACAGGGGTCGGATTTAATAGCTAGCCAGTAGTTTGACTAGTAACGGATATTCAAATTACCACTCTCGTTTTCATTGCTGAACTTAATCAAATATCCTTATCTAGTTTAACTACATATCCATATTCAATAATTCCTACCTCAAGGTGCAAATAAAAATTTGAAGAAAATATTTAGAATTTTAGATTAAAAATGATAAATTTCCAGAATTAATATTCTAGATATAAAAATTTATAAAGAAAAGTTCAGAGACCGAATTTGATGAATTTGAGCTGCCTAGTGCCTGCCACCGGTTCAAATTTGAATCCCGATTCAAATCCATCCTTAATCCTCAACTTTGAATCGGAGGCTCAAATTTTAACCGGCAGTAGTCAGTTCAGCGATATAGCTCAAAATCATTAAATTCAGTCCCAGGGCAAAATTTAAAAAATGAGTTAGAAATTGCGGAAGCTCTGAACGAAAATTATAATTCATTCCACTTGTTGCATACCTGAATCCATTCTGATATTGGGGTTGGAATATCTGAACCTTGAACATGAATTTTATTCGCGTTCCTGAAAAAAAACTATACTTGAAAAACTTAAACGTATAATATTTATGAATATTAATTCTGTAACGTACCTAAAATGATTTACTTTCTCTGCATAAATTTCTTTAATCTTGTCCTGTTCTTTTTTTTCTTTCTTCTTCTTCTTTTTCTTCTTCATAGTTGTTATATTTCCTGGAGAAATCATGTTTATTATTTATATCATCAGAATTATCAAACACACATCTCACTAATCGGACATTTGAACAATTAATTGAATTATTTAATAATTAGACATTTCTTCATCCAACCAACCCACCAATAAACTAACAAATCAACCAACCAGGCAACGGAGAAATCATCCAACCAACCAAGCAACCAGGAAATCATCCAACCAACTAATAATTTAACCAAACAAGAAACTAGGAAATCATACAACCAATAAACAAACCAACCAAGCAAGCAGGAAATAATCCAACCAACCAGGATATCATCCAATCATCCATCAGCCCATCTAACAAATTATTGAACAAACCATTTAACAACCCAACTAACAAATCAGCCAACCCAAAAGCCAGGAATCTTCCAACCAACCAACAACCAAACTGAAAATGTTTTCAACCAGGCAAAATATCCAACTAACCGCAGACCAAAAAACCTACAGATCTTAATCAAGTCTAACAACACATAATAAACGAAGCACCTGGGTATCATTCAAACCACAACTCAACAAACGAAGTAGCTATGTAATCACCGAACCAAACCAACCAAAAATCCTCCAACCTGACAACCAACAACTCAGCGAACCAAAAAACCAGCAAAGCAACCAACTCACCGATAATAGTAAGATCCTCCTCGTCTGAGGACTGGTTGTCTCTCTCCCCCTTGGCTACCACCTCCTCCTTCACCTCCTTATAAGAGGGCAGGAGAGTTGGGGCACTTTCTACAGTGGCTTCTGTATCCTTAACTAAATAGAGGAAAACCATTTTTTATGAATTTAAAGATCAAAGCCCAGCTCGCAAATAATCCTTGGACCACGGAGAATTTTTTTATTTTACAAAAAAATATTATTTGAAACTAAAAAATTTGTTAAGCAATGCAATTATACAATTGGATCACCTTAGCTTACCTAAACCAAATCTTTTAGCTTCGTTTTTATAAAGATTTGTATTAAAGTTGACGCCGGAAGTTAGCTGCTTAAAGATCGAGGAAACTGACATTTTGTTCTGCAATATAAAACCATAATTTTTGGATGCTATATCGTTTGCACTAATGTCCGATTGAACTAACGTACTTTTGCACTAAAGTCAGCTGATCAGTATCACTTGTAGCCGCAGCACCCGGCCCCCTAGCCTGTCCTAGCCGAGGCGCTCGGCCCCCTAGCCTGTCCTGGCCGCAGCGCTCGGCCCAGAAATTGTCTTAACCTTAACCTAACCATCAAATAAAACGTTAGTCCAAATGAACGTTAGTGCGAATGTACGTTAGTCCGATCAATCATTAGTGCAAACGATACGACACCAATTTTTAAACTTTAAATAAAGCAACTTATTAGAATACAAACAACTCAGACAAATAACAAGTTTGAATTAAGATAAAGGAGTTGAGCCTTATCATGACAATAAATTTTATTTAGTCAATGTTGTCATTAAACTTCGGATAAGAAAATAACAAGGAATTAAAATATATTTTGTCTTTTAAAATTTTTATTAACGCCCCAACAGTTACTGAACAAGAACATTTTTGAAAATTTATCATGATTTTAATAATTCTAAGCAGCATACAGGGCCAGTTCTTCCTCTACTGCTTTGTTAAACAGATTTGTGTCAAAACTTTCCCTGAAGTTGAAATTTGAAAATAAAGATTATCATTCATGAAAAAACATCCAATATATAACCCCCCACTCCCTTTTTTCTTTTCTTTTCCATTTTTTATTACTTTTTTCTCTCAAAATAGTACTTTTGTATATCAATACATTGACAGTTATGTAATCGTAAGCTTCTATCATGTTTTCTTTCATTTTTTAGTTTTTCAGTTCTTCTTCACGAATTGAATATCAATCCCCAATTTTTTTTTTTTCAAACTTCCCTTGTTCTTTTTTCCAGTGCAGATTTGATATACTTGTCTTCGATACTGTTTTGAAGAAATGTATTTGAAGTTGATTCATCTTGTTTGAACCACAGCAAATGTTTTCTATCTGGAGAAATATTAAAATCAAGGAATTAAAAAAAAATTCTTTAGACGAGGCTACAACTATCATTTAAAAGTGAACCTCATAAACTGGAAGTATACAATATTCTATTCGAATTATCTCTTCAAGCAATTATCTTTTCCAACTAAATATTTACAACTTAACATTGTACTTTAAAATAAAAAAGGTATTAAAAATTGTTTTTAAAATTTAATAAGTGTAAACCTTTGCTTTTATCTGAATCCGAGCTCGTAGCATCAGTCAAAAGATTCGGCATAGAGAAGGAAACAGGTTTAAATATACTTCTAAAATTCAAATATCATAGAGAAGGAAACAGGTTTAAATATACTTCTAAAATTCAAAAAAGACAGAAATAAATAATTTAAGAGACACTGCAATTATAGATGTTGTGAAGAATTACCCTGTCCGGCCATGTGGGGATTTAAAAAAAAAATTGAGGGAAGAATATTAACAAATATGATATCTACGAGCAAACTTTTCAAACTTAATCCAACTATTTACTTAATTTCTACTATAAAAATATTTCCCCCTAATTCATGCTGCAATATTTTGCCTTGTTGGACATAAGGTAGCTGTAAACCAGTGAATATCAGCAATACCTAAATATACTATTATTAATACAAATAAAATGATGTAATAAGCTGATATAAAGAGGAAATTTGTCTAGTGAAAAAACCTCAGCTTTTAATTGCTGATCTAAGAAAACTAAGATTTCGCGGATTTTTCTGTTTCAATTAGTGTATTTCCTATTATTTTAAATTAATTTTTTTTTTAATTTTTAAAATTTAGATCTTATCGGTTCGCCCATTTGACGAACTTGTCGGATATGGATACAAACAGACAGAGGAAAAAATTAACGACAAACCAAGTATATTATATCAAATCAAATGTGTACCAGAGTTCTCAGCAAGGATGGAAACTTGGCTTCCAGCTGTTGGGAAATCTCCACTGAACACAAAACATATTTATTCACTAGAAGAAACTTTGCATGAATGGAGTAGGTTGAATAATTCTTTTAAAGTAGATTAAACATTACATTCAAATCATCCAATGAGAGGTTTATCTACCCGCGGGAAGCGAATGGGATAGTCTAACCCTGCATTTTTCAAAGTTCCATTTATTAAGTAAACGTGTATTACAAAAGAAGGATAAAATTTAAGAGAAAAAATGTGACAGTAGTTTGAGAAACTTATCTGGGGGGGGGGGGCAAATTAGTTCTGGCAGAAAATTCTGAAAAATATAAATAAATTGTATTCCTTGGTCTGTTGATCCCGCTGGCTTCATCTCGAAGAACTTCCATCATATTTTTAACATTAAACTTACTTCCTTCACATCTTTCCTTCAACAGTTCACGCCCACAACTAGAATACTTAAATAGGATTGTTAAAACGATATTTCATCGATATTTCCACAACATTAATTTTTTGCATCATTGTGCAATTGTACTTCCAAATAATCGTCGCCTTTAAAATTCACTAATTGTTAAAAATAATATCCTGCTTCTGGTATTCAAAGAATAAACTTCTTTGAAAATGACATTCCCTTTAAATATTTTATAGATCAAAGATGTTTTTATGAAGGATGGCGTGCATACTGCATATCTGGGCGTACCAAAACTCCATCCTTGATGGGACTTTAGTTGTTATTTAAGGGACTCGTAATTTATTGAGTGCCATGGTTGATTTACAACGATACTAAGAATGAATGAGATATCCATGTGTAACTATTTAAAAATGTATTATATTCAATTGAAGTTTCTCTACAAATGACTTGCTTATTTTCTCACGCAGCTATAATGGGGGGAAATAATCAGAAAAACGACGATATCTTCCATATTATTGATCAGTTAACAGTTTAAAGGGTGCCGTTGTGAATTAGGCATGAATGGAAGGCCACTTGCAATAACAACAATATTCCCTTTAATTCATGATCATACTTGATCTGCCGTCACCTGAATCTTGAGCCTGGGTTCTCTAGATCTCCTGACGTGTTCCCGATAACATCAGACCAGTTAAACTCCGATACTCCGTCCCACCATCCTTCAGATTTAGCCCTTCCAGTAATCAAATCAGATTATTATTATTATGATTTGCCAGCCATCATTAAAAAAAATAGGGGTCGAAGATCTTCGCAATTGAAATGTAAAAAATTATTTGTCCTGTTTTTCAAATATTCTTTCCGAAACATTTAACAAAAAATTCATTGATTCAATATATACAAAATTATGTTAAACCATAAATTTTATAACTTAACTTTTTTTTCTTTAATGATATTAAGATGGGGGTGTGGCACCTGCACAAGGGGTAATCTGTCTTAAACCTATTTATTTTTTCTGACATAAATAGCACCAGGGGGTGTATATTTTTCAAAATTACATCCCCAGGGGGGTTCGGGAGGAGGAGATGATTTTTGATGAATTGGGAAAAAATGAAAAATGAGAAATAAAAAGGCATTTTTTTCATTCTTTTTTATACTTTTACCCAGAAATAATTATTTTCCCCTGAAAAATCAATTATTTTCCCCATTTCATCGAAAACCCTCAGAAAAGTGTTTGGCGCTCCCCGCAACGATATATATATTATATAACTTCTGGGGAAAATAAATTATTTTCTTTTAAGGGGGGGGGGAGAAATGGTTTGTTAGGAACCTCCTAAAAGGTAATATCGCTACAAAATATATTTTTCACAAAATAAAAAATTATTCCTAAACTTAACTCGTTGACCAACCAGAAAATTGATTTCTTACAAAACTTTAAGAAAATTATGAAAAAATATAATAGGAACAATGATATTTCATCAGGGGTGAATTGATTTTAAGGAAGATATCTATTTTAATTCTTAAAAGAGGGTGAACATATCTTTCCCTGTGATAGTGTGAAATGTGAATACCTGGATTTAAGATCGGGATGACAACGATCAATCTTGGTTGTTATACTCATACAATTCGATATATTTCTATATCCGGTCTCCACGTGCTCAGCAGCCCATAACTTGTCAGCTGTTTCCAGGATCCACGCTTCCTCAACAATACCATTTATAACTTTTTAACCTTTGGTCAATATTTAAAACATGGACTAAATCCAATATTCCTCACCAATATAAAAAAGTTAGGGAAATGATAAAAACACAAAAACGCGATTTTTAATAATTCTTTTCTCTATAACCGATTTATAATATAAGCAAGGAAATCAGTTTTATAAGAATTAACATGACAATGAAAACGTTAAAATAAATTTTTACCAACGTTCTTAATCAATTAATTAATAAGTTAATTTTACTGTCAACTAAAAAAAACTACGAAAAATTCTCCCAAATGGGAAATAACTTGAAAACGGTGGTACCTGAAAATCAGCTATAAGAAAAGAATTGTGATATGAGAAATCATGAATTATGTTTGAGCACTGCCCTCCCTGTCCATACTTCTCCAGTAGTCCAGTAATCACTTCTAGACCTTCACGTGCTGTTTTACTTCTCTCTAGTCCCAACCTTCAAAAATATACAGGTCGTGACCTTTATTTTTATTTTTTTCCCCACATTCTAAAGACGTACCCCTTGAAAAATGTTCAGGCGACATGGTCATAGCTACTTTAAAGGGACTGTGTGTCCTTCCATAAGTGGCAGGTTTGATCTACCCTTTGCATGATCTAGAAAAAATGAGATATCCATGATTTCTCTTTAACAACTTACTTATGTTAAATTGAGGTTTCTCTATATAAGTCAGTTGCAGAATCCTTGCCACAAAAACAATGGCATAGTCAAATTAAACTAGTAAAACGTCGATATCTTCCACGTTGTGAATCAGAATAGGTTATGAATGCCAATTATAAAATAACGTCAACAGTCTCATTGATTCACAGTTCCCTTACCTGAGTAAATCCATACCAAGCAATCTAGGCACCAGGTCATGAGAGGACTCACTAAGTCTGTTCCAAACTGCCTCGTTACCTAACATAACATAAATTAATCAATCAAACCAAATAAATCAACCAAACCAATCAAACCAATCCAAACCAATCCAAACCAATCCAAACCAATCCAAACCAATCCAAACCAATCAAACCGATCCAAACCAACCCAAACCAACCCAAACCAACCCACCCACCAATTCCAACCAACCAACCAACCAACCAACCAACCAATCAACCAACCAACCAACCAACCAACCAAAATCAATTAATATCAATCAAAATTAATCAAAATCAACCTAAATCAATCAATCAACTAACCAATTCGTATTATTAATTCTAAATAATTATAAATCATCTATTCATGAATCAAACAATTCGCTAATAATCAAAATAAACTCTTTTCTTTTTACCTATTACAACACCGAACTCATTTGCGCCCATTTCAGCCCCCCACATCCACTCAGGCTTACTCAGGAAAACTAAAACAGTGCAATTAGGATCCGGATCAGTTGGATCCACAACATTTTGGCTCCCTGGGCGAGAAAAAAAGATAAAAGTTTTAAAATATTTAAATCGTTTAACAAATCAGTAAATCTTTAAGAAATGTTCAGGATTGGATCCAGATCCATTTTTTTTCATTGAAGATCCAGGATACGAATCCGCAACAAAATGAACGGGTGCCTAACAAGGAGTATATATTCCTTGATGCATAATCACTGCTTTAAACTAAATGCTACCTGCGTATGTAGCAGGAACCTGTTCCACTATTATGTACGTACATTTTAGAGTTTTAGATTCATTCTTTTTGGAAGGAATAAAAACCACCTCCTGGATTTCTCCTTTAGGCCTGAAATATTTTCATTTGTAAGCTAGTACAATTAAACGAAAAAGTAGTTAACAATTTTATCGTCTTTTCAGATGGAAATGCGCGATTTTTTTCACGAAAACTTCGCAGGTCGAGTCGTTATTTTACTTAATCGTCCGAAAAGAGACGTCAAGTAACTTAAAGGGAGTGTTCGCGAAAAATGAAAGGGGCTAAAGGCTTAATGCAATAAAAAAGCGCTTTTGATCGCTATTAATCTTACTTCTATAAGGAGAAATCGTTAAAAACGACTCGCACCAAAGAACGCAGCGTCCATACAAATTCGGAATGAAATATCAACTACTTACGAAAAATAATAATATCGGAATGATTTGTTTGGAATTAAATTGATTTGTTTACGATCCGAGTTAAATGTTGCATCTTTCTGAATTTGTATGGACACTACAATCTTCGGTATAAGTCGTTTAAACAAATTTCTCCTTATAGACGCAACAGATAGAAGTTTTCGCGAACACTCCCTTTAACGTCCCTCTAGGAGAATCATATGTCAGTAATGTTGGTCAAAAAGCGCTGAGAAATAAAAACCTGTCTGAGTTCTTTCCAAATATAGTTTCCCCGCTAACAGTTGAATCCCTCATCACAATAAAGGTGTCACAGCTCACCAATCCTTCACTAGACATATTTATTCTAAAATCATAAAGGCTGTGAATGAATCTACAAAGTCAGCCGTTTATTTTAGTTTTTTTTTTTACATAATTACACTTTTCATAATTTGAATTTGGCATACGAAATACTTGCCAGAGAAAAAAACCTTATTTGATGAATTTAAGCTACGTCGCTGAACTATAAACGGTTCAAATTTGAACAAACGATTCAAAGTTAAATTAAGGAAAGATTTGAAGTGGTGATTCAAATTTGAACCGGTGTTGACAGTTCATATTCATTAAATTCTATCCCTAATTTAAGATATGTCTTATCAGCCCTGTTAACTCATCACTCTACCTCTTTTTTATCCTCGAGCTTGAGTGTTTGGCCCCTATAATGTCTTAGCTATTTAACTGCCCCCCCCCCTCCCCCACCGACTTAGTAGCCATCTGACTAACCATAAATGAAAGATTGTAAAAATGGGTACTTCAACTAGTAATTGGGCCATAATTAATAAGTATTACGAATAACAATTTGTACATCAGTGAAATATAAGTAATAAATAGAAAACTTTAAACTAAAGTCAAAACCAAAAATTTCACAGAAGTACTAGAGCCAGCAATTAAATGTTCGAGAAAGTTTACTAAACTATTTTAGTTACAGATGTCGATAAAAACGAGACAATTAAAGGAATTTCAAATAATAAAACGTCAAAACTTATTTAATCTATTTTATATTTATATAAATATACAATATACATACAGAGACGAAAATACTTTATAAATCATAAGTCTACTGGACATTTTCTTCCTTCTCGCTGGTTTCTATTGATTTGGACTCAAGTTCAGACAACAATTTAAACTTGCTGTGCTGGTATAGGGCACGCTTGTTGAACTCCTTCATTTTCTCGTTGACGATACCAAAAAAATCTAGATGAAATTGATGAAGATCCTGTCTCAGCTGTTCATGCTCGTTACGCTGGCTAAGGACTTGCTCGTTGAAATTCTCCACTAACTTCGCCTTCGCCTTGAGTAGTTTAAGCTCTTTTTCAAACTCCTCCATTTTCGCTTGCTGGTTTTCAAGAAGTTCTTCCTTCAACTCTTCTCTCATGTTCCTGACATACTGTAGAGAAACCTGGTCTGTTCCCTTAAACAGACTTGATATGATAGTGACGGTAGCATTAAGCATCAGGAAAGAAATACTCCAAATCACTACAGTCTTAAATGTGGGACTGGGAATCATTCTCCAGGACGACCGTTTCAAAGATTTAATCTCCGAGCGCTTAGGGATCCAGCTTGCTCTGGGAGTAGAAGAGATTGTATATATCGGTATAGGTCTAGGTGGGGTTGTTGGAAGTTCAGAAGGAGTGGAAGGAAGTCCAGCATAGTAGGACAGTGGTCTCCTTGCTTGTGGTAAAAAGGTTTCAGCAGCGCACATGACAATCAGAACTGATATATAGAAGTGATCAATCTTGCGAATTGAACGTGAGTGATTTTAACAAGAAACTGAGCAAACATTGTAAACTAATAAATTTAGCTGTCATAATTGAACACCAATGACAATGTTTGTTTATATTGACCCCCCCCCCCCAGCCGTAGCGCACGGTCCACAAATTGTCTGATCCTAGCCTGACCATAAATTAACAAAAATTTTCTAATTTGATGTTAAAATATGTTTAATCGTAACTATGCAAAATTTATATGAATTGGTGGTGAGGGGGGTTGTCCAAAAATTGTTATATTTTGTATTAGAACATGGTAACGCATAATAGTAAAACTTGTTCTTTTAGGTTAAATTAAATATATCAGCAATAATTACTATTAAAATGTTTTTATTTTGCATGCTTTTTCAATCGTTAGCGCAGTAGCTGCGTTTTACATTTTTTAGGTTAGGGTTGTTCAAATTTCCTTTCTCCTCTTTCAGCTGTTTCTTTTTCTACAACAACAGTCAACACAGCTGTTTTCCCTTATAAATTATTTTCGGTGAAATATAGCAACGTTTCGTTCTAGGCAGTACCCCCCCCCTTGATTCTCAAAATGTACTCAAGCTGGACAAAGATGGCTTTTTCAAGATTTAAATTTATTTAATGAGGTATGCATATTTAAAATTATAAGTTAAGAATCTAGAAAGTTTGAGACAGAGACAGGATTTAATAGATAACGAGATAAAGTTAAATCCCACAGACATAGTTCAACCACTTCTCACTGTCTCACTAGATTCATTAAATCTGGCCTCGGATCCATCCATGGATCCGAATCGAAATACTGAAAAATATATTAAAGTTTATAAAGTATTTAAATTGTTTTGTTGGTAAATCAATTTTTTAATTAAAGTTTCTGAGGTAAAAGGAAGTAAAAAAGTATTTTCCCCTGGTTAATTGTGAATTTTGTTGTTTCTTTCTTTAGATCCAGCGTGACACTGAGTCCTCCGTCCTTCCACGCTAAGAAGGGTCAACTGGTGACCCTGACTCAGACTTACAAGACTGCTACACGGAACCATGCAACTCAGGAGTTTAACCATGGTCTGGTTCTCTCCTCATTTCCTCTTCAAGACAATCAGATTTTTGAGGTTGTTAATAGTTTATGCTTCACGGGGGGGGGGGGTGAAGGTTCAATACACCAGAGGTCGTATTTAAAGATAAGCGAGAAGCATTTGTACAATTTATGGATAGATGAACCAAGTACAGTATGTGGCAACAGAGAAATGGACCAATTATACATGACGTCACAAGTGTCAAGTAACAAGGCAGACGACATTTTCTCCCATTAGTTGACATGTTTTTCAAGATTAAATAAAAAATAGTAAACACAGAAAATGAAGAACTCTAAATTGCACTTATTTCACTGTAATAGAAGCACTTTATTATCACTATTATTTATAATTTTGTACTGGGAGTGTACAAATTCTACGTTGCCATCTATTGTACTTGACGACTTGAGTTTAACTACTCCTTTAGTGTTGCCGATAGTGCACTGTAGTAGATGATTAAATATCCATACCTAATTGAACCACTTCTGTCCATTCTTTAAATCCTACATACGCCGAAATTTTCTTTATTTAATCTTCGAGTTGGGTTTTTCAAATAAATAATAATTTTTCTTTACCTTAATATTGTACTCGTAACGTCGGTTTTGAGACTTTAAAAACATAAAAGTTCTCTCATATCCAGGGCGAGTATTCCCTGATAACCAGCGCACCACATCAATACACGAGTGCTATAGTTTATATGCTTTATTGAAGTATTGCCATATTCAGTCCTCACACTGTGAACTAAAATTAAATTTGCATAAGATAACAAAGTATTAATATTTATTGTTTACAAAATAAGCTCCAGTTCTTAATAAAGAAATTTAGTCTTTTGAGGATGAAGAGAATAGACTAGTATAAATGTTCTATCATATAAAAACACACTTACAAAGTTAGTAGGGCTGGAGTTTGATATGAGCTACAGTTTTCGAGGAGATATCTTATGCTTCATCAGCGTCTTTTCGTTCATTAATTTGTTAATTATTAATCTTAAAGCAGTGAAGGAGAATATCAGAGAACTAAAGAAGACAACATTTTTGAGATTGTTTTCCGATTTTGAGGAATCTAAACGGGACGAAGTTTAAAATCCTGGTTTAGTTAAGATCATTATATTTATCTCTCGTTGAAAAATCTCACCTTAACAGGACACGTCTAAAGCATATGACGTTCCAACATAATCCCTCTTAAATCAGCAGAGATCCATTTCAGGGTAGGTTGATCGGAGTAATTAGCTCCAGGTCATATGAAAATGGTAGAGATCAGCTTCACACATCAAAGATCATCATTAAGTGGAACTACGGAGGTGGAAGGTGAACAGAGTAGTCCAGACAGGGTTTTCAGAGGGGAAGACGACCTCAGTTAACATCTCACCAGATGGAGAGAATTTGTCTTTCAGATCAATCAGACGAACCATATGAACAACAGGATGGAGACGATCCTAAACACATATATTTAAGGCATTTGACTGCATGTGCATAATAATAACTGATGAATATTGGTTAGGTTCAAGGTTTTATACACTCGACGAATAAAGATTTGTAGGATGGATATTGTAGATGGTGGATTGTGGGTTGGAGAAAACACATTGGTACTAGATTTTTACCACCATTATATAACATCATTACAAATAATTGAATTGTTAGCTCAAGTCCTTTTGCATAAAACTGAAAGTTGCTTTTAAAGATATTCATAAACCTTGTATAAATCTGAGACCTGGAGACTTTGGGACTAATTGGTTAATTCAACTTATTCTTCGTCTGAAAAAGACAATATAAAGTTTTTTAGTTAATTTCATACTTTCCGAACAATTCTCAATAAAATAAAGAATTTATATAAAATTTATGGAAAGTTTTAGAAACATCGAGAAAAGTCTAAGTTTTCATGTGTAGCTTCAGTTGCTTCTTCCTCCGTATCCACTTCTTTGCACCTATCACGTGGATCCAACATTCTTCTCCAGATTTTCAGAAATCCTGAAGATTTTAGAATTCGTCAGATTCCACAAATATTAGTAAAAGTGAAACCTTATTTTTAATCTTAAATATTTATTGAAATTCAATCGACTTGAAAGCATTAGATGAAACAGAAATTGGCTGACATTTTTTTAGGGAACCCATGGGGTTGACATAGACTTAAAATTCGAAAAATTGCGTTATGTCTATAGTAGAAACATCATAATTTTCCAAGCAGGGGGAGTAACTATTACTATATATAAAATTAAAAAACTAAGGCAACGACGGGTACTCCAGCTAGTCCTTTAAATTGCAATTTAATTAGGTTAAAATTGACAAGAAGATAAACTCTTGGAGTGGGTCTATTGAAGTCGGCGTGACATGCTGCGATCCAAATACAATAGAAACACCTTTCCCATCCAGGTATTTATTTAATTTTTTTGTTTTGTAATCAAGAAAATAAAAAGCCCAGATACCAAAAGCGGGGATATGCACTTTAAAAAAAAATCTGAAAGCCTGATAAAAAACATTTGAGATTTATTGGAAGGATTTTTATTTCTTTCTTTCTCGTTTCTTTTTTATGACATTCTTCAGTTCTATCTTGAACATTGAACATTGCACATTGTACATTGAATATTAAACATACTTTTACTTTTTAGTGCAACTGAACTGCGAGAAGGAACGTGGATTATGTCCGGGAACTCGGTCTTAAAGGACGGGAGGTCCATCAACGAGAACTACGGGACAGACCTTGACAAGTTAGAGGAGGGGGATAGAGTTGGAGTACTGAGAACAGGTTAGAGTTAACCAAAGTCAATTTGTGTTTTCTCTTCATATTCGTTCATCAAACCTCATATTTGAATAAACTTTTAATTCCCATCATTGATTTCTTTTCTAAAGCTTCGAAAATCATTTGTTTCGTCAAATTTTAATTCTTTAACCTTGATTTAAATGATTGGCTTTCTTATACTAGGCCTCGGAGACCTGATATTCTTTGTAAATGGAGTCTCGCAAGGAATTGCCGCCTCAAATCTTCCTTCTAGAGTGTTTGCTGTGGTTGATATGTACGGTAAATGCGCTCAGGTATAAATATTATTTTATCTTTATCAGTAAATGTAACTGTTTTTTTTTGTTTTTTTTTGGGGGGGGGGGCAAACATTTATTCCCCACTCCTGCAAAGTTAGAGGGGCTTAACCCCCCCCCTCTTTCCTTTTAATTTAGGTATTTATCCCGCTTCATTCCCATCCATCCACCCTCCCGTAATTATCGTAATTATACTATTACATGTTGAGTTAGGTTACAAAAGATAGTTGGTCACGAGAGGTTTCCATTTTTCAGAAGGAGAGAGGGGGAGGGGTTCCACAGCGCATATAAAAGAAACTACCTTTAAACCTTTTTGTATGACCTCTTTGTATCCTCTTTGTATAGTCTCTTTTCAGGATCTCCTTTTAGAATCTCTTTTTATGACCTCTTTTCAGGATCTCTATTTCGTATCTCTTTTTAGAATCTCTCTTAAGGATCTCTTTTCAGGATCACCTTTAAGAATCTCTTTTTAAGGATCTCTTTTCAGGATCTCTTTTCAGGAACACCTTTAAGAATCTCTTTTTAAGAATCTCTTTTCAAGAATCTCTTTTCAGGATCTCTTTTCAGGATCTTTTTTTAGAATCTCTTTTTAGGATCTCATTTAAGGATCTCTTTTTCTGTTTTCTTATTCTCATTCTCATTCTCCTAGGTCACTATTATGGACAACACAGTCCAGGAAGCAAGGATTCATACCAACGATCTCAACAACGTTGCAACAGCCGCTGCTGCAGCTTCCATACATCTCAATACCATCACATCAAACAACAGCCACAACAATATCACCAATGCAAATATACAGGTACAAGACTCCTCGGGTGCATCATTGTAGAATTTATCTGAAGTCAGAACTATTGTGTTGATCAAACATTGATCTCGATCTTATGCAGATCTACGAATTAATTTATTTCCCGTGGTGGTCATACCCTGCAGAGATAACTTTATTTGAGGGATCAAGCCCACATTGGATATCGAGATCATGCGTTCAAGATTAACTATACTCTCCACAAAAGTTCCGACATATAGACTTTTTTCCTCTTAATTCATAATTTTACGTTAGTAAACAATTTAAAAATAACTATTTTTCTGATTTTTGGCTTCACTTTTCGGTGAAATTTATTTTCAACGTTTTCTTTCAGTGTACGATTTAGAACTATCCTGCTTTGTTTTGACAGTTATTAGGAATGAACACATAGATTGACAAGATAAAAATTAATGTTAGAAAAGAAAAATAAATGTTGTATGAGGAGTCAAAAATGTACCTTTTAGTACACTGCACGATATTAGGTACTTTCCCAAAGGATTTTCCCTAAGGGGCAACCTCCCAAGGGTATTTTTCCAAGTGACAACTTCCCTAATGTGCAATTTCCCAAGCGGCAAATCTGTCTTAGCCTCGGCGCTCGGCTCCCTATCCCATCCAAACTGCATCTCTTGGCCCCCCATTGCAGCCTGTGGAAGTTGCCGTTTGGGAAATTGCACATTTGGGAAGTCGCTCTTAGAAAAATGCCTTTTGGAAAGTACCTAACACCCACTGTACACTGTACAGACAACTACAATTAGTGGTTTTTATGATTGCTAATTTTTTCCTATCTTGTTCAGGCTGCAACTGCAGCGGCTAGTGCAGCTGTGGCCGCTGCAACAAGCTCAGGAATAGCAGCAGCCTCCACTTCAGGACTTATCAGGGAAAACATCAATTCCTTCATGGGATTAATTTCATGATTATCGGCAGTAATTTGTACTCCGGATAAGTAAATTTGGTTTTTGAAACCCCCAAAAAACCGAAATCAAAAAAAACAATAACCCAGCTTTGTCCGGAAAAAAGTTTTCCCTGTAAATGTCAACTTTCTCATCTTAAAACGTCTAAACCAAACTAAGAACATTCCTGTATTTCATACCGAGTATCCTTAGGCAAATCAGTTATGGGGTTCATATCATGAGTAATGATAGGAAATACAGACATCAAAGAATAGAGATTACTGCTTCAGATCATAAAAACTTTTTGAAGAGGTTTTTCACTGATTCGCTTATAGTTAAAAAATTACCGTTCTGGACATCGAGTTCAGTTTTTGTAGATGAGAAGATTTCTCATCCTCTAAAAAGAGGTTAACATCTCATTTTCTTTGAGGGATTGACGGGTTGAGCTTCTCATTTCCTCCAAGAAAACATAGAACACAAATACGAATTTTTGTTAGAAATAAAATGACTAATCAAATACATGGGCGGATCACGGGGGGGGGGGGCTGGGCCCACCCTAAAGCACGAATCATGATATGAAATAAAATCATCAAGGAATGGAAGATGCAACGAAAATAGTATTGAATAAATGACCTGAACTGAAATACCTTTTTAAACTGTTTTCTCATCTTTATATTTATAATACTAATATGCATGCAATCTCACATGCACAAGAGTATTGTAAAGAATACCCCCACTCGACAATCATAAATGTTTATCTTTCGCTCTAAAAAAATAAACTATTTTTATAAAAGGTCTAAGGTGATTTAAATAATTATTTATTTTCTTGAAATTTTTTTCTTTCTTGTCATTTTAAAAACCAGAAACATGTTTATTAGGGAAAATTTGTTTTAAATGTGATATAAATAAGAAATTGGAAATTTACTGCTTTTTGTTCAATTGTAAGGGGGGGGGGCCAGAAATTTTTTTCGGCCCCCCCCCCTTAGATATTGGTTTGATCCGACCCTGAATTCGAATATGGTTTATAATTGATATTTGTATCCTAGAGAGAACTCCGTAGGAAACAATATAAACGGTTTGAACAGGATTAGATTTCATGAACGTAATGGATCCCTCATTAAACTTGGAAACAACAATAGGGAATTCAAAAAGATGTTAAGAATATATATCTCATATAAAATTAGTTCTAAGGGTTTTATCCATATTTCATGAACCTACTGTCCAATATTTTTCATAGAAAAATTTAAAGTTTTTTTTGAGCCAATTTTAAAATTAAACTTATTTGAATTTTAATAAAATATCATTTTGAAATTTTAGAACGGCCGAAAGAAAACGTCCTTTTGATGAGTTCAACAATGGTGTTGTTATGACTCACAGGTAAAATAAATTTATTTATTTATTAATTTATTTTTAAACATCATAATATATGACTCACAGGTAAAATAAATCTATTTATTAATTTATTCTTAAACATCCTAATAAATGACTCAGAGATAAAATAAATCTATTTATTTATTGATTTATTTTTAAACATCCTGATATTCATACATCTCAGGGCTTTGCGAGATAATGAAATGTTTGAGATTCGTTTGGATCGTCTTGTAGATAAATGGAGTGGAAGTATTGAGGTTGGAGTTACAATACACAATCCAGGTAGTTGATTTATTCATTAATTAGCTCATTAATTCATTGGTTTATTAACTAATTGGTTGAATGATTAATTGGTTGAATAATAAACTGGTTGAATGATTAATTGGTTGAATAATAAACTGGTTGAATTATAAACTGGTTGAATTATAAACTGGTTGAATGAATAGTTGGTTGACTGATTGATGGATAGAATAGATTATTGGAAGATTTATTGATGATATAGCTGATGATTTGATTGGTTAATAGATTGATTGGTTTTTGGATTGATTAATTAGATTGATGGATTTATTGAATTGAAGGATTCTTGGATTTGGATGGATGGATTCATGTATTCATGGATTTATGAATTCATGGATTGATGGATTTATTGATTCATGGATTCATTGAATGGATTCATTTGATGTAATTTAAATCAATTATCGCAAAAAAACGGTCAAGTAACATAATTAACATCTTGCTATAGCAATGTATTCATTTAAAATTATTTTAACATGAAATCAGAGTAAGGTACATTTTTTACATAACAGGTGTTGGATGTGGTCAAAATTTGGTTAATTTACTATGAAATAAATTTTGTAATTCGAAATGTGTTTTTAATTGATTTATTGCAGGTCAGCTTGATTTCCCAGCCACTATGACCAACTTGAGAAACGGGACCACAATGATGTCAGGATGTGGGATTTTAACTAATGGGAAAGGAACAAGGTTATCAAATTTTTATTCCAATTTTTCGCCTAGCTCTTTTTTTCATCAAAAAATTAAAATACTTTTATGTACCGATCTTAAAAGCCCGTGTTATAATATATATCTCTATTTTTAAAAAGTATCCAGGATCTGGATCCCAATTAGACTTGAATGGATCTTAACGCAGAAACAGTAATTAGCTTTGCTTATCTCTATTTTATTATTTTTTTTAAACCGTTTTTTACTGTTGAAGGATATCTAATTGGTTGCTGGCTTTGAAGACGTTAAACTTGTCAATTATGATAAAGCAGCTAAACTTGGAACTATAAGCAAATCCCACCATTTTGAGTTCGTCTTGAAATCATCTGTATTTGATGATTGAACCGGACTTACTCATATTGTTGTAGACGTGAATATGGTCAGTTTAACCTGGACGAGCTGGCAGAAGGGGATAGGATTGGGATGATGCGAAAATCGAACGGAAACCTGCATTATTTTATAAACGGTCTGGATCAGGGTGTAGCAGCTAGCAGGGTCGCAGAACAGGTATGCAAGAGTACAGGGACGGGGAAGGATAAAAAAATCTACGATCATTTATAGGATTTAAAAGTCTGACTTCATTAAACAAGTTATTGGGATAAAAACAACAAGAAAATTAACCCACTTTTATTTTTTAATAGCTTTCCGTTTTTTATCAATTGTTCATTAACTTAGGTTTGGGGAGTAGTAGATCTTTACGGAATGGCCGTCAAAGTTACTATTGTCGATCGGGATGAGAGAGATGAACAGAATTTAATCACAAGACGAAATCTTGCCCTCAGGTGGAGAAGCTGTTTAAATTTTTCTTCTACAAAAAAATTTATTTAATAAACATGTTTACATTTTTAGACCTAATCCTGAACCTTTGGATCTACAACCCTCTGATAAATTAATGTTCCACTCTGCCTGTGGCTCCCATGCCGCTGTTATCAACTCAGGAATCACCTCGCATCGTCCAAATGCTGCGGATGATTTTAACTTCGGCGTGGTTCTTACAAACCGGTTTCTAAAGCCCAATGAAGTGTTTGAAGTTCGCCTGGATAAAATGGTTTCTAAATGGGCAGGATCTATTGAAATTGGTGTTACAACACATTCTCCTACTGATCTAGGTAACGCAACAACAAAAATGCGTAATATCCTCTGCTTGCAAATTTTAAACACTTTTCTTTGTAGATTTTCCAAGTACAATGACAAATATAAGATCTGGAACTTGGATGATGACTGGAAACGGAGTGATGCACAATGGGACCACCACAATAGACGACTATGGTCAAAATTTAGATAAACTGAAGGTAATCTTAATTGTAAGAATGCTTAAATGATAAAGTCTAAAATTGAAAACTAAATTGATTTTTAGTTTTAGTGATTATCTGATTGATTTTTGATAAATTGACTTGATTATTTAATTCATTTTCTGATGAACTTAATTGATTTCTAGATTTATTGATTGATTTAACAAAATATTTCGTAAAATTAATTGATTTAATAATTGAATTGATTCATTTATTTCTGAATTCTAAAAAAGGTGACTATTTTACACAATTTATTTATTAATTGATTACGTTGTTTTTTAGTTTGATCGATTGATAGATTGATTGGTTGATTTTGTAAAGGTTGGTGACAGGGTAGCAGTTGTAAGAAAGGATTCAGGAGTTCTCCACTTCTTCGTGAACGGCGAAGATCAAGGCGTTGCAGCTTCTAATGTTCCGGAGAGGGTCTATGGTGTTATTGATCTGTATGGACAGGCGGCTCAGGTCCAGATAATTCACGTCCGGCCCTCATACATTTTTACAGGGTTACCTAGAAAGGATAATAAATCTATGACGACCTTAAATTCTATAAATATACCGATCAGATGGTTAGATTTTGTCTTCTGCCTTGAACAAAATCTTATAATGTTAAAGTTCTTGATTTGACAATGAAAGAAACAAGTTTGAAGTTTCAACTTTGTGAGCAACCCTATACCTAAAAATTTTCTTCCTTAGTAAATTACATTTGGTTTCCTAATTTAATGTTAAAATATATTTAAAAACTAAATTTTTTATTCACCAAATAATACTTTCCTTTTTTTATTTGTAACTTCATTGTTTCATTGCGAAACTTTGATAAGAAATGTTTTATTTTAAGGCGACCATCATTGATGTAACAGATTACAGAAGCCCGGATGGACTAGGTAAATATTATAGTGTATGGAACATGGGTTTCTTTGTTGTAAGAAATTGTTTGAAAAATTAATTACGAGATTTGAATATCGGCTCTGAAGATTAAAGGGACTGTAGACTTAATTTTATGTGACCGTCTAATAATAAAGGGCTATATCAATGAGAAATTGGTGATTTTTTTTTATGAAATTTGACTTTTCATATAAGATTTCGTTGAAAAAATGGCTTGCGCATTTCTTGCTTCAGAAACGATGAAAAAAGTTATCAGAACTAAGCACTTTTTGAGTTTGTAAAGCGACGAGATCTTCTATATATTTTTGATCAGATATATGTTTAAATGTTACTGAAGTGAATAGGACAGTCCTCTCTTATAATGGAAGGTCGCTGAAAGTTACTTCGACAGTCCCTTTAAGTGGCATTGTTATTGATATAAGAAAAATTTGATTTTCACAAAAATGTTATTTATTTTAGATTCGACTGTTACTAGTGGAACTCTATACAGTCATATTGATTCTCTACAGGATCTGAGGCAAGTCCTAACATGAGTTTTAGTAATTATTTTCTTTAAAATTTTATATTAAACAATTTATAACTATTACTAAGCAAAGGCTATTAATTCTTTTTATTTATTAGGCAACATAGTTCAGATAAACTAGTATTGTTAACAAAATCTGACCAAATATGATGGGTTGTCTTTAATTATAATGAAATTAGAATTATAAAATTCTATTTAAAGAATTGAAGAAAATGTAAAATAAGATAAGCAAAGAAACATAAAGAAATTAAAAACGTAATAAAGAAATTTTAAACAGAAATTAAAGAAAAAAGACTAAACATAATTGAGGGTAATTAGCTAAATTAACTGAAATTGCTTTTAAAAAATGGTTTTACTGACTGTCCCCTTTCAAAAAATTATTAAGAAGAAAATTTTGTTTAGATTTCATCATCTTCATGGACGGAATGCTAGGATATCAAACTCAGGGCTAACTGCCTCAAGGCAAAATGCTCTCAGGTGTTTATCTTAAAATACTTTATTTCACTTTTATTTTTTAACTTTTAATTACTTGATAGAGAGATCATATTATATTGGATTATTTCCTTGAGCTAAACGGCGTACATGTGCCCAAATTATTATATTAGCCTTGTCTTAAGGTTCAAAAATCCCAATTTTAAGCTTTTAACATTTTAAAAACTGAAGAAATAGTGAAATATTTATAGAATCTATTTTTAGCGAGTTTAACGACTCTATTGTGATGTCGAATCGTCCTCTACGAGAAGGCGAGATGTTTGAGATTCAAGTTGAACGGATGGTTGACAGGTGACAAATCTTTAATCAGAAAAAAGGGAACGTTATTGTTATAACCACACATAACAATAACTACATTTCTTTTCATCCGATGTTACGTTTAAAGAAATTTTTATGAACAACCCTGTAAATTCTCTTCTCTGACGAGCCAGCAGACAGCACAAATTCAGGAGTTTCAGGCAGCTCCGCCATATATAAATTGGTTTGGTTGTCCGTTGGTTTATACCTGATTCTCATTATTAAAATATCAGATTATGATTGAAATAGACCAATCTATTTTAGTTATCATTCATTCATTTACGTTTTGTATACACTTCCATAATCAAATTTGGTCTGTGAAATAAATATTTAATATTTTTAGTCTAGATTTCAAAAAATTCATTTCTTAAAAAAGATGGAGTGGGAGTATAGAGGCTGGAGTTACGTTAATAAAACCAGAAGAACTTGAGTTTCCAAATACAATGACAGGTATAATATTTTTATTTTACTAAAAAATATCATTTTTACGCCATAGTTTTTAACCACAATGACAGATCAAACATTTAGATAGCTTACCATCTATACAAAAAATGCAAAAAAATGTAATTTTTTAGATATTGATTATGATACATGGATGCTGAGTGGTTCAGCTGTTATGAAGGTGATTTAACAATCCTAATTGATCGTATTTTTGGTTGGCAGATCGTTTGTTGATCTTTGGGATAATTGATCGGCTGATTCTTCGTTATAAAAATATTTTTTAATTGATTGGCTAGATGGTTGTCTGGTTAGTTGTTAGGTTTTTGGTTGGTTTATTTAATAATTTGTTTGTATCAATTAATTGTTAAATGATTTTTAGGGTTTTTAGATTTATTGATTGCTAGCTAGCGAGCTTGATTGATTGTTTTATTAAAGATAAGTTCATGAAATTAACTATCTAATCTAGGATGGTAACACAGTAAAGAACAATTATGGATGTGATCTGGATTCTCTAAATATAGGATACAGATTAGGGATGCTTAGAACTGCTGAAGGTAAATATGGGATACAGATTAGGGATGCTTAGAACTGCTGAAGGTAAATATAGGATACAGATTAGGGATGCTTAGAACTGCTGAAGGTAAATATGGGATACAGATTAGGGATGCTTAGAACTGCTGAAGGTAAATATCGGATACAGATTAGGGATGCTTAGAACTGCTGAAGGTAAATATAGGATACCGATTAGGGATGCTTAGAACTGCTGAAGGTAAATATCAGATACAGATTAGAGGATGCTTAGAACTGCTGAAGTTAAATATTGGATACAGATTAGCGATGCTTAGAACTGCTGAAGGTAAATATCAGATACAGATTAGAGGATGCTTAGAACTGCTGAAGGTAAGAATTGGATACAGATTAGGGATGCTTACAACTGCTGAAGGTAAATATCGGTTACAGATTAGGGATGCTTAGAACTACTGAAGGTGAATATAGGTTACAGATTAGGGATGCTTAGAACTGCTGAAGGTAAATATAGGATACAGATTAGTGATGCTTAGAACTGCTGAAGGTAAATGTAGGATTAAGATTAGAGAGGCTTAGAACTACTGAAGTTAAATATTGGATACAGATTAGGGATGCTTAGAACTGCTTAAGTTATATATTGGATACAGATTAGTGATGCTTAGAACTGCTGAAGGTAAATATAGGATACAGATTAGTGATGCTTAGAGCTACTGAAGTTAAATATTGAATACCGATTAGGGATGCTTAGAACTGCTTAAGGTATATATCGGGTACAGATTAGAAATATAGTTAACGGTGGCAAGAAGTAGGGTTGCAGTAAATACCCTACTCCATAATGGTTTCTCTAACGCGTATCTATCCAGGTACAGTTCAGTTTCACTTAGCTATCAATGTTTAAACAATACAATCCTGTAGTTATCGATATCAAATTAAAGGGGGTGATCCTCAACCTGTTTATCAACACAGGGAATCACACAGATACAATCTCTTGATCTATCAACGCAACTACCACTGGGCGCGATCTCATTAGCTATCAATATCAATCAGAAGGTCACAACTATCGATCCCAAATAAAAGGGGACGATCCTCAACCTGTTTATCAAATAAGGCACCACACGGATACAATCTCATGATCCATCAACGTCACTAATACTGGGCGCGATCTCGTTTGCTATCGATCCAAAGCTTGTAACTATTAATCCCAAATTAAAGGTGAGATTCTCAACCTGTTCGTTAAAACAGGTAATGATTACTCTCTCGTAGTAAGCAGTACTGAGTTACTATATCAACTCCTTTATTTTAGATATCTTGTGTTACAAGTTAACATGAATTGACGTAATTACAAGTTTAATGTACGTATTGATAAGATTAGCGAGGATAGATAAAATGTAGTTAAGCTATCTCCACACATTTTATAGCGTAGTTAAAGCTTAATGTACGTATTTAAAGGATTAACATGGACAGATATAAACGTAATCACAATGCATTTTGAATCATGTTTAATTTATATATATAGGTATGCGTATGTTCAGGTTTACAAATATGGGGATTGTTGTATTTGTTGCACGTTTTCATTTGAAACCAATTCAAATGATTAATGGGTTTTACTTAGAAGTTCATAAACATAGATAGTTAAGAATGTACAACGTACTGCAGGTTTCGAAGAGCCAGCCTAAATATGTCTTATAATATGTCTTATGTCTTAGAACTGTTTAAAAAACTATTTTTTATTAAAAAGACCTATGTTTTTTTTGTTATATTTATTTATTATTAAAAACCTATTTTTGTTAAGGCGCCCTTCACTATTATATAAACGGAGAGGACCAAGGTGTAGCTATTGATGGAGTTCCCCAGGGAGTTTACGCTGTTATTGATCTCTACGGTATTTGTGCTCAGGTAAAGGTTTTGGTAAAGTTAATCCCTAGATTACAAGTTTGAACAATTTGAATTTTGTTTGCCCCGCTATATTCTAGTAATTAGATAAATAGTCTTCTATTTGTACTACGAGGTTACGAGGTATTCAAATAAGGAACTACAAGAAGATATTCATTTATTTTTAAAGTTTTTGGGAAAAAAAGACAAATAAGGATATAAATCCTTGTCAGATTTTTTGAAGTTTTAAATTTTGAACTTATTCTGTAAGGTATCTGTTAACCGGCCTGGAAACCGAACACTACCTGCTGAGAACTCGTTAGCCAGCAGTCAGGTCAGTTCTAGCAACAGATTTCGTAGATTTTGGTTTTATGTAATAAATTTAAATCGGACAAAACTTCTTAATATTCTTCGGAAATATTGAAAGGACAATAAAGAGCAAACCATATTTTGTTAATGCCAGCAGGGAAGTCTCCAAGAATCAATCATGTAAAAGTATGGTGACTAATAAACTCATAAATTCTGCATATTATTTCTAATGTCAATGACAATCTTCAAGCTTTCTTTTAACTTTTATGTTGCGTAGGACACCCTGTATTTTAATGTATTTAAAAAACAATATTTTTGAAGGTGATGGAGTCCAGTCAAATTAGCTTTCCCATTGGTTCAGAGAATACACACAGGTAATTGTGTACTTTATGTACAATATAGTGATTATCAACGTATGTCGTCTTCCTTCTCATTTGAATAAGAAACATCTTTTATATTTTTTAAATTTGTAATTATCATATCTAGGAAAATTTAAACTTTCCACTAATGCATGTTTTTTTAGCTTTTGAGTTACAATACAAAATACTAAACAGCACATTTCTAATTGAGTGATGATGACGATTATTCTTTTTAATGGTTTTTAGAATAAAATATAAAGTATTCATTAGATTTGTAAAAAAATCCAAGTTTATAAATCCAGAAGGTCGTTTTATGACACCTTACTCATACAATCGCACACGGAAAGCTTTGATATAACTTAGTAAATTGAAATGATAAATAAAATTAATGACAGTGCGCTTGAACCAGGGCAATAAATTAGATATTTAAATATTTATGCTTTTTTGCATTTTATAGTCTTGATGGATAAAAAAGGATATTAAACGAATGTGAAAAGGGAAAAAAATTGGATTTTTTTTGTAGATTTTAACTTTTATGTTATTTTAAATTATACTTCAGGTTCTGTTCTGCAACTGGGAAAAGTATTGAAATAACAGGCTCCTGTCTCACTGCCAATAGGTAATGCTTCCTTCTTAAAAAATATAGGAACTGATGAAATTTACTGTATTAAGATTTATAAAAACCATTAACAAAATAATATTTTATTAACAAAAAATAAAAATCTTGAATCTACATCGTTTAATATTTAACATTGAAAATATAATTTTTTTGAAAATTCAAATATTTCTTAAACATAGTGACTGCATTCTTGTATAAAGTATTTAAAGAATTGCTGCTACTCTGTATTTGAACGAAATTATTTCAAACAAGTATATGTTCACTAAGAAAAAGGGTTGAATGAATAAATGAATGGAATTGGTTTTTTTCGTAATCCTGTGTAGACTTCAGAAAGAGTATCTGCATTGCTTTATGTGGCCTCTTTGATTCAATTGATCTGATGAAGACCCTTAAGGTCTTCCAAGTTTTTCCTTCTTGAGTTTTGATATTAGAAGAGAATACGCAATTCTGTTTCGTAGATAATTATTCTTGGATACGGAAAATCAGATGCCACCTTAAAGTGATTGTTCACCTTTTTGAAAATACGCAATTTGAAATGGGGAATACATGAAAGACATCTTATGCTTTGTTGTGCCCGTAATTCTGAAAAATAAAAATTTTGTATATTTTTTTTTCAATAAGTGAATAATCTCTTAAATTCAATCAATCAAGAGTTGAACATATTTCAGGAAAGCAGGTCCTGAGTTTTCATTACTATTCTCTGCTCAACCTCTAGATACAGAGGATATATTCGAGGTTAGATTAGACTCTACAGATTCAAGATGGGCGGGATCTCTCAGATTAGGTCTTACAACACTTGACATCGCAGGTAGGACATTCGTAATCCTTCCACATTTTTTTCAAAGGAATTGAGCCTTAGCAACAATCTTAAACTTTCTAATCCCTATATTTTTGAAACCGAACGGTGTAAACCTTTAATAACTCAAACTTAGATGTTTTAATCTAACAGAATTCGTTGTCCAAAATATAATAATAATATAATAATAATAAGTTGTAAGGCATTGGGTTGCAAAGATATTGGGATAAGGAAATCAGAGTTTGTGGTAACGACTTTATTCCTTTTAAACTTTTTTCCCTCGAGAAAGACGACCTTGAGTTTACTGCTGAACAAAATGTCATGTTGTATCACTTTGTAACGTTTTTTGAGACCACTGTATTTCAGTGATAAATATCTAAAAATTAATTTCCTTTGAGAATTTTCATAAATTTGCTGGAATATATATTTATTTAAGAATTATTTTCAAATACCATCGGAGGATTTTGGAAAAGGAACCGGCCTTTAGATAAAAAAATGACAATTATTGAATTGAATCTGCAATTATTTTATTAAGATGGAGATAGTAACAAAGTCCCCTGCGATTTGACCAGCCTGGAACAGGTTATCTACTTGGACGGTTCAACTGTCTACAGGAACAACCAGATCATCAAGCTCAACTACGGCCCTTGTCTTGACAGGTCAGGATTAAGGAGAGGGTGCGATAATTTTGACTTCTGTACTAAATGATTTTCTTGAGCTTGAGATTTTTATTCTGCTTTTTTATTTTTTTATTTTTTATTTTTTTTCTCTTTGAGTTGATTATAATGTTGTTTTAATTTCTTTTCTTTCGTTTTTAGTCTCAGTTATTTAAGCTTTTAATTAAATAAAGTAAAAGTCTGATTTGATTTGAAGTATATAAATAGATTGAGAAATCTTAATAAAAGTGAAATTTTGAAAATTAAAACTTTTCATGAAAGTTTTCTTCATTTTAGGCTAATGATAGGTGACAGGGTTGGTGTAAAAAGGACTCTAGATGGAACTCTTAGGTTAGTTGATGTTCATATTTTTTAAGTTGAAGTTCTTGATGATCTGGAATTTTATGATATTGATGTGGATTCTAATGTTAATGTTGATATTTTGAAAGTTGATGTTGATGTTGATGTTGATGTTGATGTTGATGTTGATGTTGATGTTGATGTTGATGTTGATGTTGATGTTGATGTTGATGTTGTTTTTGTTGATGTTGATGTTGATGTTGATGTTGATGTTGATGTTAATGTTAATGTTAATGTTAATGTTAATGTTGATGTTGATGTTGATGTAGGTTGCCTGCTGATATGTTGATGTTGATGTTGATGTTGATGTTGATGTTGATGTTGATGTTGATGTTGATGTTGTTGATGTTGATGTTGATGTTGATGTTGATGTAGGTATATAATAAACGGCGAGGATTACGGTCAAGCAGCTTCAAACATTCCGGTCAACTCTAGAGTTGTAGTAGAACTTTCCGGTCAAACCACTCAGGTAATTCAAACCACGTCAAAGGTCGAGACTACTGAAAAGCGCTTATCTTTAACGCCTGTACTCTATATCGACAGCAGACATTTTTAATTTGAATGATTTTATTCTAGCAATCAGTCATTTGCCCGTCATTTGCTGAGAGCAAATAAGGTATTGTTGTATTTTGACAATCTTTGTAAAACAGTTTAAAAAATGTAAGAAAAACGATTACAAAGGTTTATGTTTTCTTGTCATAAAAAATAGGTTTGTTACCTTATGGCGGGGCGGCAAAACTGTTTCAGGAGTTTATTCGCATGATTAGGAAAAATAAATAAATTTTTGCGTAAAAATATTTAAAAGGATGGAATATAATATTACCCCCTGAACAATTATAAAAGGCAAATTTAAATTTTCAATTTACTCCATTAATAATGAAGATATTGTAATATTATAATTAATATATTTGCTGCTAGGTGACAGTGACGTCAGTTTGTCGAGGAAATATATCTCCTGTCGACGAATCTCAAAACATCCACGACTCATTGGAGAATATATTAGAGGAAAAAGAAATCTCAACAAGTCGACTAGAATTTCATGAAAACAGGTTGGAACCCAACTTTATTATTAAAAACTCGAGAGAAAGGAGAATGGAGACTTTTTACCTCTTTGATGCTCATTCCCCAATAAATGTTTAGGGGCCGAACTGTCTTGATTATTCTCTAAGAATTTTTTTTTGTTAAGGGACCGAACTGTCTTGATTATTCCCTAAGAAATGTTTATTGTTTAGGGACCGAACTGTCTTGATTATTCCCTTAGAAATGTTTAACGTTCAGGGGCAGAAATGTTACGATTATTCTCCAAGAAATGTTTAATGTTTAGGAACCGAAATGTCCTGAGTATTTCCTGAGAAATGTTTATTATTTAGGGGCCGAACTGTCTTGATTATTCTCTATGAAATGTTTATTGTTTAAGGGCAGAAATTCTCGATTATTCCCTGTGAAATGTTTATTGTTTAGGGGCAGAAATATCTTTATTATTCCCTATGAAATGTGTATTTTTTAGGGGCAGAAATATCTGTTTATCACATAGCAGCACTGTGGGGAGAAGAGCAGAAAGTTACAATCAAGGTAAATCCTTAATTTTACTTTTTTACCTTCGCTCTCTAATAATTAAAACAAAAAATTTGTTTAGATAGCTTTAGAATTTAGTTTGAAATTTACTACTTTTTTGCCCTGTGTAATTTATATCTGGATAGTGTTTGTTTTTACCTTTACTCCTGCAAACGACCTTTCGATTTTGACCTCTGCTGACCTCAGAAATTGTCGTGACCTAACCTAACCCTAAAATATTAAGATTCCATCCTATAATTTTGTGTGTAAAAATGCTTTGAACTTGATGGGGCGTAATTTCTAAGTATTTGAAAAATTAATTTAATTGAATAAATATTTGAACGTTAGAAATTTAGTCCAAACGAACGTTAGTCCAATCGATCATTAATCCAAATGATTTGACAGCACTGCACTGGTTGAACTGTTGTAATGTTTAGCATCTGTTAACATGTAGGTGTTGTTGTCTCTCTCCGTCCTTTACCTGAGGATACACTGTTCCAAATAAGTTTAACAAAACTTAATACAAAGTGGTCTTCATCTATTTCTGTAGGAGTTATAGGTAATAATATAAAAGGTGATTCCTAAGTTTAAAACTTTTAATCTTAAAACAAAAATGTTTACCTTGGCGTTGCTTTCCATCTAATATTTAAGAAAAGATTAAACAAATATCCTACTCCTAAGCACTGGTAAGGTTTCCGTTAAAAAAGAAAACAGACTTTAGAATCATTTTCATAAAAACCAAAGAATTTTTAGATGAAAAAATATGCCTTAAATCATACAAATGCATAAAGTTGCAAAACTGAACGCTTGAGATTCATACTGCGAGTAAAATATTTTAGTTAATAATTTAGTTTGGACAAAGAAACAGCTTAAAGTTTTAATGCATATCTTCCGTATCTCCGAACTACTAGATTATAATGTACAATCTAATAATTAGTGATATTCAGGGAACCCTCCTGAGAGATATCTTCCGTATCTCCCAACTTCTAGATTATAATGTACAATCTAATAATTAGAGATATTCAGGGAATCCTCCTGAGAGAATTCATTTACCAGTTTCCCTTCTCCATCTCAAGAAAGATGCTTGGATTGTATCAGGTGAGAACACAAATCTTATTTATTTAGAAATTTGGAATATCAGGAATTCTGGATTTTTGGAATTTAAAATTAAGGAATTTAGATATTAAGTTTTAGAATTTTTATTTTAAACGTGATGGTTAGTAGGTCTTTCAAGATACTATACTTTTGATGCCACGGAATATTATTTTGTTAGTCATAAACCTAGAGATAAATGTAAAAACTGTCATAATGATGAATTTATTCATGAAATAAAAATATTTTGTGACAACAATAAATTGCTCAATTGATTATTAAAACAAATATTTGATTTTTGTAATAAAGAATTAACTAAAGAAACAATAATTTGAAAAATTTAACAATTTTAGATTGGTTTAATTCAGATTCTTATAAACTTCATTTTGAAAAATATTTTCTGCGGAGGTGTGTACTGCTCTCTGTAAGGGCTGTCAAAGCTCCCCCTTTATTCTACCCCTAGTATCCACGCATTTCTGGCATACACATTGAATCCTAAAAAATCCAGGCCAGATCTGAACCACTAGATCCCATATAGATCAGAGGCGGCAAGTGGAGGAATTCAACTCTGTTTTCATTGTATTTCAACCTACAGGTCGTTGTACTTTGTCTGTAGGTTGATTGTTAATAATAATAATAATAATACATTGACCTATTGTTCCAGGGGATAAAGTATATCATAACAGCAATGTTGTTCAAAACCGGTACGGGACAAACCTGGATACTCTACTAGGAACAAAATCATTCAGATATTTAGTAACATTATTTTTAAGGGACAATTTTGGCAGAGCTTTTTCATATTTTGTCAACATAAAAAGTAATTTTGAAAATCTTTAAAAATGCCTAAAATTTGTTTGAATTCTGCGTTCAATTTTTTCTGTTTTTACCTGCAATTTGTTAGGTTTGAGATCGGAACTTTTGTTTAGATCTTGTTTATCTTGAAAGTTTTATTTTGATATCCAATGTGGCCACTTTAAAATTTTAAGATCAATGCTTGATCACTGCAGAGCACGGGATATCGAGTAAGGATTTAACAAATCCCCAGATATATTTAAGTTGGAGATCAATGCTTGATCACTGCAGGGCATAAATACCACAGGATATCGAATAATAATTAAACCAATCACCAGATCTGTTTTAAGTTGGAGAACCATGCTTGATTACGAGATTCACACCGCTGAAGTTCAGACTTCTGGCAATAGTTGAATGATTAATTGTTCCTGCAGTAAACCACAGTGTTGGTGTACTGGTGGATAAAAACCGGAATCTTCATGTTTATATCAACGGGGTTGATCAGGGAGTAGCAGTAGATAATATCCCACCTCAGGTTAGGAGAATCATTTATTTTACCAAGAAAAATGTCGACGTTTCAACTCACTACTCATTTCGAAATTGTCATGCCCTTTCACATCGGCTCCCTTTAAACTTTATCTGAGAAATAATGAGCAAGCAAACGTTGTTCTTCTATATATGGAAAATGGTTAATTCTGAAATTTTCTTATTTGTCTCTGCTGCATAAATCGTCACTTTTATGAAAAACCATAAAGGGAATATCAAGTTTCAGATATAAAAACAAGGATTTATTCGTCAGTTTTGCTTGATGGGTACCGATGTGAATCAGGCATGCCCCCCTTTTTTTAAATGAAGGGTTACTTGAGATTATGTCGACAGGTTTTGTAAAGATTAAAAATGAATTAATAAACTTTGGTTTATTCGAATTTTTGTGTAATAACTAAATGTACGCTGCAGTTTAATTCACACTCAGACAGCACTGATATATAGACATCGCTAAAAGTTAGTATCAAATGTTTAGACAGCCACGACTTTAAGGTGTCGCAATGCCTTGGTCTTTAGTTTTACGTCACCAACGCTCTCATACGTTTCTGTAGTCCTAGACGCATACATTTCAAAGAGCTTAAGGCTTAAAGGAGTAATTCGCAAAATACTGCTGGATTTTGGCGTGAGAGCGTGTTAGGTTGGTTTGTAGGGCTACTCACAAAGGACGGAACTTCTAACTGATGAACTTTTTAGTCTTTTTTTACTAGCATTACTTTATCTTGTAGCTTTCGACTTTATTCTTTATTTTCCAAATCATTGATATGCAGTTAATGACTAGATTATCTGAGCGATATCTTTTGCAAGTAACGTACTTTATGTAGAGATGTTGCAACATTAGTATTCTAGTGCTGGGCAGTGTTTGATTTGTACGGGATGTGCGAGGAGGTTGCAATTATTGGTAGTGAAGGACACAGTGCACTCATTGCTGAGAACCTTGAGCTCAGGGAATATGTAACAAAGGTGAATTTTATTATTTTTAAAAACTAGGCATTATACATTTTAAAATAACAACAGTGAAAAATTTTGTGGATTCTGCAGTTATAAGTCCAGAATTTTCACAATAAGAAAAAATAAAATAAAAACAAGTTACAATTTTGACCGGCTTTAAACCGCTCCAGATATCATGAAAATTGTAAAGTCCCACAACAATTTGACTTTTATTGGACACAAACCAATTCAAACAAACCATTTATGTATTTAGATGAAAGGATAAAGAAATTAAAAATTAAAATTCTCTTAGGAGAAGTGGATTGAAGAGGATGAGGATGTCATGAAGTCCAGTATCAAGGTGAACAAGGACGTGAAGAACTCGATGACTAGTTCTCAAATGTTCCCCCACATGTTGACTAAGATAGAACTGCTTACGATCAACTCAAGAAGAAGTTGCGAATACAGAAATCTCTGTTCTAACTTTAAAAACTCTCTTGGAATACCTGCGGTGTTTTTCGAAAAGGTAAATACATTTACATGTTTTATGATTTCAAAAAGTATCTAAAAATAATATTTCATAGGTCGGACAAGCAATTTGTTTCTGTGAAACTTGTCATAAACTGCGCGGATGTTCTTCAATCTCAACAGCAGGCAACCCTCCGAAAAACTTTACACTTCCCATCCATTGGGTCATTTTTCCTCTCAAGCTCAGGGACGACTGTTTGGCCAGGGAGGAGGAGGGAGAGACAGAGAAGGAAGGGAGAGAGTCCTGGCACTTGGCTTTTCATGGAACTAAGACAGCACATGTTAGGTAACTGATAACTTATTCAAAATAACATTCTTGGACATCGACAAAATTCTTTGGTGTTGGATATTACGGAAATCTTAATTACAGAATAATTTGTTTCCATTTTGAAATTTTATATTCAAGGCCAATGCTTGATGCTGGCAAGCTTTTAACTCCGGATGAACTGGGATTAGAGAGAACTTTGGAAAAATCTAAGTCCAAGCAGGTATAGAATTATTTTAGATCACTGCAAATGCACTCAAACCAATTAAGCATGTTTTAGCAATAACCAAGATCATCAATATAAATAGGCAATAATGATAAAAATAGTAACATCAATAATAATATTAAAAAAATAAAAAATGATAACACTGACGATGATGAAAGGATGACAGTGATGCTCCCCTACTGTACTTCTCTCCTGACATCAGCGAGGCAACTGTTGGGGTGTACTGCAAGGGGATGTTTGTGGACCGGAAATCAAGAAAAGAATACATGGCTAAGACAGCCCTTCTCTTGGAAGTAGAACCTGGGTCATATAAAGTAAGATTCTTTACACTATCAATACTTTTAGGACTAAACTATTTTCTTGGCATAGTCAAGGCTAGATTAACTATTTAAAACACTGTTATTTTGGTTTGCAGTGATATAATGATTTGGACAGAAATTTTCTGTTTATCGAGAAGGTTCAAGCCTTTTAAGATTTAATTTTGTCCCGAGCTTTAGCAAGGAACAAAATATAATCTAAGAAGACGAGAACCTTCGAGATATCGAGAAAATTTAAGTCCAAAAACTTTATAGCACGTCGTGCCAAAATAATAGTGTTATAGGTAATTTTATGAAACGTTTGGGTACTTGTCTTATTTCCATGGCTATTTCTAGATCAAATAAACTCTGAAACATAGCAGAAGTCATAATATAAAGTTGATTTCAATTTTATTTTCATTTGAATTGAAAAAAAAAAATATTTTGGAAATATCCTGAGTTTTTTTGAGAAAATCTAGGAACCAATCAAAACTATAGCACACGTGCTATAATGTACATCTAATTTCACTTTATAGCAGGATGATTACTTTATAGCACGTTCATTATGAAATTCACAATGACGTGAGGAAGAATGATAAAGTACACAATAGTTTCATAAAACATTTTAAAATCTTTAAAAAAAATAAATAAAATAAAATAGGCAAAACGTACGTGATAGGTGTTCTAAAATGGCAACATGGCTCAAATTTTGTCTTCTTGGAATGGGAATTTCATGAAACAAATAATGAGAGGAATTATTAATTTGAAGATTCTGGTCGAAAACATGCAGTACAAAAAGAACTCAAACCACCGATTTGTATGACGGAGCCTAAGGCCAATCCCTGCCTTTTATAATTTGATTTTAACCCAACCATTTTCATTTCAGGTTGGTGGAAAGGATGAAGGTGAGAATGAGAGTATTTGGGTGACCAAGGAGCGAGGGAACACCATCATTACTGGACTCCTTGTTTCTCTAGATATGGCAGGGTAGACACTGCAGTTGTTCTTAAATTTACAAAATAATTCATGAAATATTGCCTTTTTCCCCCTAAATTGTAATCATTAGAATATTTTTACATGCATTATAATAGGTATTGCCAATATTAACTATTTTTGCTTTTTTTCCCTCTAAACATTGTTCTCTCACCTTGTAATTTCAGGCACAGCAGTGTGATTCTCAATAGTTAACATAAAAAATCATAATTACCAGATTCAATATTTAATTAATTTCCCTATCCTTCTCACTCCTCAGCAATATGGCTTGAACTTAAAATGTCATCAAAAGACGATAAAATATATGTAATTATATTGCTTAAAATGATGCATATAATTAAAATGATGCATATAATTAAAATGTCACCCAATAATTTTATTGCATTTCAAATTTTACAACAGATTCTAGATTTCTATAAAGGGTACTTAATACCAAATTCAATCAAAAATTAATCACTTAAATATATTAATAGTATATTTGAAAGAACAAAATTTAATATAACATTTTTTGATTATTTTTAAGATGTATTTTAAGTAGTTCCGTGCATTCAAAAAAACAAAGTTGTGTGATACTGAACTTATGATTTCAGATTCAAAATGGCAAAAAAAATTGTTTTTGATTGATCAATAAAAATGATAAAACAAACTCACAAAGATGATTTCCTGGAAAGAACAAAAGCTGCCAGGTAAAGAACATTTCTTTACTTCTATTACAAAATATTTGTCAACAAGAAAGGTTCTAAATGATGAAGAAAAACTGTCAACATTATGTTTTGTTTCCAGAGAGGAGAGGCAGCATGGGAAGGTCAGGTCCGAGAATGCTACAAAGATCCAGAGCATAGTTCGTGGATATCTTGCAAGAACTCGGACAAAAAAACTGGTTTTATCCCGGTTTGACCACATGTTTCCTGTACTGGAAGATGCCGCAGAACCTTCTCACACCAACTCTTCTGTTCAAATGTTTTCAGTGGCCAAACTTTTCATTAATATGATCAACCCAAGGTAAAAAAGTTTTCATGACAAAAAATTTTGATTTTATCAATCTCAGGTTCAGTTGAAATCTCTTCTGCTGTAAAAAAAGGAGAAAAAAATCTGAATTTATACGTCATTATTTATACAACTCAATTTCAGGAAGGAAGAAGGAAGGTTCGAACGGATGTTGAAGTATCTTGTCTCATCAATAGGACTAGACTCGCCTAAACTTAGCTTCATTGGGGTCTTTCTTAATAAGGGAGGAAACCTTCATAATCTTAAATATTAGATCTGTTAAAAGAAAAAAAAAATCATTTTGAAGTAAAGCTTGGTTTTTTATAATAACTCAATTCTGTTGGTTAAACGCATATTTAATTTTTTTGCATCATTAATAAATGAATTTGTTGTTCCTAAATGCAATACATCAAATATATATCAGTGTTGGCGTTAAAGAGAAAATCCACCAAAAGTTTCTCTAGTGAAGATATTATTTCAGGAATATACTTTTGTTTGTGTTTGATATTATGAAAAATAAATAATGAATAATGAATATTAAGAAATGAGAAATAAAAGTTATGAATTATGAACGATGAATGATGAAAATGAATGAGGAATAATGAATGAATATGAACGGGTTTCAGGAGCACTCGATATCCTGGATAAAGCTAGTGAAAGATCTCTGCTTGATGTCCAGCAGTATCCTGGCCAGTGTATCAACTAACCATCCAAACTATAATAAAAAGGAACAAACAAATTCATTTCTCTTAAAACTTCTCTCAATCCTATTTCAATCATTTTTAAATTTTGATAATTTTGTTTTGTAACAATTTTTAGTTATAACAAACTTTATAATTTTTTTATAATACATTATAAAAGTTGAAAAATAACAATTTACTGATTTGTCAAATTATTTTACTTATATTTTACAAAATAAAATGTATCATCTGATGTAATCAAGTTCAAGAATTAAAATGATTTTTTGTGAAAGGTCGCATTTTATACACTTGTTCTAATCAGTTTTACATCATCATCTACTTGGAAAATTACAAAAGCAAAGGTAGGTTTTACGAAAAAAAAGAATTCATAAATGGAAACAATTCAAATTTTAAACCTCAACTAAAAATTAGTTTAAGTTTCGGTTTTAGTTAAGAAAAAAAGTTGACATCAAATTAGTTTTTCAATACAACAGAAAATTTATGGTATGAGTAAAAATCCTTTCTTTAGTCTTTAGGGTTATTTTATCTATTTTTCTAGGCATTGGCTCCACTTGCCCCTCATATTACTCAGCTATGTCACAACATTACCGGAGCTCTTGTGGAAGGAGGTCATTTTTTTACAATAAATATTTTAAAACTATGATCTTAAAAATATTTTTATTTTCTATACACAACTTTTAACCACCGATTGATCCAGTAAATCCGTGGAAAAAAACGCGGAAAGAGATATCCAGAAGGAATTCATTATCTGTGGGAACTACAAAAGCTACGGATAAGCACTTTCTTAAAGGAGTTTTTTAACAAAATATGAGAGATATTTTATCGGTTAATAAAAACATAAAATTCATACATGTACATTGTACAATTGTACAAGGTATTCAGTTCAGTCTGGTGGTTCCACTTTGGATTCTCTTTCAGATTTACACTTTATTTGCTCTATAATTGTCGTCTTTGTTAGGATTGATGAAAGATCTTAAAACTGTTCTTCTCAAGGGGATTGCATCTTCCAAGGTTTTACTCAAAAAAACCTCTTTAAGGTCAGGAAAAATTTTTATTATTAATTTTAACTATTTCACGTCAATTAATAGATTGAACCTCTATTTTTTTTATTTGCAGACCTGATCCAGAACGGTATAATTTTAACCTTGGGCGTAACAAAAATGTTAGAGATATTCTTATTTGTTTTTCTGGAAATTAGTATTTTTCAATTCCGGGTTTTCTACAAAAGTTTCTTAGGGATTTATGCAGCAGATACAAGGAAATAAATTGACGAAAATGAGCGGGGAACTTTAGAATGGTGGATATTGAGATTAATGCTTGATCCTCTCTTTTTCTTGATCTCGAGACTAAACTAATCTTGTACTTGTATCCTGAAAAGTGTATGAAATTCAACCAATCAGTGTCACGTATTAGAAGCCGATAAATTTGAAATTTTGCGCGCCATTTGAGATTTAAATACAGAAACGGGAAGGACTCTTAATTTTAAAAAACCGGTTTTGATTTTTCTGTACTATTTCTAAAAAAGAGTGGATTAAGCAAGAAATCAAAAGTGTCCACATTGGATATTCGGATTAAGAAGTCAGGATTAATGGTCCCATTCTAAAGTTCCCAGCTCTGATCTCTTATTACGATGGCTTTCTCAATTTTACTCGGATAAGGGGCTAAGTGCACTGTTGTGAATCAGGCATGTAACTCTTCAAATGAAGGGTCATAAAAAATAAAGCCAGCGCCCAGCAGTCTCCTGAAAAATAATTTTTTTTTCAGTGCCATAAACAATCTTGGATTACGCCCTGTTATCTACTCCAACTTCAGTGATAAACTAGTCTCCATGTATGTTCTAAACATACTTTGTGTTCCAACACTTGTATATCAGGCAACTAATTATCCTTTATTTAAAGGGGGAATATCTAGATTAATCAAACTAATTCTAAAGGGATAATTGATTACTTAATCAACATTATAAAATCCAACTTCTCTTTTAATTGATTTGGGTTAAAACACTCCACAACTATGAGCCTCGAAAACTGTGGAAACGGAAGACGACATTGGATTATTTAAAATCAGATCTTGAGAGGTTACAGTAGTCTTCCTTTTCCGTAGTTGTATGGACCACACGGTATCAGTTGCGGAAGTTGTTTCTTTAAATTTTATTTATTTTCATTTTTCAGACGAACGCATTATGTCCTGAGATAGTTTCCTTGCTAAAAACCAACGATATTCTCAGATTTTCCATCAAGCTACTGAGCCAGGAACAGCAGCTAAAGATTCACTTTAATGCCCTAGAAGGTTGGATAACTTTAACCAAAATATTGGTAAAAGTTTTTCAAAAGTTGGATCTTTGTTTAGGATCGTATGCTCTCTGTCTTGCGGCCAATCTTATAAATCTTCTTCATCTAGAGACATCGGATAGGCTTCAAGATGATTTAATAGGTAACAAGCATTTGTTTAGTTCACAGATTAAAGTATCTTGAGTTTGGTGTAAATGAAAAAAGACCCTAAAATAAGTAGAGAGCTAAAAAATGTGCTTTAAGTATTGTTCATGGTACTTTGTACGTAAAATCATGCTGCACAATTTTTTTTTTGATTTTCTGAAAATGTGTAAATGAACTAAATTAAAGTTTAAGTAAGAATCCTCAAGTTTTGGTCTTTGGATGAGAATGTGTAGTAATAGTTAGTTTCCGCCAGGAGTGATTTCTTGTAACTTTGTTGTTTTATTTTTCCGCTAGGGTTGAATTTTTTATTTTGTAATACTTAGTTCTATATTTGTCCACTAGGGTTGGTTACTGTGCTGACCCGTCTGCTTGAGTCCTGCTCCCAGTATGTAACTGCTAAACAGTCAAACCTCAGCCATTGGCATCCAGTCCTAGGTTAGGCTCTAAAAAAGAAAAATATTCATGATTTTATTTTTTTATTTATTATGATAACATTATAAGAATCACATTTTTTAAAGTCTTTGTAAAATCTGTTTACCCGGATAGGTTATTTTGATTGGTTGGCCCAAAACGGTGTATGGCAGTTTCACAGCGATACTCTTTAATCCTTTATCTGATCAATAATGTTGAAGATATCTTCGCTTTTCTAGCTTTATGTGTTTAATTCTGACAATTTTCTCCGTTGTTTCTGAAACAGAAATCCTCCAGTTACTTTTTATAAAGAAATCACAGTTGATAATAACGAGTTTTCAAAGAGAAAAACATTGATATCTCTTCAATTTTTGATCAGACAAACCTTTCAAGAGTGTGGTGAAGCGGACATTTAACTCAATAAATGGAGACGATTGAATAATCAAACCAAGTAAATGTTGACAGGGGAAATACATTTATGTAGCAGGTCGGGTATCAGAGAGCCAAACTTTTCATTTTCATGCTTTAAAAATCCAGAGTAAAAACAGATTATCTCATCAGGATTTTCAAATCTTTTAGGTCGATTGAGTCATAGAGTCAATAGAGAAAGAACGTAAAAATTATGTAGCCCCAAATTATTGATTTAATGTTTAATGTTTAGGTTGGTTTTCAGTATCTTTGGATAAATATCTGCAGGCGACAATATCTACGGTTAAAATACAAATATCCAGGTTAAAACTTAAAAAGGAAGCGAGACCTTAAAAGAAAGAGTTCTTGCTGAAATTCGATCAACAAACCATTAGGGAGCGCTCCCTCATTCATATTTATCTTGAAAGTTGGCTCACAATGAAAAAAAAGTAATTTAAAAATGTGGCTTAAATGTGGTCGTGTTGAGGGAATCATAACGTTCATCTTGAAAAAATAATAGAATGATTTCTCACAAATTTCGCAATTAAAACCAGATCCGGGCTGAAAAACCCATTAAACAATCGGGACTTGAACCTCCAGTGTGTTACTGTTAAGCCTCAAACAATCCGTAAAATTCATGATTTGATGATCATCGCTTATTGCAAAATGAGATAATTTGGGAAGGGGGGGGGGGGGTTAGATAACATTTATTTATATTATAACCCTTAAATATCAAAGATGGAAAAAATATTTTCAATATGTTTTTAGTCACTTTTAATGTTTGTTTAGACTATGGCATCCGGATTCTGTGAAGCTTTTAACCCACCATCTTCAGGAATCGAGCATTTTTTTTTCAAACAACCTTAAATTTTGTAGAAAAATCTGAAAAAAAAAACTTTTATTAAAGGGACAGTAAACGTTATATCAAGTGACATTCCATTGATTGAGTCTAATCAAGAATGAATTATATATCAATGTTATTGTTTTTGAAACCAATAATTTTCATTTTTAGTTTCTCTTTTTATTTTACTTTAATTTTTTTCTTCATTTTTCAAAATAATAATTGTTTGATTGTTTACAGACTGCTGCGGCTAATTTGGCCCGCCCCTCCCCGCCGGCCACGCCCTCTCCCGAGGAGACTAATGTGGCGAGAAAGTTTATGAAACAGGCGTTTGAGAAAACAAAAACAACATATACCAATACAACACAGAGTCTCAATCCTGTAAGGTAGATAAAAAAAAACAAATTAACCTTAACCTTAATTTTAGTTTTTATTCTAAATTTGCTAATTTGACTTATTGATTCTCTTAGGAAATACATTTTATTTTACAATTTATGGCATATTCGCCACCTCGGGTATACTATTACTATATATGGGTTCTAATTTTCTCTGTTTCCAAAAAGTAAAGATTGAATGAATTGAATCAATAATAACGCTATTAAATTTAGTTTTGGAATCAATAGACTTGGAAACCCTGATTGTACACAGATATCTTTAGTATGTACACTCTACCAGACTGCTATCAGGTGCAGTACTATAATGTGCGAAAGCCCAAAGGAGTTACGCATGCATGCCGCGTTGAATTACAGGACAGGGTTAGCCTGTTCTAGCCGCGGCGGCCGGCCCCTAAGTCTGTCCTAGCCGCTACGCTCGCCCCAATAGCCTGTCCTAACCGCAGCGCTCTGCCCAGAAAATGTCTTGACCTAACCTAACTCTAAAATATAAACTAATCTCTTTTTTTTTGTAATTCAACGCGGCAAGCGCGCATAACTCCTTTATGCAACTGCCCTTTAATGTTTAACTTGTGTTCATTCAACCTTATTGATATGTCGTCTTCCAGGTTCTGTTCGATAAAACGGGGTTTTGTTTAAATGAATTGTATACATTAAATAATATCATATTTTCTTTTTCTATCTAAAAAATGCGAACTTTTCGTTTTTTCTTCAAATTAATTCAATGAATCGAAAGGGCTTATTTTTTAACATATATTTCTTTGGGGAAGGCTTCTTATAGAATATATGACTACAATATTTATTCTTTTTTGTAACTTTTGATTTTTTTCAGAACATTATCCCAGCTGAGATTGGAGATTCTGATAGGAATTCAAACTCTAAATATTTAATTTACTAATTTAAAAAAAGAATCGGAAAATGTTCGAAATGATAAACAAAAAACTTTTATGATAAAAAGAGTTGAATTATCAGGTTTATGCTACGGGGATATACTGTTAAAACCATTGTGGCTGTTCCTAAATAGTTTAGGTCCAACCTGCGGACTCAAATCATTCCTAGACCTTTTAAATACTAATAGGTAAATAACAAGGTTTACACTAGGGCAGGTGGAAGACTTCACGATTTGGCAGATTTTTCTGGGTCTTTAAGAATAATTGTGGCAGCCTTTATGGACTATAATGTTCTCCCAGAGGGAGTGTTCGCGAAAAATGAAAGGGGGTATAGGCTGCTATCGAATTGAATTCAATAACAATTGGTATTAATTATACTTTTATCTGTTGCCTTTATAAGGAAGAAAGGGTTAAAAACTTCTCATACTAAAGAACGTAGGACCCATACAAATTCACGGATTTGCATTATTCCACTAAGATCGTAAATGATTCAATTAAATTTTAAATTAATCATTCAGATATTACAACCTGGAATTTCGGATTTAATTTGATGCATTCCTAATTAGTTGGTAATGTATAATATTTTTTAAATTGTTTTTTTTTACGATTTACTTTAATTTAAACGACGACTATTTGTCTACTAGGTCTAGAAACTGTCCTGAGTTCCAGATGTTAACTCTATTCTGTTTAGATCTGGAAACTGTCCTGAGTACCAGATGATAACTCTATTCTGTTTAGATCTGGAAACTGTCCTGAGTTCCAGATGTTAACTCTATTCTGTTTAGATCTGGAAACTGTCCTGAGTACCAGATGTTAACTCTATTCTGTTTAGATCTGGTAACTGTCCTGAGTTCCAGATGTTAACTCCATTCTGTTTAGATCTGGAAACTGTCCTGAGTTCCAGATGTTAACTCTATTCTGTGATACATTCGGTCATTTAGTAACAATTCTTGGTAATTAGATTCAAAACATTTATTTTAAACGAAAATTTGAAAATACGTCAAGGAATTTGTTTTCAATAGACAATTACACTTTTTCAACAAGTTAACCTTAGCGTTATCCGGGGTTCTACAACTTAGAGGGGCTTTTAGATCTCGTTAGTCTTTATTGGTCGTTGATTCACTCACTTGTTGTTTCCTTTGGGGAAATTGGAGAATTATGTACATTGTACAGTGTACACTCTTCAAATATTAAAATTTATTAAGAATTAAAACTGTTCTGAAAGTTGTTTAACTAGATGACTCTGAGTTCTATGATTCTGGTGAACCGTTCTCTCCTCATGAATATGCTCTTCTTGGACAGTTTATCAATCAGTTTCTCTATAGGGTAAACAGTTAGCTACAACCAAAAATATCTGTTTTTTGTACTATTTTTGTTTATTGTCGCTAACTTTTAAGTTTTCATTAATTAAGTACCTCAAGGTTTTACAACTCGTTCAACATTTCCATTAACTGACGAATTTTAATCTACACGTTCTCATGTTTGAAAAGTGATGTTCTATTTTTAGTTATCATGGCTCTTAATTAAAATTTTTTTTATTAACATCAGAAAGAAAATCAATTGAAATTTTTCAGCGATTAAATGAAGTTATAGCTTTGTAAGATTGGCAAATCCCCATATTTTTATTTGATTTTATTTGATTACAACTGCGGGAGATTAAGGGTAAAACATGATGCTTAGCAAGAACTAAAATCGTTTTCCTAAACAATCAAAAAACTAGATTTTCCGCATTAATTATCGCATTATTAAAATAAATTCAAATTTTGTTATCGACTATTTAATTTGAATACTGTTAGGCAATGTGGAATGGTATATTGACTGACCCTGAAATACCGCTCTGTGTTAGCATGCTAAATCTTCTTGATGTGCTCATGCGAAGAGACGAAAGGTAAGAATAATAATATATTATGCGTAGGAAGAAAGTGTAATAATCAAAATTATTGTTATAATATTGATTATTACACTTTCTTCCTACGCATAATATATTATTAGATCTAGGATTGTTGCCAGTTATTGTACATGATGAACTTCCAACTGATTTTCCACTTTGCACAAACTTTTGGTTGACTAGATTCAAATCTCGTAGTTATGAGGAATAGTCTCTGATATGTTAGTTTTATTAATATATTGAGAAATAAGTGTGTCAAAGAAAATTCAACAAATGTCTGTTAAAAGTCTCTCTTGTTCATTAAATTAAAGTTGCAGTAATCAATTTCGGAGAGCCAGCCTACATACGTCTAATGCAGTGTTAAAGGGAGTGTCCGCGAAAAATGAAAGAGGGTATAGGCTTACGGCGAAAAATAAGCGCTTTAGATTGCTACTAATCTTACTTTTATATGTTGCGTCTATAAGGAGAAAATTGTTAATAAACGACACATTCCGAAGAACGTAGCGTCCATACAAATTCAGAAAGTTGCATCATTCAACTCGGATCGTAAAATAATCAATTTAATTCCAATCAAATCATTCAGATATTACAACCAATAATCATTAATCATCGATTATTTTTAGACGCATTTGTATAAAGTTGATATTTCATAATATTTTTTTATTTTTAATGGTCTGAGAGTTACTTTTGAAAGCATTTATTCCTGTTTCAAGGATTTTTGATAATGAAGACAACATTTTCATATTATCCAGTAATGTTTGAAAATCCAGCGCCAGCAAAATATTATTTAAAAAACAAAATCAAAAATATTATAAAATATTAACTATATACAAATGCGTCGAAAAAAAATTGATGACTATTGGTTGTAATATCTGAATGACTTGTTTGGAATTAAATTGATTACTTTACGATCCGAGTTGAATGTTGCAACTTTCTGAATTTGTATGGACCCTACGTTATTCGGTATAAGTCACCTACAACGTTGTCGCTTCATCCTCCGCCAATTATCAGTTACGTCATATGAGGATTTTGAATGTCCATTGCTATTAAGATAACATTTCTCGTACATTTAGTATAGTCACTTCAATTTTGGGGTGTGGGTGTAGGACGTCCCTAAAAGCATGATTTGATTTGATTTTGAAGCGCATCCTGAGTGTCAACCATAAAAACAATCTTCTCTAAATAGGGTCGATTTTTCATGTCGTGAATTCTAAACTAGTATCGAACTAGTTTTTCTATCCAGCTCTGTTTGATGGGATGTAGTCTTTCGATGAGGAAAAATATTTTTAGGCTTTAAATAAAGAGTGCAAACCTATTTTATCGAAAAATCAAAAGCTTTTTGCACCAGCAAAAAATTATACAGTAGCAAATTAGAAGAAACGATTATAAAAAGAAAAATCAAAACTCTTTCCTGAATAAACTATTAAAAAAAAAATAGAGATAATGATCTGGGAAAGTCGATTTTTCAATTTTTCAAAACACGCTGATATGGGTATTAGAAGAAGCGTCTTGAACCGCTGAATACCGTCCAATGTTTTTTTCTGGCTTACATCTAGCGAGTTGAATTATAAGAAAGCACAAATCGAAATAAGTTTGAAAGTTTAAGAAAAAATCCCATCTTTTTTAATGAACTAAAGAACTGGTGCACTTGAGCCTTTTTATCAAAAAATCGCTCATTAGTTTTACCCTTATTTTATATATAATTAACATTTTCAGGAGATCCTACACCCACCCGAACTTCTGGCTGATCAAGGAGTTGAAGATGAACAACATGGTTAACGACCTGGCCAAGGGTAAACCTATCCCTCGTCTGATTAAGCAGAAGATCCCCCACATAATGCCGCATCGTGAGCGTGTTCTAATGTTCCGTGATGATGTGAATACTGAGAAAGCCTCCCTTGGGATAATAGACAATGAGTCTCATAGTCCACAATCTACTCTAATCACTGTTCACAGGTTAGTAGTAGTACCCACAGATGGAAACTTTTAAATGAATGGAACTATTTCAAATTATTTAAATTATTTTCAAGTGTCTAGATAAACTGGTGTCAGCTCCCGCCAAAGTAAAGTAAATTGCACGTAAGATTGTAATCTTACGTTTTTTATCATATTCATAACTTCTTTTATTGATTCTTGAATTAGTAAATTCATTTAGAGTTCTGGGGGTGGATAGTAGGACCATCCCCAACAGCCTGATATCATTTCATTTGGTTTGGTTTAATCTTATACTTATGCCTGATATCCAAGAAGCCAAGTGTTATGAATTTACAGTTCGAATTTTGCCCCACCCTAGGAGCTCCTAGGGGGGGGGCAAAAATTTTTTTTGCGCTTCGCGCAAATCTTGCCCCCACCTACATATATTTCTGTATACGCCCTTGATTTAACCCATTTATTCTGATGATTTTTATTCATGAATTCTTTTCTTTGTTAACAGTTTCAATTTAATTTTAGAACTCGGTTAGTAGAGGATGGATACAGGCAGCTCTCCAGCTTGTCAAGCAGTGCATTGAAGGGAGTCATCAGGGTCAAATTTGTAAATCTACAGGTTCGTGCACTGCACGTGTACACTGTACAATGTACACTGTACAGTGAACACTTTACAGTAAAAACTACGCCATAGTTTGGGCCTTCAAACTTCTCTTTTTGGTTAAGGGAAATTTTTCACTTATATGGGGACTGTAAGAGTAATTTTAAGTAACCTTTCATGCAAAGATGACAATACCCGATTTACAACGGTACTTTTGAAGCCATTCAAATCAAATCAATAATGTGGGAGATAATGTTGTTTTTCTAGGCTTGAAAGTATTTAATTCTGTTAATTCCTATATGTTTTCCTGCAAATGCGCAAGTTGTAGATAAACCACAATTGAAAATAATCAGTTTTTAAAATTATAAACATTGATATCTGGTTCATACTTAATCAGACAAAGCTTATAAGTGTATCGTTGTGAATCGGGCATTGTCATGTTTTCATGGAGGATCACTTAAAATTACGCTTACAGTTCCCTTGAACACTTCATTGTAAGCCCAAACCTGTAATTTTTACCAATTTAGTAATCCCTAGTTTGAACTATTTTCAGCATTTTAATATTATTTTTAAAATGTTAATTTTAAAGGTTAAGTAATTGTTTTGAGCAAACTAATTTAATTGTATCACGACAATGCATATATGCAGACAAATCCAAGTTTTTTGTTGACATTAAATCATCTTGGCACAGTGGCGTCGTCATACCGTTTTTAGAATCCGATTGAGGGTTTATTAAAATACACTTAAAAGTAATATAATATAAATAGATAGAATATTAGCCTAGTTCTTTCTCTAGGCCCAGATTTAAGAAATAGTAAGAAGTTGATTCACGCGAACCACTTCTTTAGCGCGTCTGGACAGGTTGAAATAAATTATTCAACTTACTCTACGCGGTTAAAGTATGTCTCGCAACCAGGGGTCCATAAAATTCCATTTCTGATCCCAAATGGGATCGGGGTTGAAAGTACATTTAGGGGCATGAAAGTACACTTTATGTCATTGTGAACTTTCACAAGGTTTTTGTGTACGTATACTACACTTCAGAAATGTGTACTGCATTTGGGGTGTTAAATGATATAGATATTAGTATTTAGTATTAGAGATATATTATGATATACAGAAAAATAAACACTCCCTTACAGTAAACATTCAGCAGTATGAAATTTTATCTACAACTTGACATTATACTTCCAATTGTTTACAATAACAACATGGTTTATTTCTGCCCCTAATATCAATCAATCAACATTTGGGATTGATCAGATGGCACATAATCCAGACTGGACAAACACCAGGCTCGAATATATTTAGAAGACGAAATTCTATAAGTCCAGTGAAGCCAAGAGGATACATATTTGTAAATTAAGATACATTAGTACCCCTTGCAATACAAATTTGTGTCATTTTATAACGTAAATGTTTACAAAATTCTGTTTTGTTTACTTTTACCATCAGTATAGTTGTACTATATGTACATTTAACACGCAATAAGTTTCTTGTTATTCTTTGTGACTAATATATATAATAGGCTTTTAGGGCGCTTCGCGCCCATCTTCTATTTTAATTGTGAACATGTTCTCTTTGTGTACATTGTAAAACAAAACAAAAAAAGTTCGCGGATTTAAACAAAAAGTTTCGTGGATTTTCAAAATTTTAAAAAATTTAATGAAAATCGAATTTTGAAGGAAGGCATATTTTTTAATTTTGTTCATTCATAAACCTTCCCTAGGGCCATGTGAGGTCCCACACAAAAGTTGGGTCCAATCGGTTCAACCGTATTGACAGTTATTGGATACAAACAGTAAGATAAAATTATTATTTTTTATTTATTAGAATCAATAAAATCTATAATTTATGTAATGTTTCCATTATGATTGGTAAAGAAATTGTGATATTAAAAATCTTCAGTACAACAAAAACTACTTAATGTGTATATTTGGCCTTTTTTGTTTTCATATTATCTAATATACATAATAAACGAACTCTTCAGTTCAAAAATCTAAGGGCATTTAAATTGTTATAATTTATAAACTATAACTAAATTTTGTTCTAAAATATTTGTTATTTATTTATATTCTCTGAATCAATTATTTTTATTTTCTTAAAAGTGGCTCTTAATAAAAATGGTTTCCCCACCTCGCATAGTTTAACTGTAATGCTTACCCCACCTCGCAGGAATAATAAAGAAAATCAATGTTTAAATGTCGTCGTCATATATTTCTGATATTCTCTCGGCCTAGTGTTCGTTCTGTCTGGATGATGTGATGGAATTATATGGACCCCTGCTCGCAACTCATTAAATCTGATCCCCATACCTTTACAAAGGTGTTGGATAATTTCCCAATAGAATTTCCCCAGGAGGAATTCCCATGTGACAATTTCCCTGGTGGAATCTTCCCAAATGTGCGATTTACCTAGCGGCAACTTCCCAAAGGTCAGGCTAGCCCTTCATTGGGGCGGCAGGCTGCAATTGGCGCCCCTAGGAAGACAGGACGGACTTGGAAAGTTGCCGCTTGGGAAATTGCACGGTTGGGAAAATACCGCCGCTTGGGGAAAAGCCTTTGTTGGGAAAGTACCTAACATCATAAAAATGACGACCCCCCTCCCTTTACTCTACGTGTCTGATCTGTATCAGGGTCTGGATGAGGCTGGGATTGACCAGGATGGAGTATTTAAGGAGTTCCTGGAGGAAACAATTAAGAAGGTTTTTGATCCGGGTCTAAACCTCTTCTGCACAACATCAGAGGAACTAATCTCAAAAATCATTTTGTTAAAAATATTTAAAATCAATAATTATAAATCAGATAATGGTCATAAGTTAAAAATGACGAAGTTAATTATGCTTATGCCAATACTAAATTTTTAGTTACTACGTATACTAGACAAAGCAATTGGACAAAAAAAATCTTTTTAACAAACAAACAAAAACAATTATCTGATTGTGCTTATTTTAAACTGCTTGATTTTCTGAAAATATTGAGATTTTGTTGTTGTAGGAAAGACTGTATCCCTCCCCACTTTCTCATATAACCGAGAATCATCTAGGTTTGTTAGATAATATTTTTTATTCACACTTTTTAAATATACTAACTGAACTCATGCGTAGCACCGGTCAGATAAGAGCGAGCAAATATTCACCGCTGCTACATGCAGAGTAGCTCTAAATCGTCGCAATTCGGAGCTGAGGGGGTCTAGAGCTACTCTGCAAAGCACTGGGGGAGAATATGCCGCTCTCATTATGAGTAAGTACATTAGGGTGCCAGATTGAATCGGTCGGGGATTCAGCACCTGACTGAGTCCCCTTCTCGGAGTCGGTCTGGGGATCCCACGTTGGGGGTCTTCCACGATCTATCTTTCATTTCATTTCATTTCACATTTATGACCTTGCAGAATCAGTTTGAGTATATAGTAACACATTATAATAGAAGAGTGTAGTATTTGCAAAAATATAAGAAAATCAAATGCCAAATGATCAAAACTTTAGCAATGATCAAAAAGTGTACGCTTAATGTCCTAACGACATCTATTTACTTTTTATAAAATATTATACAAAACACATATGATTTAAAAAGAAACTGTCTCTCTCCTCTCTTTTTCTTTTCTCGCTCTGTTTCTCAGTTTCTGCTTTTTTCTCTATATCTATTTTCTCTTTGTTTCTTTATTCTCTGTTTCTCTCTTTTATTGTTTTGTTTTTCATCTTTCCTTCTCATTCTTCCTCCTAGCACCTAGTTTGTTATTGAAATTTAGTCGGTTTTTAGATAAACAATGCAGTACGATCAGTTGTTTTGATTTCCCCCACAATTGTTTGCAATTCTAGGTTGTAGAGCCGATTTAAATGTTCTGATTTTGTACTGTATATTCGGCATTTGATATTCTGATATTTTTCCTTCTATTTAATTATGTTTGGACTTTAGACTTATCCGACCATATTATATACGATTACCAGTATACAATCCAATACGATTATGTTTGTCTGATAAATTGATAAATAAACCCTAATGTTTAGCTTTTTTGAGTTTGTTGGTAAAATGATAAATTTCAATGTTTATAACTGTGTTTGTTATTAAAATGATGAATCCCGACTTTTAGATTTGTGTGAGCTTGTTGGTAAAATTTCTAATAAACTGATAAATAAATCCCAATTTTTAGAACTGTTTGAGTGTGTTGGTAAAATGATAAATTTTAATCTTTAGAACTGTTTTAGTGTGTTGGTAAAATGATAAATTTTAATCTTTAGAACTTTTTGAGTTTGTTGGTAAAATGATAAATAAATCCCAATGTTTAGAACTGTTTGAGTTTGTTGGTAAAATGATAAATAAATCCCAATGTTTAGAACTGTTTGAGTTTGTTGGTAAAATGATTGGGAAAGCAGTTTATGAAGGAATAGTTGTTGATGTCCCCTTCGCTTCATTCTTCCTTACTCAAGTTTTAGGTTAGTCAACCTGTTTATATTCTTCCTTACTCAAGTTCTAGGTTAGTCAATATGTTTTATTTCTTGTACTTTCAATAATAATCCATGGTGGTCGGCGTTTATATCAATACATTTACGACGTCTTATCTATTTGATTTTTGATTTCTGACAAGCTTTTTTCATAATTAAATTCATAATTAAACAAGGAGAAGCTTTTATTTGACAGCTTATCTTTGTTTCCATGTTAATGTGTATCCATCTGGTTGAAAGTTTGGTAGAAATAAAATATTTAAATCGAAAGTCGTCTTTATTAATGTATACGACGACGACTTTATTAAAAGGCAGACTGCATAAGGAGAAAATTGTTAAAAACGACTTTTACTAAAGAATGTAGCGTCCATACAAATTCAGAAAGTTGCAATATACGATTCGGATCGTAAAAAAAATCAATTTAATTTCAAACAACTCATTCAGATATTTTACAAACTGTTGTCATTAATAATTTTTGACGCATTCCTATATAGTTAATAGTTCATAGTATTTTTGTTTTATATGTGATGTGATTTATTCTGGGCTGCACACACGCTACACTGAAGTGAATGCACTTAAAACGCCAAAAAAGTTGGCCGCCAGATGTTATAAAACAAATAACAAATATTATGAAATATTAACTATATACGTGTAAAATCTAGTCTTAGACTGAGGAACAGGGCGATTTTAAGAACCCTTTTTGAGATTTAGGACAGAAAATTAGACACAGATTTCAAATAATATTTTTATTTTCTTAGATCTGGTTCAATCTAAACAAATTACAACATAGATAATATTAGTTGAAAATAAATAATAAATAGATTTAAAGTTATGATTAAGAAAGCTAAATTACACACTTAAACTGCATTATCTCAATGTTCTAAAGCCGAACCTCTCTCCAATTGAACTGAGAATACATCCGGTGGGCTTCACTCCTTCTTACAGGACCATATCCGGTGGACTTCACTCCTTCTTATTGGACCATATCCGGTGGACCTCGATCCTCTCCTGGGACCATATCCTGGACTCATCTTCTTTGTTCCATGGTTACTTGGAGACTGAGAAATTGCTAAGAGTACAGTTGTATTGTGTACATTTGGAGGTGTGACAGGCTCCAACTGTTCAGTGTACAAGTTCCGTTTCCTGCTGGATCTGTAGATCCAATCATTTCTTCGATGGTGGCAGAGGAGACTTTTAGATGATCCACATTGGTTATTGAATATTTTACAATACAAGTCGTAAATTGCAACTTTCTGAATTTGTACGGACGCTCTGTTCTTCAGTATGAGTCGTTTTTTAACAATTTTCTCCTTACAGACGAAACAGATGAAGTAAGAAAAGTAGCGATCAAAAGCGATTATTTTTCGCCGTAAGCTTTATACTTCTTTCATTTTTTGCGAACACTCCCTTTTAACTTTCATTTTTAGCGTGACACCCTGTATATTATAGGACACGATCACACGAGTTTATACAGTTACTTTGATGAAATGTCGAGCTCTGATCCAGAACTATACAAGGAAGGAAAATATTATAATTTAATTAAGAACGATATTCCTCACAAAATGGCCACAAATTGAGTAAAATAGTTTTAAGAACGTTTACTGCTGTAGTAATATTAATAATAATATTACTTATTTGTTTTCATGCTTTCATACCAAAAAAATTCATTTTTTATTTTTATTTTTCAAAATAATTAATTAAAGTATTGATAAGCAGAACTTGACATACGTTAAACACTTCGAAGGAGATGTTGAAGATCTTGGTCTTACATTCTCATTTGATCAGGTAGATATTTCTTTTATCAGGTAGACATTGGTTTGATCAGAAGGACATTGTTTTGATCAAGGGACACTGTTTCGATCAGGTAGAGATTGATTTAATCAAGTAGAGATCGATTTGATCATGTAGGCATTGATTTTATCAGGTAAACAAGGATTTGATCAGGTAGATGTTAATTTGATCAGGTAGACATTAATTTTACCAGACAAACAATGATTTGATCAGGTAGACTTTGATTTTATCAGGGAAACATTGATTTGTTTAGGTAGACATTTATTTGATCAGTTAGACATTGATTTTACCCGGTAAACATTGGTTTTTTTCAGGTAAACATTCATTTGATCAGGTAGATGTTAATTTGATCAAGTAGACATTGATTTGATCAGGTAAACATTGATATGGCTAGATAGACTTTGTTTTTATCAGGTAAACATTGATTTTTTCAGGTAGACATTTATTTGATCAGTTAGACATTGGTTTTACTAGGTAAACATAGACTTGTTCTGGTAGGCATTTATTTGAATAGATAGACATTGATTTGATTAGGTAGACATTGATTTTATCATGTAACCATTGATTTTATCATGTAAACATTCATTTTATCATGTAAAGATTGATTTGATCAGGTAAACATTGATTTGATCAGGTAAACACTGTTCTGATAAGGTAGACATTAATTTAATCAAGAAGACATTCATTTTATCAGGAGACGTTGATTGATTGATTGTTTGATCAACTTTATGGATTTTTTAACCCTGGACTTTCGGAAAAAAATTAAGTTCGATGAAGACATTTTTAATCTTTTTACTTGTAAATTGTATTTTATTCTGTGTATAAATAAATAATTATCGACAAATATGAAGTATTGATGAATTTTAAAAATCTGTTTATCTATCAGGATGTGATGGGAAGGATAGTTACACATGAGCTGGTTCCTGGGGGTAAAAGTGTAGCTGTTACTAGCAGAAATAGAATTATGTACATTCATATGATGGCTCATTTTAAGATGCATAAACAGATACAGGCTCAGGTAATAATGTAAAACATGTTTTTCATTTTTGTTTAGAAAACTGCATATTGATTTTTGACAAAGATTCCCTACTCCACTCTGTTGCACCATACCAAGGATTAAATTTTTTGTACCGTACTCATTTAGACTGCTGCATTCCGTAAAGGATTTCGTTGTGTTGTACCGTACGACTGGCTGAGTGTATTCTCAGGACCTGAAGTCCAGAGACTGATATCAGGAGACAATACGCCGGTCGATCTAAAGGTATATGTTAAACTGGTTTACAAGCTGTATATCGAGTGAGATGAAAACAATTTCATTATTTTAATGGCCAAGTAAAAAAGACTCGAATATTACCTATTATGTTAAAACTGGTGAGTTAAGAATTGTTTTTAAGTACAGAAAAATAAATTTTTACAACCCTTTGGGTGGTCTTCACATGAGGACGTCTTTTATATGACCTATAAACAATTCTAGTTTGCTAATGTTATGAAATTACTCAACTTTGGAGTTATTTAACCCACTAGTGTCAATCTGCTTTAAAAAAACATATCTTAAATGCTTTAAAGGAATTGAATTGAAGGCGCTATGTTTCGATTAAGCCCCATAGAAATAGAAGAAAGAAATTGGCACTAGATTGGGTTATTTTGTAAAAGGCAGACCATAATTTGAAAATACCAGAAATATTTGTAATGCCTTAAGTTTGAGAAATGTAGTGTACACCGCACACTACACCGTACACCGTGCAGTGACTGTACACTGCGCCGTACAGTGTAAACTGCACGGTATACTGTAAACTGTAACTGTACACTGTACATCGAACACTGAGCTGTACATTGCCATCTAGATTTAAGTGTTCCCTGTCTATTGATATTTTTAAATTCCTAATCATATTTTTTTCTCGGCAGGATTTACGAAAAAATACCGTTTACTACGGAGGGTTCCACGACTCACACAAAGTTATAATTTGGCTTTGGGACATCCTTGAACGAGATTTCAACGACAAGGTAAATCTATTTTTATATATTGTCAAGAACTGATATCTTTGACAACTCTGAAAGTTAGTCATCAAATTTTAAGACAGCCTCGACTTTAAAGCGTGTTTCGCGACCACCCTAAAGTCGCTAATAAAGAGAAAAACTGTTCCGGGTTGTATTCCTTTTGCAAAGCTTTGAACTGGAACCCTCTCTCCTGATCCAAGATAAGATCTCTCCATAATAAAGTCGAGCTAAGTCTTCTACGTTTATTGAAGGTTCAGTCTACCAAATATAAGGCAGATTAGAAATTCGTAAATCACAGAAAAGCTTTAGCAGTTAAATATTCAATAATCTCCAATTTGAATAAGAAAATATAACGTACTCAGCAACCTGTGACGAAGACTTTTTAAACAAAAATATTACATTATTAAATATTAAAAGTGAACTCACCACGTTGGTCCACAGGATACAATAACTTTATCATACGAAAATCTGCATATGCTGTTAACATGAAAGTTTAAACTACACTGATCATTCTAGAATAATAGCGGTGTACACTGTACAGTACAAAAGCCGGTTACATGATAAAACTGGAAAATACGAGTTTGCCGACTCCTCTTTGTTTCTAAGACAGCCACTACATGCAGGGATGAATACTAACTTCTTCAGGGATAAATAGTTCATGTTCATTCGCATACGAAGTTGCGAAACAAAGTGTCACACCGCTTTTGCCTTTGGTTTTACCTTACCAGCAAACTTTTACTTTTTTACCCCAGACTTATGCATTTTCAGATTGCAAAGCGCTTGTTTCTGGTTTCAATTTTAGAGGAGTATTTGGCAAAATACTGCTTGATTTTGGCTTGAGAGCGTGAACATCTTGGTTTGCAGTGCATGTTAGCTATGATTATTCCATTGACCTTTAGCAACACTTTTTTTCAGAATTAATTTTTTTTTTAACGTTTTTATTTAAATTACACAATTAATACTTATAAAATGGTAGGTTTAGCAACTGCTGTTGTGGTTAAGGAATAAATTGGGATTTTCTGGGATATTCGGCAAAATCATAGTTTCATAAAAATACAAATAGAAAACTAGATGTAGTCTTTTCCAAGATCAAAGGGTTTTTCGTTCACAATAAAACTGAGGCAGAAGCCAAACTGAGTTCCGCGCAGGCAGCGTTGAATTACAAGACAGATAGAGAGCATGCACGAACTCCTTTAGGCCACTGCCTCAGGGTTATTGTGAACGAAAAAGCCATAAATCTTGAAAAGACGACTTTTAGTGGTCTATCTGTGTTGTCTATCTGTATTCTTAATTAATCTATGGGCAAAATGTTTTATTAAGTTAAATAGATTGATTGAAATCATTATGATAGGTTTAAAAATAAGTCCAAGATTGTATACAGGGGGGGGATCAGGTAAACACTGTTCTGATAAGGTAGACATTAATTTAATCAAGAAGACATTCATTTTATCAGGAGACGTTGATTGATTGATTGTTTGATCAATCGATTTTGATGGTTATTATATCGTTAGAACTGACGAGGGTCAACCCAGACCGAAATATATTTTCAATAAATGTGGAACTAACATGTACTTTTTTTACTCTACAGAGGTTTGGTCCATCACTTCAAATTTTAAATCTTTTACTTATACCTGAAATCTAAGAAGCCAAATGTTTTGAATTTACAGTTCAGTTCCCTTGAAAATAACTTTTTCTTGGAATCTGATTGGATGCAACGAAAAATGTCAGTTTTTCTTATCTCCTATTTGTTCTTGGGGCACTTGGGTGTCTCAAAATTATTCCCAGAACTTTACTTGTTTAGCTTAAACTTTTGTCTGACTTGCCAACCTCAACCTAAATCTAAATTTTGAATAAGAAAAATGAGTGATGAAACAAAATATTTAGGAGAAAGGGTCCTTCTTGAAGTTTGTGACTTCGTGTTCTAAACCTCCGCTTCTCGGGTTCTACCACCTGGAACCTCCGTTCAGTATCAGATGTGTAGAGGTAAGATATCAGATATATATTCAGCATTAGATGTGTAGAGGCTAGATATCATATATATTCTGCATTAGATGTGTGGAGGTTAGATACCAGATATATATTCAGTACTAGATGTGTAGAGGTTAGATATCATATATATTCAGTATCAGATGTGTAGAGGTAAGATATCAGATATATATTCAGCATTAGATGTGTAGAGGTCAGATATCAGATATATATTCAGCATTAGATATGTAGAGGTAAGATATCAGATATATATTCAGCATTAGATGTGTAGAGGTTAAATATCAGATATATATTCAGCATTAGATGTGTAGAGGTTAGATACCAGATATATATTCAGCATTAGATGTGTAGAGGTTGGATAGCAGAGATATATACAGTGTCGAATGCTTAGAGGTTGGATAGCAGAGATATATACAGTGTCGAATGCGTAGAGGTTGGATAGCAGAGATATATACAGTATCGAATGCTTAGAGGTTGGATAGCAGAGATATATACAGTGTCGAATGCTTAGAGGTTGGATAGCAGAGTTATATACAGTGTTGAATGCTTTTAGGTTAGATACCAGATATATATACTGTGTTGAATGCTTATAGGTTAGATATCAGATATATATTATATTCAGTATTTTATTTACTCTCGTGCAAATATAAATTTTATTAATGGAGAATTTTAAAAGTATCATGTTTGTTTATCGTATTTTTAAAAAAAGTTCATTTCTTTTTTCATCCAACAACTCTTTTTTTAAAGTTTTTTTGTTTTTCTTTTTTGTTATTTCTTCTTTTCCTTAATTTTTAATATTAATGATTTTGAAGGTTAATGTTAGCGTAAATTTTTTTTTCAAAAATATGTTGAAATAACATCTTTTTTATTTACCCTTTGTGGTTTGGTCCATTATCAGTACCAAATATTTAATCGATATATAACACAATGCCTGATACCCAACCAGAATATTCTAGTATCTGAGATGAAAATAGAATACAATCCCACACACTGCGGTAAAGATCTAATCAATACTGCAGTATTTTCTGTGTACTTAAGAACATACAAAAAATGAGTTTTTAATAACGACTTGAATCTTTTTTGTCACAAAATTTTACTAAGAATTAACGCTGCTTTGCGCTTTTTGATGGCATGTACAAATCCTTACTATTGGGTTATACTGCTAGGTAGGTATGCTTGTGTTGCTAGGTATCTGATCAAGGTTGTATAAATAAGGTTAGTTACTCTTGATGCGCTCCAATGTACGAAAAATATAGATATATAAATAGCCAATATGACGTTACTTTCCGTACATTGGAGAGCATCGGGACTAATTACCCTTGGTATTTGATGAATTAGGTTTTTCTAATGTTTAATTGTGTTGCTAGGTATCTGATAAACTAGGTTTCTAATGTATGGTTGTGTGGCTAGATATCTGATGAACTAGGTTTCTAATGTATGGTTGTGTTGCTAGATATCTGATGAACTAGGTTTCTAATGTATGGTTGTGTTACTAGGTATCTGATGAAGAGGATGATGGTGATACTGTTGGATCTGTACTACGAGGTTTTCTAGCTCTAAAGAAGAGAGATCCTGTTAATAGGTGAGAACCAGGGCTTAAATCTGTTAGATCTGTAACAATTTAGCTTTCTGAATTCGGATCAAGAGGCTAAATAAATTAAGAAAATGCAATACACATTTTAGTTGTCATCATTTTTATATTAGAAAATTTTGGGATTTGTTTTTGGAAAAAAGATATTTTAATGAGCTGGATTATCTTGATCCATATTTTACAGGACGGCTCCACAATCAAAACCGCGGCAAAATTAAATGAATCCTTAGCACTGGAAGTTAGAACTAAGAAGACGGAATTGGGGTTGTTGACATTTTATCCTGACTCATTCGGAAAGCACTAAACTAGTTTTTTTTGTAAACAAAAACAAAGATTGTAAACAAGGTTCGGTATAGCGAGGGTATGAGAACCGGGCCTAAGCAATCATTGTTTACTAAATTTTGTTTGTTTAAAAAGAAAACTAATCTGGAACTGTCCTGATATGTCACAGTAGAATATGTAAACATCACGAACCCTCCTTTATTCAATTCAGGGTCTGATTGTAACTTAAGAGAACTTAGTTTAAATTTTATATTGAGTCAAGTCATTTTTATAGTCTAACCTACCACCTACAATAGGAAACTTAGATTAGTTATTTATCATTATATCAATTTCTTGGGGAAACCTTGAGGTCCAGTCCTTTATACTTTTTATCAACCTGAATTTCAATTTTTTTTTTCTTCAAATACCAAAAATGAATTTTATCAATTTTTTTAAGTAAGTACTAACAAAAGTTATATTCTACGGGATGATCATTTTATTTATTTATTTAAAAAACTTGAATTATGATAAATAGGATGATACAAATGTGTTTTTTATCAGATTACCAACAGCCTCCACATGTTTCAACCTACTCAAGCTACCAAACTATCAGAAGAAATCAACCTTAAGGTGAGAATTCAATTTTTTGTCCAATGTACATACAGTTTTAGTTAATACTTATTTTTATTTTAGAGATAAACTGAGATACGCAATAAACTGCAATACTGGGTTCGAACTCTCATAGAAAAAATTGTACTCCAATAGCTATTTAGATTGTACTGCAACAGCCGGTTATATTGTACAACAACAGCTGTTAGGATTGTACTGCACCAGTTGCTTGTGCTGCATCAGCTGTTTAAATTGTACTGCAACAGCTATTTAAACTGTACTTCAACAGCTGGCTGACACAGCTGTTGGGATTTTACTGTAATACTTAAAATGTACTGCATAATTTTTCTGTTCGAAACAAATTCATCGTAGAATTTTCAAATTTGCACTGGCAAGGATTAAGAAAATAAAAAAAATATTTTCATTAAGAAAAAATATTTGATCATAAATGAATTAAGCAATTAATATTTTTTCCTGTATTTAAGTATTTTTAATGAATAAGTGAGTATTGTAACATATGTCTTGTAGCTTGTAATAGCATTTAAACCTAAAATTTGTAAGGCATAATAAAATTTAAAAACTCATTGCATTTACAGTTTTTCCAAGTAATGAATGAACACGTATTAGTAACCTTAATTTTGTTTTATGAATCACTTTAATTTTCTATTCGATTCTATGTGGAGAAAAAATCTTCTCAGAATTATTTCATGTGTTACAAAATTGATACATGATCAGGGACAGGATGTTTAATAGTGATATTTGCGTATTTTAAATTTTATAGTGATATTTGCGTATTTTAAATTTTATAGTGATATTTGCGTATTTTGAATTTTATAGTGATATTTGCGTATTTTAAATTTTATAGTGATATTTGCGTATTTTGAATTTTATAGTGATATTTGCGTATTTTGAATTTATAGTGATATTTGCGTATTTTAAATTTTAAAGTGATATTTGCGTATTTTGAATTTTATAGTGATATTTGCGTATATTGAATTTTATAGTGATATTTGCGTATTTTAAATTTCACAATGATATTTGCGTATTTTGAATTTTATAGTGGTATTTGCGTATTTTAAATTTCACAATGATATTTGCGTATTTTGAATTTTATAGTGGTATTTGCTTATTTTAAATTTCACAATGATATTTGCGTATTTTGAATTTTACAGTAATATTTGCGTATTTTAAATTTGTTCAATATAAATGACATATCCAATAAGACAGATTTTTTTCTGTCTTCATAAATAGAAATTGGTTTTTCATCAACCGTTTTCTAAGATATATAAAACTCTTATTTTCTCTTTTAAACTTTCCTCAATAAACAGCTGTTAGGTTAGCTTTATTAATAAAAGGGATGAATGATTTATATTGTACAGGGTATCCCATGTGGGATCGAGTAATGAGCGACGCTCTAAAATGGAATTTTTGAGACTTGACAGATAAATTTGAGAAATTGAATCATTTAAAAATATGATAGCTGAAGATGAACTATGAAAAGAAAATATAGCAAAAATGTTTTGGTTTCAAAATTTCTTTACGATGGAAGTCAGATTTTCGTGATAAGAGGTGTTGCAGAAATTCGTCGCCTAAGGGAGACAGAAACATGAATCTACATAATTTTTATTTACAGAATTTAGGTACGCCAGTTATTCACGTTTAAACCTGCAGTCAAAGAATATCTCCCCTCCCCCAAGCAAGAAGAAACCATTTAGCATACTTGAAATCTCGATTTTCAGAAAAAATGTTGTCTCGGTAAAACCAAGTAAAAAGGCCTGGTGACATTTTAATTCAGTCAGGTTTCAATAGTTGACTATTCCTAATTTTGATAGCAGCGATACATTCTGATTTTAAGACAAGAAAACTCTGGAATAGGAAGACGACTTTTTGACTCATGTTACACGCGTTTAAATAGTCTCATGAACATGAGATACAGCAATTGTGAAGTGTAAAGTGACGCATTATCTACTATGATAAAACTTTTTGCTTTGTAGCTCAAGTCTAATCCTAAGATAAGCGTTGACTGCTATTCTGATCATTATCATTGTCATTAGTATCATATCTTTTGTTTAAAAGGTGTATTTGGCTAAATCAGAAAAGATGTTTCTGAGTTTGTATGTTTCTGTTCCTGAAGTGCGCTGCTAGAAGTGAGGTTAGTCCGAAGAGTATAATCAGGGAGATTGCAGTTATACTCATCAACTGCATAAACTTCATCGGAGCCTCGTCAATCACAGATCCTTAAGATTTAATTTTATGATTTTATCTGATTCTCTTACTCTCTGATTTGATTTAATTTCATCACAATAATTCGAATTTTAATATTAACTTGCAATAAAGTAAAAGACTGAAGTTAAAAGTAAAAGAAATTAGTTTTCAGAAGAATTGTTTATAATATTACAAATCTACAAATACATTCGATATTCACAACGGAAACTTTATAGTTGAGTAGATTAAGATATATAAAAGATACGACTCGAATTTTAGCGATCTTTCGAGAGCATATTTTGTCGTGGCTTTTAATCATGGTTCAACATTAAAGTTAAAGGAATATTCAAATATTTGAAAAAAGTGATTTTGAATTTGCAACGCTATTATTATTTTATATTTTGATAATGGGATTCGCAGGTCTTTTTGCATTATTGTTTAAAGGGACTGCTAACGTAATTTCAAGTGACCCTCTATGCAAAGATGGCAATGTCCGATTGACAGCGGTACTCTTGTAACCGTTATCAGATAATGTGGAAGATATCGTCGTTTTCCGAGGTTATAAGATTTTTATTAATTATATCCAACGAGCTTATAGTATATAGAGTGATGATATACGCTAACCTTTTACTAATTGTACAGGCCATGTACTCCACTTCTAAAGGTCAATCTGTATGTTACAGTACTGGGAGAGGGAGATTTTTTTGTCACGTATTTGCATTTGGCCCTCTATTTATAAGAGTGGAATAACAGATTAAAAATGGTACCCTCAATTTTTTAACATTAATTCTAGTTCATTCCTCTTGACAGTAATTTTTTAAAACTATAGGACAAGTACATTGCGATCCAAATAAATCGAATATTTTGCACGTTTTAAATATGTATATAAGGGGTAGGGACAGGATGTTATATGGGTAAAAAATCCCCCCACCCCCCCTTGGAAGTTTTTGCAGTGAATTTGGAAATTTTTTGTGTCCAAACCTCGACCAGCTGGGGGTGGACGGGGGAAATGTGAAGCCGAGATTTGAATTTTTTTAAAAATATTCATTTTATTAAAGTGGGACCACAGGCAAGCAAAATTTTGAATCTATTCTTAAAAATTCAAAATTAAATAGCCGTCTCTGGTAATACTTCACTGTTCCTTAAAGGTTCTGTGAAAACTGTAAAATTCAAATTCAAAACCTCCCCATTTACTTGTACACGGCCCCTGATTAAATCTATATGTTTTCCTAAATTAGAATTGCGCAAATTATCAGTTTTTAAAATCATAAACATTGATAACTAGAACATATACTTAGTTGATCAGACAAAGCTTTTAAGGGTACCGTTGTGAATCGGACATAGCCAATAGCCTTATTTGAATGCAAGGTCACTTGTAATTAAGCCTACAGTCCTTTTAATGCGAATAATTAATTACATTGAATAATCTGATTTACTGAATCTATGTGAGAAAGTCACAAGGAAAAAAGTTTCTGGGAAAAAAACCTGGAAATAAAAACTTTGGTAAAATCCCAATTTTCTGAAGTGCCAGGACAAAATGTCACTGGAAATAAAGTTCTGAGTTTTAGATTACTGGGATTTTTTTTTCCTAAAATAATATAGGGGCTCCCAATAAAGTCTCAGGAAATAAGATCACAGGAATTAAAGTCCTGAGGAAAAAAAAGAAAAAAAAGTCCAAAGTCTTCTAAAAATGAGGTCAATCTGAGACATTTTCATAAAATGGACTGTTCTCCTATATATCTCCATATTGAATATAGTAGGGGTGTTTTTAATATCAAGTCCCTTTTTTCCATGGTTATAAACATCTTTTGTTCCCATTCATTTCCCACAATAAGAGGATTTTTTTCACAGGACTGTTTTAGTGGCAAAATGTAGAAGTTTATTTTCGAAAATGTTTTTTAAAGAATTTTTTGGCGTTTACCGATATACTAACCTATCATAAGACAGTACAGTTGTACGGAGATATTACATGATACTGTGAGTACTGCACCAACTTTGTTGTTGATTTGAAGAATATCCTAGATTTTAAATATTTCATTGAATATTCTAGATTTTAAATATTTCATTGAATATCCTAGATTTTAAATATTTCATTGAATATCCTAGATTTGATAAGATATTAGATATCTTAAGCATTGAATATCCTAGACTTTATAAGATATTAGATATTTCAAGCATTGAATATCCTAGATTTTATTAGATATTATATATTAGATATTTTAAGCATTGAATATCCTAGATTTTATAAGATATTAGATATTTCAAGCATTGAATATTCTAGATTTAATTAGATATTAAATATTTCCAGCATTGAATATTCTAAATTTAATAATATACTAGATATTTTAATCAATGAATATCGTAGATTTAACTAGATATTAGATATTTCAAGCATTGAATTTCCAAGATTTATTTTTCTATTATATATTTCAAGCATTGAATATTCTAGATTTAATAATATATTAAATATTTCAAGCATTGAATATCCTAGACTTTATTCGATATTAGATATTTCAAGCATTATATATCCTAGATTTAATTAGATATTATTTATTTTGCAAGCCTTGAATATTCTAGATTTAATTAGATACAGTGAAAGAATTTTTCAAATGTCGTCTTGACAATTTTTCAATGAGGTTTATACTATATTACGTAAATTTCAGTATTTGCGAAAATAAATAAATAGCCATGAATATGCGGGAACAGTTTTAAAGAGTTCCATATAATCATTTAATTAAAAAACTAAATATCTGCAACATTCCATTATCAGAAAGTGAAGACTACGACATTTGATGAATTCTTTTGATGTATTCATTATTAAGGGTTTCACTGTATTAAATATATCCAGCATTGAATATTCTAGATTTAATTATATGTTAGATATTCAAGCATTGAATATTCTAGATTTAGTTATATATTAGATATTTCAAGCATTGAATATCCTAGATTTGATTAGGTATTTCAAACATTGAATATCCTAGATTTATTTATATATTAGATATTTTAAGCATTGAATATACTATATTTATTTTTATATTAGATATGTTAAGCATTAAATATCCTTGATTTATGCTACATTTCTTTAAGCATTTTTTTTGAATTTCTTCAGAAGCAATTGATGTTTTTTAAGATCACAAACTCAAGACTTAGTAGTCAATTTAAACTATTAAATTTCTTATTAATAAAGAACAAAAACAAAGTATTCATTGTTATTGCATTAATAAATTAATAATTACCTTTAACCAGAGAAGCCCTGTAGAAAATGTGCAAGCACTACCAGCTCCTGGAAAAGTAAGTGTTTTTTTAAATGGTAAATCTTTTTTATTTTTATTCGGACCAAAAAACATTATTTGATTTACTTTCAGCGCACTCTGATCATTCCTTAATAGCGCTTCAAACAAAAATCCCTGTAGTGCAGCAACAGTTAAACAGTTCTTATTTCATTTTGTTTGAAAAGATTTTCTTCCTCATCCATGTTTTTAATGTGTTTTTTCCTGTGAGGTATAACATGGTCCCTGAAGTGGTGGATGGATTATGACTGCCGACAAGATTTAAAACCTATCCCCAAAAGGAGGTTTTTTTCGGAAACATCAAAAATTACGAGAAACATTTCAATTTTTTTCTTGTTTACTTAAATGAGAATTGCGAAAGAAAAAAACTTACAATAAAATAATTACTAAGAGAGTAGCGCTAAGTGCCTTATGAGGTTAGTCATGTAACATAATAATATTACCAATTAGAAAAACTCCAATCTGAATACTAATGAATGAATGGGATGAGAAAGTTAATAAAATAACCAATTAGAAAAATTCCAATCTAAAGACTGATGAATAAATGGAATTAGAAAGCTAATAATATTACCAATTAGAAAAACTCCAATCTGAAGACTGATGAATAAATGGGATAAAAGCTAATAATATTACCCATTAGAATAATTAAATGAATGGGATAAAAGCTAATAATATTACCCATTAGAATAATTCCAATCTAAAGACTGATGAATGAATGGGATAAAAGCTAATAATATTACCTATTAGAATAACTCCAATCTAAAGACTGATGAATGAATGGGATGAGAAAGCTAATAATATTACCTATTAGAATAACTCCAATCTAAAGACTAATTAATGAATAGGATAAAAGCTAATAATATTACCCATTAGAATAACTACAATCTAAAGACTGATGAATGAATGGGATGAGAAAGCTAATAATATTACCTATTAGAATAACTCCAATCTAAAGACTAATTAATGAATGGGATAAAAGCTAATAATATTACCCATTAGAATAATTCCAATCTAGAGACTGATGAATGAATTGGATAAAAGCTTATAATATTACCCATTAGAATAACTACAATCTAAAGACTGATGAATGAATGGGATGAGAAAGCTAATAATATTACCCATTAGAATAATTCCAATCTAAAGACTGATGAATGAATGGGATAAAAGCTTATAATATTACCCATTAGAATAACTACAATCTAAAGACTGATGAATAAATGGGATAAAAGCTTATAATATTACCTATTAGAATAACTACAATCTGAAGACTAATGAATGAATGGGATAAAAGCTTATAATATTACCTATTAGAATAACTGCAATCTGAAGACTAATGAATGAATGGGATACAAGCTTATAATATTACCCATTAGAATAACTACAATCTAAAGACTAATTAATGAATGGGATAAAAGCTAATAATATTACCCATTAGAATAATTCCAATCTAAAGACTGATGAATGAATGGGATGAGAAAGTTAATAATATTACCCATTAGAATGACTCCAATCTGAAGACTGATGAACGAATGGGATGAGAAAGCTGATAACAATGTGGTTCCTCCTGAAAATCAAATCAAATATATATATTTGTCCCAAGCCAAAAACATAGAAAATATCATATTTTAAAACATATTTGTAAACTTGAGACGGGGAGGCATTGATAGATAGTTGCGCAAGCGACAAGAGAAATAAAATGATAAAATTGAGCCACAATTAAATGTTGAAATAATACACTCATAAAAATAAACGATGAATTTTTTGGATCCTTAATAGAATTCAAGCATTTTACGATTTTTACAACAATAGAGCCTAAACGTTTTAATCTACTACCCTTCCTTCCATCAGTTTGATTTAATATTATTTACTAAGATACCTAGACAGAGGCTCAAAGATGTCCACATTATAGATGAAGGAGAGAGATATATTCCAGCTATTACAGATATTCCACGAACTGGAGGGTTACATCAAATTAATATAAGAAAGGAGAAGATTTCTTAAAGGGACTGGTATCATATTTTCAAGTCAACTATAATCTGTAGAACGTGGCCTATCCGATTAACAACAGTAACATTCAAACCTTTGTTTGAAAAAAAATGAATGAGATATTTGAATTTGTTGCGCTGAAAACGGTTTAATTTCAACTGTGGTTTCTTTGTGAAAGTGACTTCTTAAAGAAAGGAATGAAACTTGTGTCTATTCTAACGACCTGGGATGGAATTTAATGAATTTGAGAGTTCGCTGAATCCGTGATTTAAATTTAAATTTGCAATAAGTAACTTAACGACCTAGCTCAAATTCATAAAATTTTGTCCCAGAAATTTAACATTAAACTTTGAATTGTCAAAACATATTTATTTTTATTATTTTGATGTTTCCTGCAGCAAAGCTGGAGTAGTATAGAGCAGTGATGTCTGAACCAACCTTTACAAATTAATTGTTGTTTTATTATTAATATTTCTTTAAAAGGTAAAAGAAAATATATTAAGTGAAGATACGATGATTCACATAATGGCAATGAGCTAGTTTTCCCAGTTTTAATTTCTAAATTAAGCTCTTTTGCCCTGCACAAATTTTCAGAATTAATGAAAAAAAAGAAGTGGTTAGAGTGTTTCAACTCTTTGGCCTTTGAGTTAACCTCATGAACTCAATTATATTTTTTTGTAGTCTTAGACATTTTCGAGCTACAAAGCATTTTTTATCTTTAGTTTTCAAGAAGTAATTGGGAAAGTTTTGCAACTTTAGGATCACTGTGACTTCTTGCTATTTTGTTATTCACTAATTCTTCTGTTTTCTTGGATGGTTTAGGTTGGATTCAGATTATATCAACCATTCATATACCATAGGCCCTGGCATAAGGATAAGCTAGAAATTATTTTTATTATTCAATGGTTTGAATGAATTAGCGCTTAATGGCAGAATTGCGATTGAAATCCTTTTAAATTTTACTCTAGCACGATTTTACCTGTCTTGAGTGACCAATAGATACTGTAAATGTTGAAATATAACTTCTAAATGATATTTCTAGTCCGGCACTGCAGTAATAAACGCAGAACATAAATGCAAGAATCACCAGTCTTTCTTTCAGTCCCAGATCGTCGTCTTCCATTACTTTCTGTTCTGCGCTTGTTTGCCCCAATTCATTCTCAGATTTTCTCTCGAGGAAATAGAACCAGAGGAGCGGGAGGAAAAATACAACTAGTTGAACACCAATTATACTATACAGGCTTTTTACTCCGTATTCCTAAAGAATGAACAAATTCTTCTCATTTTTACTACAAATTTTAGAAAAATGAAAACATATTATACCTGAGAAAGGGTTTAGCAAGTATAGGAGAAAGGAGGGAACCAAGATGGTTAAATTAAGGATTGTATTATACCTGAGAAAGGGTTTAGGAAGTATAGGAGAAAGGAGGGAACCAAGATAGTTAAATTAAGGATTGTATTATACCTGAGAAAGGGTTTAGCAAGTATAGGAGAAAGGAGGCAACCAAGATGGTTAAATTAAAGATTGTATTTATTATACCTGAGAAAGGGTTTAGCAAGTATAGGAGAAAGGAGGGAACCAAGATGGTTAAATTAAAGATTGTATTATACCTGAGAAAGGGTTTAGCAAGTAAAGGAGAAAGGAGGGAACAAGATAGTTAAATTAAGGATTGTATTATACCTGAGAAAGGGTTTAGCAAGTATAGGAGAAAGGAGGGAACCAAGTCCAAAACAGAAATGGAGAGCAAACACATGAGGAGAGGAGTTCCTTCCTAGAATACTAATTATCAGAGCTCATAATACTTTTCTCTTTTCTTTTCCTTTTTGATAAAGTAATATTTTTGATTTAATGCTAAATTAGTCTTTTCTGCATTTCGGGTTCTTTGGTAAAGATGAATAAATAGACTTCTTGAGTTTTTTTTTCTGTCCTTTTAAAAAGTAAATTTCCTCTTGTATATTCTTTTTGGCAAAAAAGAAGTTTTTTTTGGTTTATTTTAAGTCCTTTTTAAGTTTATTTAATAAAAATTCTAAACTGGTGTTCTGAGATCCTGTAACTGAGTGCAATTACAAAATCATTCTATTTCCGGTTTAAAGAAACCTTTGACATTTTCATTAATGGATCCGTAAAGTGAATCCATGATCCTCAAGGGAAGTAATGTAAAAAAAAGCAATGTCTTGCCTTCGACTTTTAAAATAGTTTTTGTAAAAATGGAAACTCTTTTTATTTTCTTTTGCTGAGAAACAAAATACAAGAAAAGTTAGGGCGCCATTTGTATTAACTCACGAAAAATGTTAAATCAAAAACCAGTATATTGTATGTAGTCAAAGATCTACAAGTCAGATTTTTTATTTTAGACTCATTAGCCATTACACACACAGTTTTGGCCAATCTTTGTAGTGCTTGTTTGGACTGTACGGCCAATTACTAAATTTACAATTACTAAAGCAGCAGATGTGATATTGAATAATAATTCATGTTTAATTTAATCAATCCTACCTTTCCATAACCCAAGGAAGAAAACATTTGCACAAGAATGGAAGAATCCATTGAAAAATCCAAATCCAAGAGCTGAACCTGGAGTTGTTAGAGAATTTTTAAATATACTTTGATATTAATAATAATTTGTAAGGGTAATGATCGCAATTACAATCACAAACGCTATAAAAATATAATATAATATATAGAACAAAATGAATAAAAAACAATGAATTTAATAAAACAGAATAGATTAGTAAGAATTAAAATAAGATAGATAAGAATCATCCAAATAAAAAAATAGAAAAATGGGAAGCAAATTGGAAATATTTATAGATCAAACTTTACTTTTTCATTTAATTACTTCATCGTTTTCAAAGTTTTATTTAGATTTAATTATTGGAAATCTGGAATCTGGGACGAGTAGATAATCAGGATCACTTCAATCTTCTTCATTTTCGGAGGTTAAAAATTATCTGAGTTTGAGTAAAATATTTTACCGAGAATACAACATTTCAAGAAAAAGATATAAATCTTTCTATAGTAAACCTTGAGAATGTTTCAAGAGTAGATAAGTCTTTTTCAATAATCGTCTTTTTCGTCCTAATTTTCGTTATCATAAATATCAAACAAACTCAAATATATTTGAAACAAAATATATTTTTGTCAACCATTAACTGCAGCTATCCGACAACAATTTTACATTTGTGAAAAATCAAAAAACCATTTTTGATTTTTTTGTTTAACCTCAACGAGAAATTCTCAGTTCTTAACAATATAATGAGTATTTGATAACTTAAAAAATGGTCAATGGTCGGGATGTCCGGGTGCTGTAACTGATTTAGAATATTTGAGAGACAAATATTTTGTAACCTGAACAGCAGGACAAGGTAGAGGGTTGAAGTTGCAAATCTGTCAAGCAAAATACCGGCTACAAAGAATTTTTTTTTAATTTATTTTAAAGATTTTTACCGACATTCTTTTCATTATCATATAAAAAAAAATATTAAAATGTTACCCCACTCCCCCTCCTTATATTAATAGCTACATAATTAAATACATTGCATGGGACCAACGCCCCATGAAACCTAGGATCAGGAAGACAATTATTTCAATCAAGTTTTTAAAAAGTCCAATGAACATAAAACAGCAATACCGTTGTATAATAAGTTAACAAGTTAAGCTGCTAGTAAGACTAAATAAGATTGATTCAAAGTCGTTTACTAAATCCACAGTTTTATTTATTATTTATTTATTAAAAGTTTCTAATGTATAAGCTTTATGTTTACCGACGATACAGCCTCCCAGACCTCCTATGGCTGCTAGCATGAAGGTATAGGACATTGCTTGAGTAGACACCCCAACCTCATCCCGTACATCAAGGAGGGTTGGACCACGTACAGAATCACAGAGTGCTGTACATGTAAAAAATGTTACAATTGTGCATAGATATATTAAGAAACTTATACAATATTAATTTATTCAGTCCAATTGGGTTCTTCTATAATTCTCCATCCTCTATGTGCTTTTGTGTTATTCTATAATTCTCCATCCTCTATGTGCTTTTGTGTTATTCTATTATCCTCCATCCTCTTTTTGCTTTTGTATTATTATATAATCCTCCATCCTCTTTGTGCTTTTGTATTATTCTATAATTTTCCAACCTCTATGTGCTTTTGTATTATTCTATAATTCTCCATCCTCTATGTGCTTTTGCGTTTTTCTATAATCCTCCATCCTCTATGTTATATATTGTGCGATTACTCACCTATACTGAAGAAGCAGACCCAAAGGCAAAGTGTTTTTAAGATGACTGGAAGCGGGACCCCAGCAAATATATTCAACGACGACATTCTACTCTAAAAAAACATTCTAAATGACCTTGATTGCATAAATTGATCTCACTGGAAGAAGATGACCAATCCGGTTTACTGTCTTGTTATGTCTTCTGCAGTCTGTAAGTAATATACAGGGTGAGTGTAAAAAAAACCCGGATTATCGATGTTTTGGACAGCATTTTTAAAATGTTTTTTTTCCGGATTTTAGGCATAAATAACAAAATTTGATAAGTAAATTAAAAGATATTTTTGAACGTTAAAAAAAACGGGAAACCAAATTTTTTTTAAAATTAAATATTGAAAAATGTTTGGGGAAAATTATTATAATATTGTTTCCCAAAAATTTCACAAAAAAATCATCAAAAATTGAAGAAGATATAGCAAAAAATGTAATTTTCTTATCACATTTTATTTTTTTATGCCAAAATCATAACCAAACAAAAATTTTGAACATTTCGACCATTTGAACCCTTCTCCCTTTATCAGAGAAACCACAAATTAAAATTAAACGGTTTAAATAAACAAAAACATGAATATCTAATTAATACTTGATCAACCAAAGCTTTTAAGAGCACCGTTGTAAATCGGACGAATTGTCACCTTTGTCTCTTGGAGAGTTAGTTCAAATAACGAAACAGTTCTTTTAAGGAAAAGTTTTTAACCACAGAAAACTTAAAAAATGCTAAAAGTTATTTTACTCCTTTAAAATTGGTTTATTCCCATGTTTTGTGAATACACCTGACACACAGTACACTAGAGTCAGCTGTTGTACAGTGTGTTTATATCTGTAGTGTTGACAATGTTTTACCTGGAGATGTCTATCCTCTAGTATCCTCTATTCTACTAATATACAACCTCCGTCCTCAGCTCTACTTTACTCTACTCTTTCTATAGAGATAAAGAGAAATTTTCCCAAATTATGAGAGTAAACTTTCCTAAGAATCGACGAATTCAAGGGACTGTTTACGAATCAAGGATGTTATCTTATGGCGGGGGGGGGGGCACAAACTGCACGATGGGCCCCTCCCCTTGAGGCTAAAGGCGGGGGGTTCTAAAGGAAATGACTTATTGTAATTGAAGAATGGGGAGAAGAAAATGTTACCCCCCTTCTCAAGACATACTGCATGGTAATATCAAATCATATATATTGTACACGGTACACCTACACAGCACACTTTAATAGTAAGGCTTAAATGCTTAAAGAGCCTATATAAAAAATGTCTGACGTTTGTTTAGCAAAATTATTTTTTACTCAAGCTATACTTCAAGATATTTCCACTTATAATAGTAATACCTACACTTTTCTTTTGATATGTAATCATAGTTAAATTGTATCAATAAAGTGACATATTTTAAAATCGTGTGTGTTCCCTTTATTTAAGAAAATATAGATCAAGGAAGTGAAAGTAAGTTAACAAAAAGTTGTGAGCCTAATCGGCTTTAATAAAGAGAATTGTTTTGCATCCAAGAAATTAAGAATATAAAAAAATCTGAAAACAGAAAGTAAATTTTAGCATATCGTTTGGAACAAAATTAAAAAAGGGAATTTTCAGGTCATAAATAGAGAGAAATGGTGAAAACTATATGATTTTGTTTGCTAGAAAGATGCAAAATTCTTGGATTTATTATAAAAATAGAGGGGCATTTTCACATTGACAAAAACTTCAAGGATCTCCTATATATTACAAAATATCAAGTATTACTAATCCTGCAGAGATATGAGATATATTACTTATGGTGCAGGCATAAGAGATCGAATTTATAAAGAACATATGTATAAAGAACATATGTATAAATGTCTTGTTTTAGTATATTGAATAAAGATATTACTAAACCTGCGGGAATAAGAGATATATTACTAAACCTTCAGGCATAAGAGATATATTACTAAACCTTCAGGCATAAGAGATATNAGTTATATCACGAAACCTGCGGGAACAAGAGATATATTACTAAACCTGCGGGATTAAGAGTTATATCACGAAACCTGCGGAAACAAGAGATATATTACTAAACCTGCGGGATTAAGAGTTATATTACTAAACCTGCGGGAATAATAGACATATTTCTAAACCTGCAGGAATAAGAGATATATTACTGAACCTGCAGGAATAAGAGATATATTAATAAACCTGCAGGATTAAGAGTTTTATTACTAAACCCGCGGGAATAAGAGATATATTAATGAACCTGCGGGTTAAGAGTTATATCACGAAACCTGCGGGAACAAGAGATATGTTACTGAACCTGCGGGATTAAGAGATATATTACTAAACCTGCGGGATTAAGAGTTATATTACTAAACCTGCGGGAATAATAGACATATTTCTAAACCTGCAGGAATAAGAGATATATTACTGAACCTGCAGGAAAAAAAATATTTCTGAACTTGCGGGATTAAAAGATATATTACTAAACCTGCGGGATGAAGAGATATACTACTAAACCTGCGGGATTAAGAGATATATCACTAAACCTGCGGGAATAAGAGTTATATTACAAATCTGTGGGAATAAGAGATATATTACTGAACCTGCGGGATGAAGAGTTATATTACAAAACCTGCGGAAATAAGAGATATATTACTGAACCTGCGGGATTAAGAGATATATTACTAAACCTACTGGAATAATAGATATATTACTAAACCTGCAGGATTAAGAGATATATTACTAAACCCGCGGGATCAAGAGTTATATTACTAAACCTGTGGGAATAAGAGATATATTACTAAACCTATGGGAATAAGTGATATATTACTAAACCTGCGGGATTAAGAGATATATTACTAAACCTGTGGGAATAAGAGATATATTACTAAACCTGCGGGATTAAGAGTTATATTACTAAACCTGCGGGAATAAAAGATACATTGCTGAACCTGAGAGATTAAGAGTTATATTACTAAACCTGCAGGAATAAGAGATACATTGCTGAACCTGCGGGATTAAGAGTTATATTACTAAACCTGCGGGAATAAGAGTTATATTACTAAACCTGCGGGAATAAGGGATATATTACTTATCCTGCGGGATTAAGAGTTATATTACTAAAACCTGCGGGAATAAGGGATATATTACTAAACCTGCGGGATTAACATATATATTACTAAACCTGCGGGATGAAGAGATATATTACTAAACCTGTGGGAATAAGAATTATATGACAAATTTTTTCCTTTTTGAGTTTTTGAGGGCGGAAAAATTATTTTGATCTAACGATCTTTGTTTAAGTTTTGTTTGTTACAAGGACTGGAATAGTGAACTAACGATCTTTGTTCAAGTTTTGTTTGTTACAAGGACTGGAATAGTGAACTAACGATCTTTGTTCAAGTTTTGTTTGTACCACGGACTGGAAAAGTGATCTAACCATCTTTGTTCAAGTATTGTTTGTTACCAAGGATTGGAATAGTGATCTAACCANCCCCCCCCCCCCCCCTCTTAGTAACTCAAATATTTGATTAATGTATTCACAGTATCGAATCTAGAAACAAGACTGATGTGAGAAAATGAATTTAAAAATTCAATGAAAATATAACCTTGATATTGCTTCATAAAAAAAAATTTATTTGCTATCGTAAGTTGTTTTTACAATTAATTAATAGTTTAGATATTTTGTAGTATATATTCATAACTTTAATGAAAAGTACATAATATATTATTATAAGTTTTAAAACAGTATGTTTAAAGAGCTGAAACATATGCTCAGAGTTCAATATCGGATCAAAACACATTTAAATTGAAGAACTAATAAAAATGTTAATACTTTTTAACATATTGATTTCAAAAGACATACATAGAGGTGGGTGGGGAGGGTATTATCAACTGTGTACTTTGAATTTTCACATTTTTTTTGTTAAAATTTTAAAATTTTAGGAATTTCTACTATCACTCTACAGCTAGCGACATTTTTGGCTTGAAATACATATCAAATAATTGATATAAACTGAGATTTAAATGTTTAGGTTCAATTGTCAGAAAGTCTTCAATTTCGAACCTATGTAAATGGAAATTTATAACATTTTTTGTTTTAAAAGGGTTGTAACACTTAAAAGTCAGCTCGGTCTAAAAGTTTATTTTAAAAATGTTCATAATGTGTGAATTGCTGATCATAGGCACAAAATTTACAAAATGATGTAAAAGAGGGAAAGGGGGTGGGTTGGTGGTATTAAGATCGCATTAAGCAGCAATTAATCCTGAGTTCGCATCCAAAATTGTAAATAAAAGCACCGAGATTTTATATTATCATTGCTGAAAGCTCCTCTTGTATACCCATATATTACTAAACCTGCGGGAATAAGAGATATATTACTAAACCTGCGGGAATAAGAGATATATTACTAAACCTGCATGATAATTAAATACATTGCATGGGACCAACGCCCCATGAAACCTAGGATCAGGAAGACNGGATACTGGTATTAGAACGGATAAACCTCCAGGTTGACAATATGACTATCCCAGGCTGAGCTGAGTGTCGGTCAACCCGTTTAGACGTTCACCAGACTAGGCCGGCGCCAGTTAAAGATTCATTATTTTTCCAACACAGAATTGACAAATTCACAGATTCAAATCGATATATTAAATTATTGAAAAAGGGAGAAATAGACTGCAAAAATAGACTGCAAAAAAAGAAGAATAAAGTGTCAACTTCTATTTAAGGATTAAGATTTTGGAATCAGAATTGTAAAATTGTAAAAAAACTCTAAATATGTCTGGACTGTCTGAAAATAGACGTCACGTTTTGATATTATATATATAAATTTGGCTTGTCTGTTTGTTTGTATCCAATAAACATCAAAACGACTGAACCGATCGTCCCAAAATTTTTTGTGGGACCTCATGTGGCCTTAGGGAAGGTTTATGAAGGATTAAAAAAAAATGTGTTTTTTAATTTTGTAAAAAAAATTAAATTCTTGAAAATCCGCGATTTTTTTTAAAATCAGCGATTTTTTTAAAATCCGCAAAATTTTTTCTTCTTTGTTTTAAAATGTAAACAAAAAGAAAATGTTCACAATTTAAAGAGAAGCTGGGCGCAAAGCGCCCT